GTTTGAATCGATTGCTTTCTGTAACAACAACAGCAGCAGCAACATAGGGAGTGGCGACACAAGCAGTGAGCAGAGAGGTACATACCGCCACAGCAGAACTCACACACATGCAACAACAGTAGCAACAGCGAGGTTGGCAGCAGTGGAAAACAGCATCTGCAGGGCATGGCAGCACAACACTTGCAGCAAAGCACTTGCGAAAGTAACCAAAGCAACAACAAGAGCATCAGCACCGCAGCAGGCGCCACGGCAACAGAATGTGCAGCAGCGCACCTTGAGTTTCCAGACCCAGTTGCCATGAAAGACGAAGGCCCCTTTGCATAGAGCGGCTTCACTTTTGCCAGTCACAAGAAGTGACATGAAGGAGCCCTGGGGCTTCCAAACTTCAAGCGTCTCTCCTCTCAATAATCTCCATATATTGCTTTCGATGACGGGAGCGGCACGCACTAAGGAAACCAACAAGCACTCAACACACCATCCACGAGTTGCACACATGTACGCTCGAAGAGCAGCAGACGCGCCCAAAAATAATGCCCCATCCCATCCCTCATGAAGTTTCCTTGGTTTGGTCTTGAATGTACAAAAACTAAGGTGTGTGCGGGCATGCATCAAATGCAAATGCACACAGAAGCGAATGGCACATCCACGCCCCACAAGACGCAGCGTCTAAACAAATTATATCCAACAGTGCCAGCGTTAGCCGAAAGGGCAACTGCAGCAAAATAGGCCAGAGCAGAAGCTGCAGCCGTACTCACCTGCATACACCCCAGCCTTCGGGCGAATGTGACCCACGATGCTAGCCGTGTGGCCTACAGCAGCAAAGCAGCAGCAGTGGAAACATACGTATCAAGTTGCCAAAAGTACCAAATTGCCTGTGCGGGGGGAGCGTCGCACAGATAGCAGCTGCAGAAAAACCTGCGCCGCACTGTACCTGCAGCGAATATGCTTGGGTAGTCAACACATTGGAGTGTCGGCAAAACTCGCAAGAATCCATTTTCATCTAACGGCAACCGTGTCGACCTGTATAGCAGCGCAGCAAGCAGCAGCAGAGCAGCGTCTGGTATGGACAGTTCCGTCGTCTTAGGCACTCCTTGCTCGTGGGACCCGTGCACGCACTTGCAAACTTCACTACAGTACTGCGTTTCTACGCCCAAGGATTTCTCTAAGCTCACTGAATCCAGTCCTGCGGCTTCGTGCTGGTGCAGCAGAAGGAAAAGTCAAAAAGCTCGACCAGCTGCGTCCCCGATGAGACAGCAAGGACCCGACGTCCATCCGCCATCTCTTCCAGGCGTTCTACGCGACAGTTGACGTGCACAGTGACGCCCCTGGATGTCAGCAGTTTCCTTAGCGTCGCCTGCAAAGACAGGAAAGATATGATAGGGAAAGTACGTCAGGGCGAAGAAACCGCAGGAAAGAATACAGGCAAAATGCGCACACAGGGAAACCTATACAAAAAGTACAAGAAGCACAGTCAACATGAGTTCTTGCAGACCCCAGCAGCACCTTTTAAGTCAACACATCACAGATTATTTCTGAAGAAAACAGCGGCTGCTCAGGCAACAGCAGCAGTGGCAAAGTCACGCTAGCAGCAGCAATACCGCAACAGCTGCTCTGTACGCGGCAGCAGTCTCATGCAGCAGCAGCAAAGCAGATGCTGACTTGAGCCCTCTTCGAGTATCCTGTGAGGATTTCCGGGCCACTCGTGGCTAAGACAACTTCCACCTTAAGAGGAGAGACAGAACGTTCCCTCTGCTGTTCATCCTTTTGCGAGTAAGAGGCAAATGAATGCTGCTTCTGGCGCTGCTGCTGGTGCTTATCTAGTGTCTGCAGCAGCTGCTGCACTGCATATTGCAGCGCCAGAGCCATCTCAACACCCACAGCTCCCCCGCCAATCACCAGAATGCGGAAGACAGGCCGTGTGTCGGCCATCTTGCTGCTACTAGTACTGGTGCTGCTGTCTCTCCTTGCAGTGTCCTGAGACTCCCCACCAGCAGTGGCCTTTTTGCTGTCTACAGCCTGCTGCCAGGCCTGCTGCAGCTGCTGCTGTAGCAGCAGCCAGCGGGAGACGATGCCTTGAATTGGCCGTTTAGGGCAAACACAGCAGCAGCAGTACCTGCTGCTGCTACTGCTGCTGCTGCCAGATGCAGGGCAGCCACAAGGAGACAGCTTATGCCCCCGAAGGGAATCATCTCCAGTTGGCGAAGGCATGGGACTTGTCTCTGCTTCTGCGGTGGATGCATCTCCGTCGATACACCCTGCAGTAGCAAGCCAAAAAGTAAAACATTCAGAAAACTGATCAGTGAGCCGAAGACCTATTGAGAAAAATGGCCGCTCTGGCAACAGGTAGCAGCAGCAGCCGCAAAATACGCAGGCTTGATGCCGCAGCAAGAACAGCTGCACCACCACAGCAGCAGGGGTGCCACCGGCCGCTTCTTCATTCCTGCGTTTCACGGCTCCTGCCGAAGCCCATCATTTCACGAGTAGAAATGGCTATACTGCGGGAAGGCCGCCCCACCCGCAACAGCGGACAGCAGCAACAAAAGCAGCAGCTTGCCTCTGTTTACAAAGGTGTTGCTGCGTGAAAGTAACGGCCTTATGCTGCCCGGAATAAGAGACATCTCGGGCTTGCTTCCCGTGTCGATCGACAGCACATCAAATCTGCAGCAACAAATACGGGCAACAGCACTGTCCACATGTTCTCATTTTCCGTTCATGTCTGCCTTGAAACGGCTCTCAGGAGGCTTAATGAAGCACATAGAAGAGAAAAATATGCAAAAAAAATGCAGAGAGCATGCACTTCGGTAACTTTCGGAGCAGCTAATCACAGAAGCCCCGAGAGTGCACGGGCAGCCACTGAGGCACATGACCACAAAGCCCACCTTAGGGGGGGACGACTGCCGTCAAGCAGCAGCAGCTTTTGCTGCGGCAGCAGCCCCACAGCCCTGGCGGTGATAAGGGAGGCGCCCGCGAAAGAGCACAGAGGAGCCAAGTCAACGGTCAAGTCCGGCAAGTTGAACTCCCCCGTTATGTAGCCTGCAGAAACAAAGCAGCAGCAGCTCACACAGTGGCAGAAGCAGTAGAAACACGCAGCGCGCACGCAGCCCCTAACCGCACAGACAGGCTCAGCAGCAAAGGATGCGCTCAGGAAAATAGGGAAGGCAAGTAAGAACAGCGCAGAGACACACGGAGGCGCCGGCAGCACATAAATGATGTGGACAGAGCGATAGGAAGGAGCACATCACAGAGACAATACAAGAGACAAAAGGCTACTGACACATTTAAAAAAGCTCATCCATGGTGACTCCAGACAGAAATCTGAGACAAGGAGGTGCCAACACACCTAAAGAGATGGGTTACAATGACTAGAGACGGAAATAACAGACCAAGGGCCAACCACATGGATGAAGGTATCTACGACACTTCCACCATACAAACACATCCGTAACCGCCGCTGCCTCTTTGACATTGCGTAGGAGCCCCACCTAGGTGGCATAAACAAGACCACTCTGGATATCTAGAAGGTTTGAAAACAACGACAGCACTAGCAGGAGCACCAGCAAGACTCACCAGGTACCATGGCACTATATAGGACTTCCGTGGTCTCCGTGACAAGCAGTAAAGAGACAGAAGAGACGGGCAGGTTGTTGATGCAGCCGCTGTTGTTGCTGCATTCCTCATCTGCGGCAACAGCAGCGTCCTTGCCGAGTATAGAGCGCAGAACTACAGCTGCTGTTTTGTCTGTGGAGGCGGCACCAGCAGCAGAGCTGCATGGTGTTGTCTTGTCCGCCGTTGCCTCCCGCTGCTTACGTAGGCCCCACAAGCGCAGCACATCCAAATGCGCTTGGCCCGCCCCCACGAGCACGACCTGTCGTTGCAGTGCGCCTGCGCCTCCTCGTCCCATTGTTACTGTTGCTCCTTTCGTTGCTGCGGTTTTTAATGTTCCAGCTGCTACTTTAGCGGTTGATTTCCCCAGTATTTCTACGCCTGCCGCTGCTGCTACCGGTCCTTGTCCTCCTGTTGCTGCGGGGGGGAAGCGGATGTCTTCCGGAGAGGCTGTAAAAACTTCCGCAGTCTGGACAGCCAAAGGCAACACAAATATTTGTACAGGACTGTCAGATTAGCAGTCCCCTCTCCGTACTGGCGCCCCTGCCGCGGTATCCCGCTCTCGGCTTCTGCTGCTCCTGCTGCGGTTGCTGCTCCTGTTGCGGTTTCTGCTCCTGCTGCGGTAGCTGGAACCGTCGCAGAAAATTGCAAGAATAAAATGTCAAAAGGTCTTGGTCTCAAGCTTTGGAGATACACCATTAAAAGTGATTGCATCCGGCTGCTGCGAATGTAGGCTGCTGCTGCAGCAGCCGTAGTGGGAGAGTCTGTCCTGCGTGCCGCCTCCTAAGTCGGCTGCAGAAGCCACAGTCACCTGGTCGCTGCCCAACTAAATCCACCTCTAGTTGCATTTCAGCTTTAAAGAGCATATCATTTCGGCAGTTTCTCTGGCAGTGCACATGCACTCCAGTGGCCCATCCCGCACGTGTACTGCTGTTGCGTGCTGCTTGCTGCATGCTACTGCAGCGTTCCTCTCGTTAAAGACAAGAGCCTCAGCTTAGGGCAGAAGTTTTGACTCCAATATCAGGCTTAGACGGGCGAGGAGAGCTGCTCGGGGCCACCACAACAGCGGCCGCCATTACTGGCCCTACTAAAGCACATTCCTTCGGAGCAGCGGAAGTACGCTGCATAGCGCTGCCGCTCAGTTCTAAGCATCAGCAGGGGCAGCGAAAATAGGGCATAGCTAGAGGGGGCCGTCGCTGCTGCAGCATCATCGGGCGGGGACGACAGCAGACAGGAGACAACGGCGCTGCGTCTTGGGTTTGCTCTATTGAGTTGTTGGCCTCCAGCGTCGATCCAGCGAAGCTGCAACTGCGCAGACGCTGTGTCAGAATCTTTAAAGTGGGAACAGCGAGGGCAGAATTAGTTGCAGGAGCAGAAACTGCAGCAGAAACGGCACGATGGATACTCCACTGCGGCTGACGTGTATCTGCATCCTTGACTCCAATGGGGAGCGCATCTGCGCTCAGTATCCCACAAGGGCTCCTCCTTCTTTGGGCCCTCCATGCCCTTACAGAGACTTCGACAGCCAACGGAAATTTGAAGGTCTCCTTCACCAGGGTCTCATGAATATCAGGGGCAGAACAGATGGTACGATCCCTTTTGCTGCTACTGTGGCTTCTGTGGCGAAGGCTTTCGTTGCTGTTCCGCAGATGACCGCTGCTGCGCTGCTGCTGCTGCTGCACCAAGGCTACATCTGCGGCCACTCATGCGTGCGATTTCATGGCGGTGCTTACTGATTCGGCTGTTGCCACTCTTGCTGCTGCTGCAATGCTTCTATCTTTATTCCCATGGCGCTTTTCTTCGTATTGCTGTTCTTAGCGTTTTTCCGTGGGATTCGTTGCCTGCCTTTTTTGGGATCGTTTGGCGTCTGGTTCCCTACTGGCCTTCACATGTAATCTGGGGCTTCTGAGCCCATTGTTTTTATCGCATGCTTTTCTTGCTTCCTGTGCTGCTGCTGCTGCTATGCTGCACAGCTGAGGCGCTACAGGTAGAGGGGGAGATAGCTGTGGGCCTGGATGTAGGGGACGTGTCAATTTTCGCCGTTTCTCCCGAGTCCTCTGCCAACGAGCTGCTGCTGCTTGAAGTAGTAGAGGCCCTCAGATCTGTCTTAAGCTCGATCTGCAAGTACGTGACGGACTTATCTTGTGCTGTAGCTACGTCTGCTGCCCTCGTTGGGTCTTACGGTTCTGGTGGTGGAACGGGTGGCGGCTCGCAGCAGCAGTAGCTGTTCCTGTGTGCTAGTCGTCATTGCAGCCCCCCTGCGGTAACAGGCATTTTGGCCGCTTTCTGTTGCCGCTGCTGATGCTGCAGTGGTACGGTGACCCGGCAGGCGCTGCTGGAGAACATGGACTCTGTGTTGTTGGCAATGGATGAGACCGCAGATCAGGGGTATGCAGGACCGAAGGTTTTGCATCTCCCGTCATTTTGGCCCCCCCATGTGCACTGTAGGATTTAAGGGTGTTTCTCTTGCTGTCGCTGGCTGCAAACACCTGCTTGCCTTTTGTTGTCGCCTTCCTGTGCCTTTCATGACGCTGTAGTTTGTTTGCAGTGTTCGTTTGTTTCCACTTTGCAACTGTGTGTTCGGTTCGGTCACCACTTGTTTGTTTCTCTCTCCTTGTTTTCTTCAGTTTCTTTATTTGCCTCCGCTTTTCTGTCGCCGATGTTTGTGGACCTGCCAGTGCGCTGCCGTTGCTCTCTGCTTTCACAGTTTGTGGCTTCATTTGTTTCACCAGTTCCTCCGCTGTTTCTTCGAATTTGTTTGCCGCCGCACGATCACTGGTCTTTGTGGCTGCTGCGTCGTCTTCTGCTCTGTTGCTTTGCATTTACGCTGCGGAGTCGTGCTGTTACCTGCCACCGACTGCGTTCGCTGTAATTGTGCTTTTGGTTTTCGCATGTTCGTTTGTTCTTATACTCTCATTGACCGTTGTGGTCCGCAACTGCTTGTCGCACGAGCAGCAAAAACAGCGGCAGCAGCAGCAACAGATGCTGCAGTGGTATCAGCCTGCCGTAGGCGTGGTTACAACATAGCTTTGGCTTTTGCACTTCTGCAGGCTATTGCTGGAGACAAACCCTTCAGCTATCTTGGCCCGAATAAACATGCAGGGAGATGGTCAAGGTACTCAAGAAACAACAGCCTCCCTCAACCAAGTACGCTGCCACGGCCCTGCGGTTGCTCTCTGCCATGCTTATACTGTTCCACTGTTCCGTTGTTTTGGTCTCCTTTCTTCCAGCCTTTCCGTGGGTTTATGCCCGTGTTTTTGTTGGGTCTGCAATCGAGCTCCCCGCATATCGCTAACTTGCCTCGCGCTTCGTGTGCCCCACATGCCCGTTTAGTTTCTCCAAACTAGTTTCAACATTTGTACTGCGTATTTGGATTTTGAGTCCTTTCCAGCTGCGTATTCTTCCTGAGTGGCCCTATGTCTATCAGTCGCTGTTAACGTGCGCACTGCTCTCACTCTGCCTGGATGTGTCTCGCATTTTCATTGTGGGAGTGTCTCGTAGCATCGTTGCCTGTGCAGCCTTCCCATCTACTTGCATTGCCATACCCTTCAGCTTGCTCGGTTCATTTACCTCTCTCTGTCTTTCCGTATCCGCGTAGTTTTGTCTGTGCAGCTGCCATTTCAGCTCTAAAACCCTTCAAGCTTGCACTTGCCTCGGCAAGCCGTGTCTGCGGTACACGTCAAATCGCGGGTTCTCAGCTGTGGGTGTGTGTAAACATAAAAGTCAGTGTCTTTTCCGCATCCTGCGCAGGCCATAAGCCAAGCAAAAGACAGCATCATAAAAAGTCTCCTAAGCGGGGCTTCTTGAAGCCTCAGCTCACCCCACCTAGGGTGCAAAGTAGCTAGCTAGCTAGCTCGCTAGCTATGCAGCTAGCTTTCTGGGACGCGTTAACTAGTCCTGCAACCGCCTTGTAGCTGGCTAGCTAGCCAGTTGGCGATTTCGCAAGACAAATTAGCGCAGGGCCAGCCACAGCGGCGTCGCAGCCCTGGAGTCCATCGTATAGGCGCGGGCGGGCCAGGTTAAGGCATCGGCAAGCATCTGCAGCTGCTGTTGCTGCTCGGAATTTTCTCGCTGCTGCTGCTCGGTCTGCTGCTTCTTGGGCAGCTGTTCCTGTAGGTTCTGCTGGTCAAGCTGCTGCATACGCAGCCGTGCCACGCGGTTGTGGGCTTCTGTCTCCGCCGCCTGCAGGGCAGCTTGGCTTTTCCACCTGAGGGCAGGAACGAAAAAGGCTTTCCCCATGTTTTTGAAAATAGTACACAAACTGAACCGCAAAATAAATCGGCGGGCACGTGCACTAGACAGGTATCGTCAGCAACCGAGACAATGTGAGGACCTACCCTCTGTACAGCGACTAATGCACCGGCAATAGCGATGCGAAGGGCAAGAGCTTACCTCTCGATTAGAAGGATAGTTCCCAGTTGGTCGCCGAGCTGCGCTGCAGCGGGGACTGCCGCTGCAGCAGCGGCAGCAGTCCTCTGGTCTGCTGGAGGCTGCGCGAGGATTTGCAATGATATAAAGCCGTCCCGCGATCCGACGAATTCTTGCCAGGCTGCGGCAACATCCACACCAGCACAAGAGAGCACACAAAATGTAAGTGCCAACAACGTGCAGCAGCAGCAAGAACGGCACCAGCAGGTCCAGTAGCGGCAAGCACACGGAAGGAACATACGCATTCTCGTGTTTACCTTGGACCTGAGGTGGCTTAAATATTTGCACACGGCCGTCAGGTGTTTCTCTACTGCTGCTCTTGTCGGGCGTATAAGCAGCTGCGGGGCAGAGGCGCACTACTGCTGCTGCGCCGGTGAAGCCTTCGTCTGCTGCTGCCGACATTGCATGCGCCTTCCAACCAGCGAACATCCCCACAGCAGCCCCTGCAATGGAGCTGAAGATGGCTTTCAACCTGCCCCTGCTGCTCTCACGGCCAAACCGGCCTCTGACAGTGCTACTGAACACCCGGTGCTGCTGCTGGAGCATCCTGCCAACGGGAGAACAACCAATGATGCCTCCATTATGGAAAGCAGCAAAAGAACCGATGCTGCGGCCGCATGCTGCTGCAGCAGCTGCTGATGCAGCGCGTTGCAGTGGCATAGGCAAATGCAGACGGTCCTGCTGCTTCGAGTGCTGCTGCTCCTCTTGAGCGCGGTGCTCGTCCGGACTTCCTGGTAGCCGCTGCTGGTTGCCAGTGATGATTTCCGCAGTTGTTCAACTTCGTCTTCGCTAGACTCTGCAGTGTATGTGTGCGGTGATGCCGCCCTGTCTTAGCTGCTCTGCACGATCCGTCGAGGCCACGCTCTGCGCACTTCGTCGATGCCACGCCAGCTCAGTGTGTAGCATCCACTGCTGGTTCGGAGTGTCTCAAACTAGTATTAGATAAAAACTAAACAAATGAAGCAGCAGATTAACTGTGTACATCATAAGAATTCGAGCTGCGGTCAACTGCTATCAAGCGAATTGGCGGTTAGCTGCCTGCAGCACAGCCGAGCCTACAAGGGGGCCTAAGTGAAGGGCTTCCAAGGCCCATCGTTTCTTTCTTTGTTCGTGGGCCCCCGATGTCAGAGTGCTTGTCTTTATCTATTTTATTACCAGGGAGCAATTTTTACACAATTTTGAAGCGTGTTTACCGTCCACCTGGCGGAATGATGTTCCACAAATAGGGCCTCGAAGTCGCTGGTGCCAGCCACAGCAGCAGTCACGGCAGGCGGCCGCGGCCCACGGGTTGACGTCCCTGACCAGCAAGAGGCGATGGTGCTGCAGCATTGGCTTCTCCTGCTTCTGCTGCTGCTAGTAGAAACGCTGCAAGCACCGTGGCAATGCGCAGCGAAAGGGTTGGTGTTTCGCAGCTTCAGACACAACGGCAGCAGCAGCAACACAAGCAGCTGCATCTGCGACAAAAGCTGCCGCAGACTCCAGATATCATGCAGTTGGTTAACGACACGGTGCGTGCTGAACTTGAGCTTAGTCCGCCAGCCATATACAAAGGCGGATGCAATAGCTGCAGCAGTCGTGTCTTTGAAAAAGAATTCTTCTCGCTTCCACACCCGTCTGCCAGGTTCATTGCATCAGCAGCCGCGTCTCCGACCAGGCCTTCGCTGTGTATCTGATGCGTTGCTCGACGCTACGGATCACACCACCAGCAGCACCAGCCACAGCACCCTCAGCAATGGCGCCAGCACCACCAACAGCTGTCATGACTACAGCAGCAAGTGGGGTCCTCTGCCTGAGGAAGCTCTAGAAGTACGGCGGCCGCTGAAGTTTAAGCCCAAAAAGAGGCGAGGGAGGCAGAGAATATCGCGCAGTAAGATCATGCTTCCTACAGTGACACCAGAAGCAACATGAATGGCAGTGGCGGCAGCAGTCGCGGTAGCAGCAACAACAGCAAGTGCAGAAAAAGGCATGATGAGGACTCACAAAATGCAACCTCTGCAACACGAGAAGAGGCAGCAGGGGGAGAAACATGCGCAAAGAAGATGCAAACGAATATAGCAATATAGAAGGAGCAAGAAGGAGAAATTAAGATAGAAGTGGAAAGAGAACCCGACAGCGCGTTGTTAAATGGATGGGGAAGTCAGACAGAGAAAATGATAGGGAGAGAGACAGATGCATGCAAAAGTGTGCACAAGGAGTGACGAGAGACTAAGACAAGTGGACAATGGAGACATGCAAGAACAGGATCTGGTAGCTGCATAGTGACAAAGGTGAATGGTGATACAGTGAAGGGAACAGATACAAATGAGAAGCAGCTAGGAGCTTGACTGACCCACTAAAGCCGCTTTTTGTGGCTTCGCTGTGCTTCAGGCCTTGCGGATCTGCTTGCCACGCAGCACACTACGCTGTCGGGCGCTGCTGCGGTTGCTGCCTCCGCAGCAGCTGCAGCAAGAGAATGGAGCGCGGGAGATGCCACTACAAGGGCAGCAGCAGCAGCAATGGCAGCGACGGAGGGCGCTGGGAGCTTTTACGCTTCTTTGCCCTCCTTACCACTGCCGGAAAGAGGTTTTGGCCGGCTGAGAGTTACGGGGGGCACGCTGGCTAGACGGCGCCTGCTGATGCCGCGTACAGACACCACCAGGCCCATGATGGCTCAGGTGGGTTTTGTCTTTGCTGCTGTGTCTGCCTTTTCTCTCTCGTTGCTGTAGCAGCAGCTAGGGCATCTGCCGCTTGTTGTGCACCTTCCCTGCCAGAGGCGTATTTTCGCCGGTGCGGCAGCGATTACCCCGGTGCCACGGTTTGCGCCAATGCTGTTCTAGCTCCTGCTTCCTCCTCTTCTGTTTATTCTGCTGTCCTGCTACACGTTTGCCCTTCGTGATGCCTCTTGAGCTGCTACTGTTTGTGCAGACTTGCGGGGATTGGGAATGTGTGATTTCATCCACACCTAAGCGCCGCCTTAAATTAGTGCCCGTTTGTGTTTCCATCCTTAGCTTGTTCCTTTTTTGTAGGATGCTTGCCTTGCGCCTTCTTGTCTGCCTCTCAGCGTCATGAGCTTATCTTTCGGGCTCTCTGTGTTTGCCGTGTGATTCAGTTTTCTCTGCGTCTGATCTTCATCGCCGTATGTCCTTGTTGCGTGCTTGTCTTTGCTTTCTCCATCTATCTCGGTGTTTGCTCTCTGCGTTTGCTTTTTGCTGTGCCCTTCAGGTGCGTGAAGCCGTCTTCTCTATGCTCCAGAGCTTAGGAATTTTTGCCTGCTCCAACCTTAGGTAAACTCCAGTCATTCTTGTCCCAGACTAGTTTCACTACTTTCCTCCTGCTGCAAATGCCCTATCTTCGGCGCCCACATGCCTTTTCGCTGTATCAAACTCCTTTCTTCTTCTGCCGTACGCACTGCGAGCAACGCAGCATTGGCAAGAGCTACTGCTGCCAGTACCGCCGCTGTTGCTATAGCCTTTTCCTCCGCTCCAGTTTGTGTCTCTGTGTGTCCCTGTGTCTGTTGGCTATCGTTTAGGGTGTTGGATCTCTTCTGCGGCAGCGGTGCGCTCGCCATTGAGAGCCTTTCTCGGGGGGCGCAGCAAGCTGTTCTTGTCGACAGGTCTCTTGATTGTTGCGAGGTGAGCTGAATGCGAATTCTCAAGTTCAAATTCTGAATTGAAAACTTCAAGCATGGTCATTATTGGATTTGGATCGTGGATTCATCTTTCTTCGCACTTAACGATTAACTGCTGCTGCTGCTATCGCCTTCTGCGCTGCTGCGCCTGCTGTGATTGCGTCCTAGGCAGCAGCGGTTAACCTGCGGCATCTAGGATGTACAGAGAGCCGCGTACTGCGGCTGTGTGTCTTTGAGCTGCTACTTTCCCCCCGTCGTTTCCTCGGGGGGCCTGACACCAGCAGCGATAGTGGCAGCGGGAGCTCTGACGCAGCACCGTTTGACTTAATATTTTTGTGCCCCCCCTACACGGAAGTGATCTATGCAGACCTCCTGAAGGTGAATTTCTTCTGACTTTGGTGTTCTTATGCCGCTCCAGCTTTCATGCTGCTTTTTTTCCGGTGCTGGGCCACATCATCTGTCCTATGGCCACTGCTGTCGCTTTTGCCCTTCCTATATGGCCTGCTGTTCTCCTTGCATTTCGTAATTGTAGTTATTGAATTAAGGTGCGATTGGTGTTGCCTGAAATCCTGGTCTGGCAGACTGCTCATCCTGTATCGTCTTTTGTGTCCCCAAAAGGTCCCCTCCATACGTGTGTGTTTTTGCATCTTGCTATCCCTATTCCTTCTCTTTGTGTATTTACGTTCAACGACCTGCCCTTTCACTGCGTGTTTGTTGTCTCTGAAGAAGCTGCTTTTTTCTGGTCTGCTGCGCCCTGGTGGCATCTTGGTTGTGGAGTACCCGAAGGAAATGGGAAATCTCCCTTTGAAGGTAAGGTCTAGCGGCTCACTCATTCAGCCCTTCCTTGGGGCCTCGAAGCGCTCATCAAAGCTTGGGGAGGAATATGAGATAGTGCACATAGACCGAAGCCGAGAAATAAGCGTAGACACAACTATATGGGCACACTTGGCGTGTCCCCCACTGTATGGTCTGCATAATGGCTGTGTATTTCTCCCAAACGCCATGAGATGATGGAAGCACAACTCTTGTTCGTCGAAGCAACCTCTGTGTGTGCAGATCGGGTTTCCTGGGGCTCCAATGGAGCTCGAGGGCCTCAGGAGCCGTAAATACGGCCGCACATGCATTGCCCTCTATTGGGGAAGGCTACGGGATCAAGGGCAGGAGAGAGGCTCCCCACACTTTTCGCCGTATGTGGCTGCACCCGAGGAGTTCGAAGAGCCCCTAGCTCGCAAGCGCAAGCTAAAGAAAGAGGTAGCAGCAGTACCACCAATAGCTGAAAAGAAGACAGAACTATCATAGGAACCGCGGAAGCACAATGCAGCAGGGGTTAGCTTAAATGAGCGGCGTGTCTCGTGCCGGCCGTACGGCCGGCCGTACGGCTTCCACATGCCTCCCGATATACGCATTACGCAAGTATGCTGGCTGCTACTGTGACTAGCGTCTACCCTATATGCAACATACGTTGGATGCCTCTCGTAGAGCAGTACACTGCAGTGGCCATTTGGCCTGCGAGAAAGTGGGAACTCGCTAATACTGTGCCTGTCTCCACTTCTTTTGTTCCATTGGCTCTCTTGGCGGCGCTCATCGTTAGGCAGGCTCTTGATACGCTTCTCTGCAATATGAACAGCTGACTGTTCTGCTGTCGTTGTTTAGGAGCTGTATATACCTTCATATCTGCACTTGAACAAAACACTGGGTTCCTTTCCTGAGATGCAAATGCAGTGCCAAAGACACCAGAAGAATCAAAGTCTGTAGACACTGGTGCTCCTGCCGTCGAATCTGTGCGGCATATATTGCGGGACGCCACTGCGATGCAGTCGGCCTGAAGCTGCAGCAGAGCAGTGCACTCTGCGGCTTTTCCGTTTCAACAGTTTCAAACTTTGCCTAGCTTTCCTGCGCGCACTTAAATGACCGAGATGTGAGCCCCAACTCCTGTTGCAAAGTCAGGCTTTAAGGGCGCTTAAGGCCCCAAACGCTCTAGCCGCCGCTTCTGCATTACGGGCAGCCACGAGAGCTTCCCCCCTTAACGCGAATGCCACTGGGGGCGGTGACGGCTGACTAGAAGCCAGGGATGGGGCCTTAAAGGTTGAGCTTGGGGGTGCCTCCAAATGGCGAGTCCCTGTCGCATGCACAGGGGCCTGCAGTTCTGCTGGGCTGGCAGCGGAGGGAGTGTCAGTCGACGCGGAATCAGAAGGCCGGTAGCAGTAACTCTGCACGCGTCGCCAGCGTGAATCTAAGACCACCCCGCCCAGCATCTCCACGATTGCAGCACCAGCTGCATGGTCCCAAACCATTAACAGAGGTCTCGCTGGAGCCGTTCCGTCGCCGTGTGCCATTGTTTGCTCCAGATACCCCTTATCAGATGTAGTCCCTGCTTCCGCCTTAGTTAGAGCTTGGAACGCCGCTTGCTCCAGCGACGCACGATGGGTATTGCACGGGCTGCTAGACTGTTTCCCAACATCGCTCGGGGCTCCACTGAGAGCATCACTCGCGTGGTGAGTAGGTAGCAGCAGAAATGCATCAGCGTGACCTAATGCAACTGCGAGGTACTTTACGATGTGCCCAAACCTCAGGGCGAGAAACTGCTGCCCTGAAAATGCGATTTTCCAAAGAGGACCTTCTCTAGGGGTCCCCAGTGTGGAAGCCTCCGTTTGCGGAGTCAAGTTCAAATTAGGGGAGCCCAGTTTGGGGGCTAGACCAATTGGACGTCGCGAACCTTTGCTGTGCGGCAAGGTGGAACGGACCTGCAAAGGCCCAGGAGAGTCTGCAAGCGTTTGCTGGTCCTGCCTTAAGAATGACCTAGCCGAGGGGCCGCCTGAAGGCTCAGACAGAGCAGACAGATGTTGCTGCAGCAGTGAGTGCGTCTGCTGATAGTTTGGTGCAGAAACAGTCCACCGAAAGGGGATGGTGTAGGCACTTGCCGATGCTGCTGCCCGTGCGCCTCCTACGCTTCTCGAGTCCTTTACTGAGCTAGGAGGCACCTCTCTGGCATGGCGAGGGTCGTTACACCACGGCCACTTTGTTATATTGTCATCACGTACTAGATGAAACGCACCCCCCTCAGGCTGTTGCTGCTGCTGCTTCAGCTGGCTGAGGTGCAGCAATGCTCCGTTTCGCACATCTCTTACAGTAAGCCTTGCGGGGAGTCCCTCTGCCTTTGTCAGTACACAACCCCGCAGATGTTCCGAGCAGAGAACTGCTTGGGAAACCTTCTTGCTAGGATCCCCGCAGCCGTCAGTGCCCAAGGCCAACTTCGCGGGTACCCGCTCAACGGTGCTGAGGGAGTCACCAGGGCTCTGGTATTCAGCAACAGCCCCAGCAGTAGCATCAGCAGCACCAAGACCAGCATCGCTGAGCTCTGCAGGCCCCGTATTGCCTTTTGCCGGGCGGTGAAGAGGGCCTCTGGAGGCATGTGGTGTGCAAAAGGGTAAAAGGCCATTGCTTCCGCTGCAGTGCCACAGATCGTATGACGGACAACAAATGGAAGCCAACACTATTTCAGGCTGCTGCCGCTGTTGCTGTTGCTCTTGTTCTGTGTTATGGTGCTCGGGTCGTCTGGGCGTATCCTGCGTTCCCTGTGCGGAAGGTTCGTGCTGCTGGTGCCGCTGCTGCTGCAGCTGCTCACGGCGCACCAGTAGGGCCACAGCAGTTGAGAAGCAGAAGCCGCTCTCTTCCCCAAAGAAACCTCGAGTCCCATCTATTGGGTCAACCAGCCAACACCGCAATCCCTGGGAGCTTGTAGTGCCTCCTATTGCTCCAACTGGTACTTGTGAGGACGCTCTCGCGGATGGTGAAGCATCTCCCGCTTCCCGCGCCACATACATCTCTGGGCGTCGCAGCAGTCGATGTAATCCCCTAAGAAAGAGGACTGTAAAGGGCCCTAGAAGTCCCTCGCAGCCATTTGTATCTGCAGTATCCTCATGGCGTCTATTCTCCCATGCCCCAGCAGTTCCTGCTGCAGCTGCTGTAGTCGATGCCTTTGCTGCTGCTTCGGAGCGCTCCCTCAGTCCGTTCTCCAGCAAAGATATTAAGTGCTGGGGAGCGCCTTCCGAGAGAAGCCAGACCACCTCTCGCAGGAGATGCAAAGGGCTCTCCTTCGCGTCAAGGACCTTAGTCGCAATGGGAACACCTCGGGGCCCCACATCGGTCGTATGTGCGGCAGAGGGCCCCGCCAATAAAGGCTCTTCTACCGTGTGTAATAAAGACTTCTCTGGGATTTCCAACTCCCTAAATAGCTGTTGTGCTGCTCTTACTGCTGCCTCCCTGAGGCGAGGGCCCCCTCCCTCGCTCTGGGCCTCCACAACACCTGCAATGCCGTCATGATAGGGTCCTCTGCGAGGAAGTAAGGAAGAGAAAAGGTCAGCTGTTTCTTCCGCTATAAATATGTCTCCAGGAAAACGGCTGCTGAGTACCCCCAATATCACCACCTGGGTCACTATGTCTGCTGCCGCCACACAGGAACCGTCCTTCTTCTTATAGAGATGCAAAGAAGGAGCTACAGGGGCACCGTCGACCCCCGGTCCCTGTTCCTGCAGCTGCTGTCGCTGCTGCTGCTGCTGAGATCGCAGTAAACCTTGCATGCGCAGGTGCAGGCCCAAGACCTGCGTCAGCAGTGCATGTAGAAACGGCTCCTCCTCAGCACACGGTGAAGGTGGGCCAGATTCTCGAGAGTTCTGCCCGTCTCCCTCCTCAGCCACATTGCCAGAACCACCCAGAGGAACCCCTGACGGTGAGACAGTGATGGGCAGGGAGGTGCTGTGGAGAGCCCCGACACCTCTGGTACGTAGAGGTTCTATTTGCCTCAAGGCTCTTCCAGGCCCTGTCCAGTACTCCCCAGCAGTGGCAGCCGCGTGTCGTCGTCGCTTAGCTCCCAAAAACCCTTGTGAAGACATACTACTTTCGCCCGTCCCTATTACCCTGGGGCTGGCATATCTGAAGGGGGTCACCTCGAGCGGTAGTATTAGCAGGAGGAATACACAAGTAAGCAGCGCACGCGGCCCTCCAACGAGCTGCTTCAGTCCCGCAAGTGTAGCGTAGGGCCGCTGCATCAGCTACTAATAAAAAGTTATCAGAGAATGTCCTAAAGACATGGCGAAGACGCGTGAGAGATAGTCAGGAGGGCGCCTCTTGAGGGGCCCATCCTGATCATGAAGGTCACACGTTGCTCGTCCGTTTGTAGCTGTTTCACAAACGAAAACGACCAGATGAAGACAGTAGCTATGCACTGGCTTGGAAGAAAGGGGAACAGAATCAAACCCAGCAGGAGACACGCTCACGCCACGCGATGTTCGGCGGAATCCATTTATGAGCGCATCATCTGAAACAGCAGCATTGGCTTTGTCCCCAACAAAGAAGAAAATGTTGTTTTCTACTTGTCCTAACTGCAACGTAGCCTCAATACAGCTCAATGGAGCGGTGCCGCTGCTCGTGTCTAGGACACCGAAGACTCAGCACATACGACACTGAGTTCACACAGCACTGAATTCACACAGGAATGCCGCGATCTTTGGCTGGCGCATGTCCCTCATATCCGCCAAGGCATTACAGATATAGGTCCGAAGCTCAAACTTTTTATACGCCAAGATATGACCCAAAACATTCAAAAGTAGGGAATTATCCGAAGCCCTGACCTGTTCGTGATGGTCGCACAGCGTTCTTGAGAAAGCCCTAGCGAACATCAAGCATGGGGAATGAATGAGAAGAAAATAACCACCTCACCAACGTACTAGATCCAGAAAATAGTTTCCAATTTTTTATCATAAACAATGTTAAAGGGGACGTAATCCATAACTTATAATAGTCAGCAGGGCCATGCTCCGGAGCGTTAGTAGTCCAACGGTTAGGATACCTGCCTTCCAAGCAGGCGACCCGGGTTCGACTCCCGGCTGACGCACGCTGTTGCTTTTTTCCAGAGGAACTTTTATGCTCCCACTGGCACAATGTCCTTGCATTTCCTTGTAAGAGCCCTACGGCTTGTCAGCATGTAGGCGAGTGAAGATATGGAATAACTACCTCTTTTGATCAGGTAGAGCAGACTAGAGACAACAGGAAGAAAAGGATAGAAACCCAACATGGGAGTGCGTATTTGAAATGCGTCAGCCGGGAGTCGAACCCGGGTCGCCTGCTTGGAAGGCAGGTATCCTAACCGTTGGACTACTAACGCGCCGGCTTCCAATCCACACTATAGCGCACCTTTCATTTGTTTTATTGCTGCCCACCCACCCTATGCCACACGACAAAAATGCTTCGCATAAAATGTTGATAATGGCAGGCATTATATTCTGCGGATACCACAGAAATGGAGGCGCTTCTCGTGGTGCGTTACTCACACGGAAATGTTGGCGCATTAAACCAAAACCTCCCCAGAATGCCCTGAGTTTCTCTTGAAATTATATGTGTCGGGAACCAAAGAAAGAGAAGGAGTCATCACCTCTGGCTGGGGCTGTTAAAAGTTGGCTGTTTCCTCTCTGTCATCCACCCGCACCTTTGGCCCGTTCACAACGATTACTCGCTTTGTGCACTTCCTTTCAGATTGAACTTAGTTTCCGCGCCGTGAGGATGTGGCAAAGCATGCTATCAGCTCACCAAGGAGGCTGAAGGATGCTGGAAAGTGGCTACCATGCATTTTTCCTGCAAATCAGTTTGAAGAGTCGAACTCCCACGGTGTAGCAGACTATTTTACGTGGGAAAGAAGGCAGCATGCTGATCTCTCTATGCTTCGTACAAACGAGAATTACAAAACGTGTCTGAATGCACGATTCTGAGAGGCCGAGTTAGGGGAATATCTTCAAGGGCGTGCTTCGGTGCACTGGGAAAATCTAGAGAAGAGCAGAGCGGACCTTATTGACTAGGCAAGGCTTAAGCGTCATAGGTTTAAGCACGCCTGCAGTTCAACATGGTCAGCGCGTATCCTCCGAACGCCCGCTAGTGAGTAGAAACGGGACAGCCAAGTGTACTCGGCCAACTTCGCGAAGATAGTGGCTCATGAAGTGGAGTTGTGACAGGTAGATAGTGGACTAATTAATAGCAATTCGTGCCACTACTCACGTAATTCGTCTAATTAAGAGGTTGCATGCTAAGAGTCAGTACCATTAGTCCGACTGGACAATGGTAGTAAAGCGGCAAGATATTATAGGTGAAAACATGAAGACTTTTATTCAATAATGCGGGAGTATGCTGGGACTAATGATCTAGATCTAGTATGTATGGTTAGCTGCTGCTCAGCATTTCAGGCTTTTACGTTTTCGTTTTGCACAAACATAAAGAAATTTTCGACGGCTGAACATATGAATCTACAGAGATGATGGGGAGGCCGTCAGAACTCGCGGGAGTCCACTGGCATTTTTTCTTCAAACTGGAAATTATGGACAGAAGGAGCACAAGGCGAATTCCCTCTTTTGGCATGTTCAAGTGCCTCATGCACAAAAGAAGTCAAGCACAATTTTTGAATTATTCGGTTCTGGGATGAACTAAGGTTACGACCTAGTGTTATGTGCTTTCCGCTAACGTGACAGCTGCCGCTTTTGCTTGAGGAACAAATCCGCCTATGGCCTTTACACTCTAAGGAAACGTCGAATGCGAACACCAGGATGCCGAGAGCTCGCAACAATGAAAGCACACACCCAGCAGGGACAGAATTGGATCGTGCCAATTGTAATACCCATCAAAAATTAAGCATGTTCTAAAAGAGCTGCTGCAAAGGGTTTTGTATCGTTGGTTTCATTCTTATTGCAACAGTGTACATCAGGCCGCGCCAGTATCCGTTTTCATGAAGGAAGCACTCACCTGTCTCACATGTCTCATCAAATCGAGGCGGAGAAAAGTGTTGCAGATATACAGGTTTCGGCAACTAACAGACGCGCTCTCTTTAATTTTGGGTTTGTTTTAGATCTGTGGCGTCGGAAGAGTGAAAGGGGAAATAGCAGTGGTGCATTTTCGACTCACAAGCCCATTATTTACAGTTTCTGATCGCCGTTTGCTATGTGAGGCTTTTGAAACTCCTGCCCAAAATTCTTTGACAGCTGTAGTTTCCAGTTTAGGCCGTTTTTCGCAGGAAGAGTAGCGCGAGGACGCTATAGAGTTAATATTCCACGGGCTAGCTGTGCGTGGGAATAATTAAAATACCACAACTTCTGAACTTGCAGCGGCTGGACTAAATTGAAACGGCAGTGTCTATGGGGAAGGCCTGCCGCAAACGCAAACAAGCACCTTGTGCAGGACCTCACAAGGCTTCTTTCCCGTAGAAGAGTGTTGTGGCAGCTATCTGTCCACCGGTAGCTGCCTAACCGCATACATTGCGTAAATGCTTTTTAATAGTGCGCCTTCAGTTCCTCCACACACAAGATAGGATGCCGTTAATGTTTGGGAGCAAGACAAGATTCTCGATTCTTCTCTTCTTCAGACCTCAGCAAAGGCGGCTAGCTTTTTGCTTCTCTCCAGTGGTGCGAGCTTAATTGCCATTGCTCAAGCAACGGCTAACTATCCGCGATACGGCAAGTGCAGTTTAACACCGCCGTGCCCTCTAAACGGCGGTTATAACCAGGGTTGAATATCATAGCGTATTTCAGAAGAGTTATCTCTTCGTGTGACGAATACGGCAATTATTTGACCTACGCACTTTGCACTAACGCATTTCGGTTACTCGCCTCTTGCTGCCTCGTTTCCCCAGCAGATGAAAATAACGGCTCATCAGGGATATTGTTTGTTTGCTGATTTTGTCCTAAGTACCTCATGTACCTCATGGACGGCCATGTTTTCCCAATGTACTATTAGGCACCTCACTTGCTTGCTCAAACATACAGTAGGAACTGGCACCACAAGTTGTTCAGTTTGATCCTGTTCGTTCACATCTTAAATAAAATCCATATGTGCAGGCATAGAGGCATAGCTGAACGTACGCTGCGCCATCTACTCCGCCTGCTCGGCATTACCGTCGGCGCATGCTCTGCGGAATACCAATACCAGAAATACCATCGTCTACTATCTATTGAATATAGTTCCCTATTTAAGCTCCCAGTATTTATATTGCTTCAAACTGAATTGCGACCAGCTTGGTGTGCTTGGGAGCTAGACAAACCCTGTTGTACGATGTGCTGTCGCAACGTGGGCCTTCAGGCACACTGCCCTGTTAACACGTAGGGCGGAAGTTTCGCACTATTAGGCCATCGTGTGGTGAATTCTTTTTCTCAATTGGGTTCTAGGCTGCTTGTATTGCCCGTGTGAACAGCGGATTCCCGTGGGTGCTGTAGCGGGCTAGGACCAGCTTCGTGCTCAGAGTACTGCTGACTGTCTCGGTGCACAAAAATCTATCAGCCACGAGCCGCCGAATTAGACGTTAATATGGCTTTGCTTTTGTTGTGGTTCCAGTTTTGTTTTTCCAAGTAGATATTTTGGTTCTCTCAGTGTGCGTTGGGCACATCCGAGACACTGCCAGCCCCAAACCCTGGCCGAGCTGCGGAACGTCCAAAGCTCAGGATGCCACAAGACCGCGGTTTCCCAAAGTAGAACAAATTTAATTACGGTTGATCTCCACAACACTACATATTGCAACGTTGCAGGCTGCTCTTGCGAAACATTGTAGTGTTGCACACTGCAGGTTCTACCGTCTTCACAGAGGCGATGCGTCCATCGGGCAGTAGATCTCGTTGGCGCATTCCGCTGTCTTTGGAGAGGCCGCAATATACGCAGTATGCGTTAGCGGGTGCAAATTATCGTGTAGTGCAAGTCTCTCCTATTGCTGTGGAACTAAACCGTGCAGCTTGGAGCCAAGACGCCTACGAGGCTTTGGCGGCGGGAGCATGTAAGAACTTCTCTGCCACGTCGGAGGAGAAGACTCGCCGGGAAAGAAGAGGAAGGAATAGCGACTCTTCGGAGGCTTCCTTCTATTCGGGCAGCGAAGTGGAAGACGGTGACAGCGACGGCGAAAGCCAGGAGGCTGCGGTTCTCCAGATGACTCCGGAGGACATAACGCAAGAGGAGGACGGCCTGGAGGAAGATTTTGTGGCTGCATGCGCAGCGAAACAACAGGGAGAGCAGTGGGAAGCTGAAGTTCGTATACCTGTGCCTCTCTTCCGCCGCCTAAATCGAAAGGGCACATCAAAGGGTGCACTTTGGAGGACCTTACAGCTTCTAGGTGCAGAGGCCGGACATTTTCAGATTCCTAAAGGGAGAACTGGTGATGTGGTGTTGCCCCTGCGGTGTTGCACACAGAGAAGGGTTTGCCTTGCTGTGCGGAAGGTCCAACAGCTCGTGGCGTCAAAGCGCAGCTCTCTGCCAGTCACTCATTTTATATCCCTTCCCCTTGCTACTCCTGAGCTCCAGGCTCGGTTTGAGGTGTATAAACACTTGATGCTTGCGTCAAAGTATCCAGGCATTGACGAGAGCTTCTTCGTCAGCAAACATAAGCTGCACATCACTCTTCTTGTCCTCCGGCTGCTGACCCCAGCAGAGATAAAAGCCGCAGAAGCCGCAGTCAAAGCAGCAGCAGCGGACTTATATGACGCAGTCGGCACGAGAACGCTGCTGGTGCACCTCAAGGGGAACAGTTGCTTCTCTGATGACCCTTCTGCCGTCTCTGTTATCTTCGCCCCGTTGTACTCAAGGTAAACGATTATCTCCGTTGCCGTTTCAGGTGGATATACACCCGCTGAGCTAGAACGCCGTGCATTGGCCTTTGTGGGAGCTCTTTCGGTAGCGACTCGGCCGCGTCGGGAACTTCCGGGCCTCTCACTCATGGGCATAGGCCTTTGCTTGAGTTTGGTGGCGTGCAGTTTGCTGAAAATGTGCTATTTGTGGGTTGCAGTGAAAGTGCTGAGGCATTGGAGGGCACGAAAGGGGTACTGAACAAGCTTGAATGTGGTTGGAATGCAATTTGCTGAAAATGTGCTATTTGTGGGCTGCAGTGAAAGTGCTGAGGCTCTGGAAGCCACAAAACGAATGCTGAACAACATGGCACGGTTGTTGGCGGAACGCCTGCAGGCAGAGGGACTCTTGTCTCGAGAAGAGCTAGAGGAGCAACACGCTCTCGGTCCTGAGGGGGAGTTCGATTGCACCTTCCACATGACATTGTTGAAGACGCTGTACAAAAGAACCGCGAAAGAGCTGCCTCTGCAGCAGGAGCAGGAACAGCAGTCGCACCTCGCAGCACGGAAACAACCCAAAAGGGCAGTATTTGACGCTACTCAGCTGCTTCAAGACATGAGGGGATTCGACTTTGGCGTAGTTCGCGTTCCCGCAGTGCAGCTTAATTCTGTGTCCACGCAAGACCAGAACACCTACCACTGCCTGGCCCAAGTGGATCTGCCGTGAAACAGCTAGTCATGCTTAGAGGGCAGCGACCACTCCAGATCTTCACTTTGCGATTAGTTTAGCAAGCTGAATAGTGAAGAAGCTGGGAAACTAACTCCGGTTTTCGCTAGTAGCACAGCGTCTTCGCTAGGGGCACAGAGAGCTAGATAGGCAGCTAGGCGACGGCTGCTGAACCGAGCTCGTATGCATGGTTTTATTTACTCGCAGCGGCAGCATGGGGAACAGCACGTGCTGCTGCTGTTGGCGGGAATAGGCTCTGTGGCGCCTACGGAATGTTTTTTGTTTTTGTATTTGCCTGGCAAGCATGAACACGCTGGGGCATGAAGATATCTACACTGCCAACGCAACTACTGCAGTTGCCATTACAATGTGGCGCGGTTCCCTTTAGCTACTGCAGCAGTCACTGGCCTCTGCAGTTGCAGCAATTGTTTCGACAGAAGTTTCGGGGACCTCGTGGTCGGCGAATGCCGGCACGGGCTTTCCGTGAATGCTGATAGTCCGTTGCAACGTAGCATAGCGCCGTAGGGCAAATTGTATTTCTGGGTACAGGTTCATGAGGTTCATGGCGGTGGCCTAGCAACTCGTCGCAATTTCGGCCAGACTCCCAGACGCAGATTGGCGGAGGAGGGGGGTGGTACCGCTATAGCCGCTAGCTACAGCAGGGACTCTCAAGGACTCTCGCGTTTTGAGGGTAGTGCTCTGCAATGGGATGGTAGTTCAGGCAGACTAGCCCTTCACCAGAGAGTAGCTAGGAAAGGACTGCGGAGTGCGCCTTCCGTGCTGGCAAGTTTGGTTTGTTCCTTGTCTTCAGCGCACGTGTCTTGGGGCCAAGGCGAGCCTGTAACATCAATTTAAAATTTTGGGGACTAACGGTCAACGCTTTATAATGTATGGTGTCGAAGTACAGCAGAAGGTTGGGTTCACTCCAGCGGTCGGGGCCCTAGCACCTTTCCCTCTGTACAAGAGTAAGAAAAGCCGGAGCAGAGAAGAGCCATCAAAGTAGCAACAAGAAGGCAAAGTACCACGTCAAATATGAGGCCTTGTTGGGCACGGGCCTAACGAATAGTGCGACAGCGGCAACAGCAGCTGGAGGAGGAGCTGCTGCAACAGCAGCAGCTGGAACAGCAGCAAGGGCAAGAGCTGTTGCAGCTGACCGAGTGCCGCAGCAGCAGCCCCATATACTCTAGTGGAGGCTAAACATCGGTTTCTAATTCCTTGAGGCTTCGTTTTGTTACTTCTGATCGATTTCTCCGGGTGTATCGGCGGCGGCGGCTGCTTCGCTGGGGCGGCGCTATTGCTGCTTCATCCAGTGCTTCTGGAGCCCACCGCAGCAGCAGTCGGTCTTCGTGCCCTTCTACCATGCAAAACCCTTCTTGACTAGCAGAGGCAGCAGCGACATCAGCAGCGACTACGACAGTGTCAACGCTAGCACTGGCAGCGCCAACAACAACAGCAGCGAGCCGTATAACCAGGAATGAACATCTCTGCTGCACCGTAATTAGGAATTTCCATCTTGGGCACCTTACAAAGCTGTTCCTGTTCACTGGAAGGTCTCTTGGTACCTTTGGGACTTACTGTGTGACCAAAATATCTAACGGATGGTGCCTTCCTGCCCCAGACCCCACTCAAGCCTCAGAGCTACCAAGCATTACCAGACCCCACAGAGGATTCCCTTCAGCATCTGAGCGTGGCAGCATCCCATACAGCAGGAGCAGCAGCATCACTAGCAGTTGCGTGGGTGCAGCGACAGCCGCTGAAGCACCACCAGCGCCCGCAGCGGCAGCAGCAGCTTCAATGACGCCAGAGAGGGTCGCCTTGCCCCAGGATCCTCCTTACTCTGATATGCAGTTTCCAGGGGCCGTTCCAAGTGGGACTTGGGCTCTCCAAGCCTTTTCCGCGGCGTTTGAAGAGCAAGCGGCAGCATCAGCTGCTTCCGGAACGCCTGCCAGTGCTCCGGCAGTTGCTACGGCTGTTGCTGCTGCTGCTGGCTCAGCTCAAGCGCAGGGTGTGCAAGATGGGACCTCTACAAGCTCCTGTCCCGCCCGTATCAGTAGCAACAGCAACACAAGAAACAGGAACTGGGGCATCGGGTCCGCGATAGCTTCTGCAGCACTTCGGTTGCCTCCCCCTTGCCCATTATCCTGGCTGTCATATGATGCTGATGGTTGGGGTTCTCCGGAGGGTGCTTCGAGTCCACGCAAGCGGGAAGGCTGGGGACCCGACAGTAGAGGGTTTGGGGGTTCCTTTGTAATGGAGGGCTCGAGTGTAGGCCTTATGGAGAGACCCTTGGGTCTACTGCCTCCCTGGTTTGGTGCACTTCCTCGGCTACTTCTGCAGCAGGAGGTGGCACTAATGCTCACTGTGGGTTCAGGGAGATCCGTGCTAGAAACGTTCACGGAGGTTGTTCTGAGGGAGCAGGCTGCTCGAAAAGCGCTACAACGTTGTGGGGACCCTTGGCTGCAGCGAGCCGCAGCAAGCAGTTCTGCAGCAGCAGCAACGGCAAAGGGTTCTGTCGCTGCTCTACCTTCTGCAAAGGCGGTTGCAGGCACTGCTCACACCGCGGAAATCCCTGCACGCGCAGCAGTAGCAGGGGAAGAGCGGGGTGCACCAGCAACGTCAGCTGCGGGAGCATCTGCGGCAGTAGCAGCACAGCATCAGCTGACTCTGCCCCCCAAAAGGGTTCAGGGCCGCCTCTGGGAGGCAGAGGCTTTTGGGCCTCCTGACGAGAGCCACCCCGAGCCTGTGGCTGGCCGCTGGCAGGAGGCCCTGGAGCCTCACCCCTACGGGCATACTGCGCGAGGGGCTGCCCACCTGCGGGGGCCTTTGGGGGCAGCCACGCAATCCAGCGAGCGTCCAGAAAATTCGGACCAATCGAGCCCAGCTGGAGCATCGGTACCACCTGCAGCTCCTGCTTCGGCAACCGGTACAGAAGCTGCTGCTGCGGCTTCTGCCACCACAGCAGCGGATATTGAGAGCAGGGCGAGGCGCCTGCTCCATCAGCTCAAAGCTTTCCCGCCTTTTAGTCTTGGAACCACTAGAAATTATGGGGCCTCCTGGGGCGTTTTTAAGGGCAATGGAGCACAGCGGGAGGCCCTTGAGCTGATGGAGCAACTTTGGATGCATATGCAGCAACCTGGTGTCACTGCAGCAGCGGCACCGGCAACGACGGCAGCACGAGTGGCCGTCAGCGAGGCAGCTGTTAGCGCAGCCCTGCGGTACGGCTCTGTGCGGGAACTCTTGTTACTGCTTTTGCTATGTCTCGCTGCATTGCAGCATAAACAGCAGCAGCAACTCGGCTTCACGGGATTAGATACTCGGGCCGTGCCTTCTTCGTCAGTTGATGCGTCAGGACAAACCTGGGATTTTGCAGGACCAACAGCTGGAGTTGCAGCAGGAGAAGCGGCGATACCACTGCAGGAGGAGGAGGCGTCTACTGTTGCTGCTGAAGGCGCAGCTTGGGGAGATGCTGCTCTGGAGGAGCTCCAGATTTTGTCTCTTCTAAGGGACTTTTCGTGGTCTCAGCGGAGCCGCGAAGACTGCGCGTATGCAGGGGCTGCCGCAGTTGATATTACCGCAGCAACAACAGATACAGCAGCAGCAGTCCCACTGAGAGGCCGTGCCTCACTCGTCGTTACGTGCAACCCACGCGTTGTCGCTTGGCGTCCCCACAGTCCGGCACGTGAAGAGTTTCGCGAGCAGCAGCAGCAGCAGCAGTCCGCTTCTGCTGCAGCAGGCACGCTATCTGTTGCCGCAGCAGTTGCCGCTGCAGCAGGAGATCCGTCAGGACCTGGACATGATGCTGTCGCAGCTTTAGGCCGCGGCAGCGACTCTGGGGCATCTTCTACAGAAGAGGAAGGTGATATTTTCACAGAGGTGTCAAGACAGCGAAGGAGCACAACAGCAGCAACGGCAGCCGCTGCCGAGCCTGTAAACGAAGGCGACCCAGACATGCCTATAAGCATATTTCCTACGTCCCACCAAGTGCTTTCTTCACGGCATCAGCGACAGCAGCGGCAGCAGTTGCTGCAGCAGCTGCTCGAGCAAGAACACGAGCAGGAGGAAACGTTTGTGATTCCCAACTGGACGGGCTTGCGGCCTTTCGAATTGCCTCGAGGGGCGATTTGTGGCGTACGTTTGCTACAGGAGCCAAATCATACGCGGCTCGGGTACTTGTGTTTGCCACGAGGTAGCGATTTGGAATGCATAGACAGCTCACTGCCTTCAGAGGAAAACAGGCACAGCAGCGCCAGGTTGCGTGCAGCATTATGGTTGCCGGATGGCCGCGGCTGGAGAGCTCCTTTGTCCGTTCGGGATGAAGTATTGATGTTGACAGCAGAGGAGGCGCTTTCCTCTACCCATGTGCTGCTGCAGCAGGGGCCTCAGAGGCCTCAGAGACTCAAGGAGATGCTGCCACCGCTACTGCTTGCAGGAGCAACAACAGAAACGCAGCTTCCACACACGCAGGAGCAGCAGCATAGTGAAGAAGCCCCTCACGCCGCTGCTTCTGCAACGGGATTGACCTCCTCTGTTGCAAGTGGAGCAGCAAGCGGTTCGTTTGTAAGAAGAAGCGCAGCAGTTGCTGTTGCACCTACTGCTGCTGGAGAAACAGGAGAGTGGGAGGGTGGCGATGCCCCTGCAAGCACAAGCAGCAGCTGCAGCAGCAGCAGCTTGCGGGATGAGTGGTTTGCAGCGGCAGAGACACGCGAGTGGGCCTGCGAGGGCGTCCACATTTGTCAATTCCGGCTGTCCGAGACCTTAACCGCGGCGGCTAAGGTAGAGGGAACAGACCCGCCCCCCCACCCCTTGCACGCCTTCCAGGTAGGGGTGGCTTTATGTGACGCCCAAGGCCATCTTTACGTTGTTGAGAGACCCGCATTATCAGCAGCAATAGATGCAGACTCATACAGCCAGAGGGAGGTGCTGCATCGCTGCGGCAGACTTGAGGGTCCTCTTGTAGGCACACCTGGGTGCTGCGCAATGAGCAGCAACGGGGACACATGGGCAGGTGTACTTCACCAGGAGTATAAGGCTGGTTCTACTGCTGCTGGGGGAAGTAGCAGCAGCAGCAACGGCTGCAGCCCAGAGCGAAGGCGTCTGATTTCTGAGGAGGAGAGCGCATTCCCAAAGAGCAGAGCGGCATCCGTCTCACCTGTTGCAACAGCAGCAGTAGTAGCAGATGCAGAAGGGGCTGCGGGAGGAGGAAGAGACAAATGGCACTCGTGCAGTGGAGGGGAGAGGACGCTCAGGCGACTGGAACAGGCTTTAGCCGGCGGCGATATCGGGGGCGGCCGGCGCAGTTGGAATGTAACTTTAATACTTGACGCAGACAAAGGGGACCTTTTGGTCTTCGTAGAGGGGCGGAAGGTGAGCCAGATGTGAGAAAGTGGAATGCCGACTTGAAATAGAGCCAGAGAAACTGGCAGACAGGAATGTGGGTCGAGGCCGAGACAGGCAGAGAGCAAATGTAGAATGCCTCGAACATCAGAGAAGTAAATAAATGGTGCAACGCACCACGGATGAGTATGCAGAGCTAGCTGAAACATCCGCAGGGCAGTTAAGAGGTGGTTGTGTTTCACGCAAACAGTAGCACGACGTCAAGCAGCAGATGTGAATATTTGTGCTACTATGACTGCAGGTCTACGCATGCCACTGTTTGCCGGTGCTGCCGCCGTTTCTGTGGGGTGGCAGTGGGAAAGAGACGGTGGGCTACCGATTTTGCGTTTCTCTGTCTTCGTCGTCTCAGTCGGCATCCCTTGTTTTTCTTCCTACCCTGGGAGGCCGTGAGCTGCGGCAGCTAGTGGGGCAGCAGCTGCAGCACCGCAGCACTGAGTTTCTTTACGTGCGGAATGCTGCAGCAGAACCCGCGTCGCTGCTTGCCGTCGTGGCTTCTGCATTGCTTCGGCTTGCCGAGGGAGCTCATACAACGCTACAGCAGCGGGAGACAGCAGATAGGTTTACTTTCCAGCCGCAGCAGCACTACCAGCGGCGGCGTCGAAGCGATATTGGAGACGCTTCAGGAAAGGCGCAACAACGTTTTGCCTTCGCGCTCAGGCCTGACAGTGCCGCCTTGTGGCTTATCTATTGCTGCATTATCGTCAGCATACGCACTCTGCAGCAGCAGCAGCACTTGCGCCGGATCCAGGAGCAGCGGCAAGTCATAGAGTCGATAGATCTAGGCAAGCCTGAAGCAAGCCAGGAGCGACAGCATCAACACTTGGTGCAACGCCAAGAACCAGAGGATCATCAGGAGCAAGAGAGACTTCGGGGGCAGCAGCAAGCACCTGAGCCCGAGGTGTCAGAAGCAGGGCCGTCGTGTCGGGTTTCACCTTCAGTGGCGAGCGCAGGAACAGCAGCAGCTAGCGGCAGAACGTGCAACGCAGCAGCAGCTACTGAGAGCTGTCTGCTGTCAGCAACTACCTCCCTCTTGCGTCTTTGGTCACTAGTGCTCCCCTGTTCTGCAGCAGCTGCTGCGCAACGCCCTGTGTGCACCAGCACGCGAGTTACATACACTGCAGCAGTAGCAGCAGCAGCTCTGAATAGAAGAGAAAAACTTCTCGAGGAAGTGGCGCCTCTGTCGCACATACTGGCGGAGGCGGAGACAGCAGCACCACTGCTGTCCCCTGTTCCCGCAGTTGCCGAGTGTCTGGCGCACAGTTGCCTTGGAGGAGCAGCTGTCTGCTGCAGGGACTTCAGCAGTGAGAGTGGGTGTTCCTTGGGGGTATGGCTGTCGAATCTGCCTGTGGCCTCTCACTGGAGATGCCAGCTGAAGGCTGCTGCGCTGATTGCTGCATGCGGTGCCCGCGTGGACTACTTGCGGCTGCTGCCCACGTCTGGCCTGCTGCCGTTTGCTGGAGGTTCTGCAGCAGCAGCAGCGGCTGCTTCTGCCGTCACTGCTGGTTCTGAAGATGGTGTAGTTTCTGGAAGGGCTGATTGCAAAGAAACTGAATGCGTTAATTTCTTTTCGGGGGCAACCCGTGCCGCTGCGGAAGCCTTTGTAGAGACACTGCCTCTCATCCTGCGGTGTCTTGACAGCTTGGCTCTCGTTTTGGCAGGGTCAGATGCTGCAGCTGTCGGCACGCAGCGGCCGCGTGACGGGCAGCAAGAATGCTCGCCCGTTGTAATCGCTGCGCTGGGAACTGTCGCATCAAAGGCGTTGCATGCGCTATCTGCCTCCGCTGTTGCTGCTGTTGCTGCTGCACATTGCCCAGCTCCGCTGCTCCTTCAGTTACAGCAGACGCTGCTGCGGATTGGCAGGCTTCCTGTTGCTGCTTTTCTTAAAATGCCGCGTGAAAACGGCAGCAGATTAACAGGGAACTCGAGCAGGGTTGAGTCACTAGGCTTTGGTAGGGAGACTCAGCAGTTACAACAGCAGCTAGAGGCTGAAGCTGCTGGGGTTGAAGTGTCAGCTGCTCATCTATCTTGTCTTGCCCTGAAAGCGCTAAGGCGGCTACTACTGCAGCAGTTTGCTGGCGTAAGGCGAGGCTTACTACACGCAGTAGAAGAGACAATTCTTGTGTGTCGTTGGTCAGGCGTACACACAGGGAACCATAGAGAGCAGCAGCAGCTTAGAAGAAGAAGAAGCAACAGTAAGGTTGCAGCCGCAGCGCCACTAGCGCAGGCGGGATCAAGTGCGACGGCAGCACAGACAGCTGCGGCAACAGCAGTAAATCCAGCACCAGTTAAAGCAAGGCCGTTCGAGCCATCTTTCCCTGTTTCGTCAGAGGGCAGCAGTGACGAAGGCCGTGCTTTGCAGTCGTCTGCGGCGGCTGCATCGGCAGGACAGCAAGAAGTGTTTGCCGTGGGAATTTCACAAACGGCTCACCCGTTAAATTCTTCCTTGGGTGGCTCCGAGGAGCAGCAGCAGCAGCAGCAGATGCAGCAGCAGCAGCAGGCAGGAGGTTCCCCGCCAGCAGCAGACAGTAGTAGCGTTGCAGGGAGTGTCTCCAGTCTGTCCTTCACAGAGAGCAGCCTGACAATGAAGGTGCGGGACCGTTTGCACCTTCTCGCCCACTCCATTAACTGCATGTTCGCTGCGGTTGGATACAACGGCAGTAGCAGCAGTGGCAGCAGCAACTTCGGAGCACCAGACAATCAGGTGCAAAAAGTGATGTCTCTGGTGCTGCTGCAGCTGCAGCTGCTGCTGCGGTTTCGGCGACACTCGCTTGTTGATGCGCTGCAGTTGCTGCTGAAGAGGGTTCCTCCTTTGGGATCCAGTGGAATGCCCCGGCCGGAGTCCCCGTCTGTTCGCGTGGCTTTGCTGCTGCACGAAGTTGATGCGTTTTTTCTGCGGGTGCTTCCGCAGCTTATGCTGTTACAGGGGGACTTGGCCACAGTGGCAAACAGGGCTAACGCTGCTGCCTATGCTACTAGTGCCTTAAGCTACAGTCCCACGAAGCATCCACAAATGCAAACACTTTCCAGTAACAGCTGCAGGAACAGAGACAAAAACAGCAGCAGCGAAAGGCCATCTTCGGGCACAGAAGACATTTGCTGGAGTGACGGGTACAGTCGGGAATTCAAGGAGGACGTGGCAGTGTACGTACTAGAGACGCCGCACCCCACTGTCCCCTTCGAGGCTCAGAGGTTCGTGCTTGATTTTACCGCCAAGTGGGGAACAGCCGAGCTGGTGCAGGTCCCGGGTTCTGCTGCTGCAGCTGTCGCTGCTGCTACAAGCACTAGTGGGGCATCTCAGAGCCGCAGCAGGCGCGCAGGAGGCAGCAGCAGCGAGGGTGCAGCATTCACTGCGGCAGATGGAGGTTCGGTTGGGGGAAGTGTGGGGCCGGTGGGTAGTCCAAGATCAACTCGAGCTGCAGCCGTATCTCCGTGGCTGCCGCACGAAGGGGGGCCTCCTCTCCCTTTTGCCAGACGTGTTCGGATTCAGATAGACCCGAGGAGCTTTGCTGCGGCGCAAAAAGGAGAAGTTATCATAAAGGTTGGCTTCCGCTGCCTCTCGTGCTAATTCTGCTGCTGTTCCTGCTGATGAGCCTTTTTCGTAGGTTCGGAATGTTGGTTTCCTTTGTGCCGCCATTGTTGTTTTCAGTGTCTCATGTTGGCGAAAGATGGCCGATATTTATTTTCAAACTGCTGCAACTATGCTTGGGTTTGCGGTGTCACCCGTTACAGGTTTTGAGCTCGCAGGGTCCCAAAACCCACAGGGTGCGGGAGGGGACTCAGCAGCGACTACGCTTCAAGGATGTCAGGAAACTTGAGGTACGCAATTTGTGTTTCTACTGACGTTGCTGTCAGAGCGCAGGAGATTTGCACTCACTTCTGCAGTTGTGTTCTTCAGTACTCCTTCCAAGTCTTCTTCCTGATGTTGTTGTGGCCACTAATTGTTTTTCCCGTCGGATGCTGGTGCTGATTTTGCAGATATACGTGAGCCTACCATCCAAGGGAGGTGACTGGGGGCTGCGCGTAGTGGTAGAGGCGACGCGCCGGCGTTTACTTTTTTCTGCGGGCGGTCCATACCAGCTACGCTTGGCTGCGGCTGATGCAGTTTCTTCTTTTCTGCTGCATTTGGCAGATGATTTGAGTCCTCTCAGGCCCTGGGGAGGGCGGGGAAGCTCTCAGAAAGACGTGGAGTCGCTGCAGCAGCTCGCAGGCAATGATTTTCTGCATTCCGCCAGGGCTCTCAGTGGCCTTCTGCGCACGGGCATGGCCCGACTGCTACCCCCGGAACTTTGGTGCTGCCAGCCCACCGAGGCGCCTCACTTTATTACTCCTGAATCAACAGCAAAGCCAGTAGCCGCAGCAGGAGATATCGTGCCTTCTACAAGGCCAGCTCCATGTGTGTCTATCCCTTGGTCTGCGGGGCGCGGAGCCCTTCTTGCAGCAGATACTCAACTGCGCCAGCAGCAAGTGCAGCAAGTGCAGCAGGGGAGCGCAAATATTGCTTCTGAAACTGGTGCCTTGCCCCTTGATAGCGCTGCTGCTGCTGCTGCCGCTGCTGTCAACATTAATGGCGCAGCTGGCACTAATGTTGGAGGATGCCCACCCTGCTTCGGTGGATGGGTATGGGGTGAGGAGGGCCCAGGGTCGATTTTATCTGAGTTTATTTGCTTGGGCAGCCTGCGTATGCGTCGTGTTGAAGCATTTATAGCTGACCGTATGCCAGCGCACCTGAAGCAGCAGCTGCCGGCTTTGTTGCCTGGCTCATTCCTGCGCATGCGGTGGCTGGAGCGCGCTGTCTTTGCGGCTCACCTGTGGGCCATCCCGTCGCTTTACAGGCTTTTCGGGGATCTGGTAGCCCTCTTAGAGGATCAAGGTCCTCCCAGTCGGGAGACCTCTCCGTTGCAGCAGCAGGAGCAGCGTTTGCTGCAGCTGCAACAAGGGTCGCCGCGATTCCTTCTGTTGGCGGCATTATGGCACCACGCAACGCAGCAGGCGCGACTTCACCTGCACGCGAAGGCGCAGCAGGCCGCTAATCAAGGCGGAGGGGCTTCTAAGAAAAACCCCCAACTGTATTTCAGTGCAGGCAAAGCTGTGGAGACAGCCGTGATAGCCGTCAGGGCCATTAAGCTGCAACCGCTGCAGCGCGACCCCGTGGAAGAATTTATTGTTGATGTAACTGCATCAGGAGCAGCAGCGAATAGTAGCAGCAGTAGCACGATGGGCAGCTCCGCGAGCCAGTTGCCAATGCGTCGAATCTTCGCGGGTCTGGTGGAGAGGTTAAAGAAACACGCTCCATTGCATGCGGCGCTGCGGCTCTTGCTAGGAGACGTCGACCCAGCATCCCTGCGTATCGCCCTAGAACTGCTACAGGGAGTTGGTCTGAGGGCCGGCGTTGCGGCAAGGGGGTTGGCTGTGCTTCTGCAGCAGCTCCAGCCTCAGTTGCATGCAGCACTGGACCCAAGCACGTCTAGCAATAGCCACAGCAGCCACATTAGCAATGGCACCTACCTAACATGTCTTGTCGTCGACTCCGTTTGGAGGCTGTTACGCCTTCTCCAGAGCACTTCCGTGGCCTTCTTGGGCCCCCCAGGGACTTCCTCGCTCCCTGCGGCCTTTACTGCGGCGGAGCTTCACAGGTAAACACACATTGCTCCTCTGCTTTCTTTCGCCATTACCACTACTATTGGTATACACAGATGCTCCAGGGAGCCTTTTCCTGCCGTCTTCGAAACGCACGTAACCGTGCGAGCTTCCGGAGCTTGCAGTGCTGTATGTAGCTTTTACGCTGCTGCGTTTGTTGTCGTGGTTTTGCTTCTGCAGGTGCTTGGTTACAGATTACGAAATTGTTTGCCGTTCGTTTTATGCCTATTTACTCTCGGGCACTCCTGCGGGCCCTCCTCCTCAACGTCACCAGCAGCAGCTGCAGCAACGGCAGCTGCCGTGGGTTCCCCCTGTCGTTAGACTAGTACTGCAAGAGCGTCGTAGCCGCTCGGGCGGGGTATCTGCGCTGCCTGGTTTGGCCGCGCTCTGTGTATCTTTAGCATCGCACCTTTGGGGGCCTCCAGGGGCTCCCGCTTTCCAAGCTATGCATAGTGCCGGGGTGGACGCACAGAGCCTCACAGCAGCAAGCGCCGTCTTGGGGCGAGCCTGGCTGATCCCGCATCTCTTGTATCTTCTCATGATGATTCTTAGGGCTTGCTGGGGCGCACAGGTTCAGCAAGCGCAGCTGAAGCGCCTCGACAGTGATGATTTTAGCGCCAACGGGCACGGATGTGGACGGGCAAAGACGGCGGCGGATCCAGCAACAGTTGCAGCAGCAGCTGCTGAGGATATCGCAACAGTGACAAACTGCTGCGTTTCAGTGATGCGTTCAGTGGGTGACGCATTGCACCGTGTCCTTCAGTGGCAGTCTGCGCTGGTGGCACAGGACGCAGCAGCAACAACAGCAACAACGGCCACAGTAGCGAAGCCAACAAGAACAGCAGCTGCTGGAGACCGTCGCAACAGCAGCACTAGCAGCAGACAAACAAGCATCTGCCCTAGCGATGCCCTCGTAGATGTAGCAGTTGTTTTTTTGCCGGCTTCTGCAGATGCAGCAGGAGCATCAACACGAACGAGCTTCAACGGCAGCACCGTCTCAGGTCTTGGGGGCTGGCACAAAGGGTCGCCGTGGGAGGAGGTTCCATCCGCAACACGGGAACCGGGCGGCGTTCGCTGCTGTCCTGCTGCTGCTCGTGTGCTGCAGCAGTACTTCACGAGGACGCAGAGGAGCCTCCTGCAAACTGCGAGAGGGCCGTGTTTTGTAGAGGTTTGGGTGCGTACGGTTGGAGCAGTGCTCTCTGAGTTAGCGATGCAGGAGCAAGCGTTAGCCAGCAGTAGCAACAGCAGCAACAGTAACAGCAACAGCACCAGCAGCAGTAAGAATAGGCGCAGTTTGGTTGCTTTGGGTGTAGTGGACACACGAGGAGTTACAGATGCTGCAGCCCGTCTATCTTTGCCAGTGGAAGACACATTTGTCCTTGCATCGCCCGCCTTACCTGGTTTCGACGATAGGGACGACGCTGGATTTTCAGAAGAGGTATCAGCAGCAGCTGTTCCAGCAGCACAAGCATCAGCAGCAGCATCCGCGACAGGAACAACTGGAGCAGCAACGGTAGGGGGAGATGGAAATAAGGGCAAGGATTCTCATCATGTGGAGGCAACAGCGACTATCCTGACAGCCGCAACAGCAGCAGGCACTGCGACAGAGAGAATAGTTACTTTTGCACACAGACTGCCTTCACCCATGAAGGGAGGCCCACCACAGCCCCTGCTGCGAATATACGGCCCGCCTCCAGAGGCCCTGCTGGCTGCTGCTGAGGTCGCTGCTGCTTGTCAGTGCGGTCACGCTGACGAAAAAGCTTTTGAAAAGGGGGACGAGGAGGACGAACAGCAGCAGCCGCAGAAGCAGCGGCATGACGCGCGTTACTGCGACTGTGGGCGTCTTTTCTTTCTTAATGGAACAAGGGCGTCTGCGAATGCGTGCCCACCTGGAACCCGTGTTGCTGCTGCGGTTCGTGTTATTCCACACAAAGAGACTTCATCAGCTGCGGCGGCAGAGACAAGCAGCAAGGGAGTATACTTGCTGGGGCTCTATGGAGAGCTGCAGCAGCCAACACCCCGAGTGCTCCAGGCTGCGCAGCGACGAAGCATTCGTGCTGCGGCGTCGCCTCGAAATTCGGAATGCCCCACCGGGTCATACGGAGAGGCTCACTTGGGGCTGAGAGCTCAGCTTCGTGTTGCCCAGGAGGCGGCAGATGCTTTGGAGGTCCAAAAACTGTGGCTAGCTGCTGCAGCTAGCTGCGCAGACAAGCTCTGGCTCGCCTTTAGAGCATGTCTAGCCGCCTGCGGCTCTGCCCTTGCCCTAGGTTCACCATGTGGCCCTTCAACTCCACGAGTTGGCAGTTCAGACGCACTCAAGTGTAGTGTTGATGACAGCACCAACAGCAGTAACAGCAACAACACCAGGAAGTGCTGCTGCTGCTTAGACAAGACGGAGGAAAGGATTTCGCCGCTGAGTCAGGCTGCACTGAATGAGATCTCAAGGGCTCTGTGGTGGGCGCTGCCTCACCTTGAACACTCGCCGCAGCAGCAGCGACAAACTTCTGCAGCAGATGGGGCAACCGCATCCGCCTCAGGTGCTGCAGTGGCTAAAGCTGACTCACAGACAGACCCGCAGCAGCCATCCACGACGCGACATTTTGCTTCGAATTTCTTGAGGCTGCTTAGTGTCTCTTCAGTAGCTGGACGAGGAACAACAGCAGCAGATGCATCGTTGCCGTCAGTGCAGGAAGCAGCGGACCGGTACCTGCACATGACGCCGACGATGGAGCACTACTCACCTCCAACAGCGGGCCCGCAGCTGCTGGGAATAGGGGTTTCTTTCCTCGCGGATCTGGTGTGGACCGGCGTTGTTTCCACGGACGAACATCAACAGCAGCATCGGCGGAGGCGCTGCAAGATGCTCAGCCTGAAAACGAGTAGACGCCCCCCACTGTGTTTGACTGCGGAAACTATTGCGGTGTGCCTAGTGCAGCTGCTTCTGCGGTGGCTACTCCAGCACGCGCAGCGACGTCTCATCAGTTTATGGCTACTGCATCAGCAGCAAGGCCAATTGCTGCAGAGGCTGGTGGCAACAGCTTGTTGCGGACGACCCTTGCTGGGCCGTCTGCTGCTGCGGCTTGTGCATGCAGCCATCATATCTGCTACCAGTCCCTGCAGTGCATGTGGGCTCCCCATTGCTGCGACAGAGAGCTTAGACGCTGCTGCTGCTGCAGCACCATTGCTACCCAGCGCGCCGTGCTGGCACTTGCTTTCTCTCACAGGCCTTGGGGTTCGCGAAAGTGACAGCGCTACAACTCATTCAACTTATGCTCACCTTCAGCAACAGCAAGGAGAGAAGGCCCAGAGCCATTCATCACCAAAAGGAGCAGCTGGCGGTGTTGTAATGGGAGTAGCAGCTGCAGGACCAAAGGCAGCACCAGCTACTGATCTGGCAGCAACAGCTGCAGTAATCAGTCCTTTGGGCCTGCTGCGTCCTTGGGGGAGCTCCGTCTCTCTACGTTATGTGCTGCTCCGGGCTGCTTTTCCCTTAGATACAGATGCGGCGAGTTGGTGGCGCCTGGAGATCTCGCTGCCCACTGCCGAGTTTGAAGTGGTTGCCCTCACTGGATATGATGTCAGGCTTCATGTTGGCTGCTTCTTCTGTGCCCCAAGCTGCTTTTGACTTCTAAGACTGGCGGTTCTGCCGTGGCTGTTGCTGTCTCCATAACATTTGCTGTACTTGCGGCTCCCATTATGACCTGGGGTGCTGCTGCTTTGGGGCCTTTCTGTTTGCTGCCGTAGCTTCGGATAGGAGGAGTGCGGTGTTGCTGTTGCTGATACTGGTGTTACCTTCTCGCTGCGGGTATGGTTGCAGGTGCGGCGTCTGTGCAGAGGCCAAGAGCGGCCACCGTCTCACAAGGAGCCACAGTTGCTGCGTTTCGAAGCGTTTGCGACTCCTGTGAAAGAGGGCTCAAGGTTGAACCTCAAAGTTAGTCTGGTGCAACACCCTTTGCGTCCTGCTGCTGTACCTGTGTTCGTGGTACTGGCTTTGCTGCTGCGGCTCCGGGACCGAATCGCGTGTGCTGTAGGGTGCAGCGGCTGCTGTTTTATGTGTTTGTATGCCCTGCGTTTCCAGTGCAGCAGCAGTTCTCTGCAGCAACACCTGCGTTCGCTGTACACTCCACTTCGTCTACAAGGGTCTCTCAAGAATGCAGATGCATTGTCTCTCCCGCAAGCTTTCCCAGCCTGTCTCGACGTTGTTTCTTTACCTGTTCCGAAGAAAGGAGTTGTAAAATTGCGCACCCTTCACAAACCCTTGAAACCTGCGCGCCTTTTGCTGCCGCATGCGGTCCTTCATAGAGTGGCGCCTCGTACTGCAGCAACAGCAGCAACCGCAGCAACAGCAGCACGAACGCAAACAGCACCAGCAGCAGCGACGACGCGAGCAGCGTTGTCTGAACGGTATAGCCCATTGCTGGGCCCTATGCGGACTCTGCACCTTTGCGTGCTCACGCTGGAGCCCTTTGCTAGCGGCATTTCTCTGTCCGTGCACCGTAAGTCTGAGCAGGTGAGCAAGGGTCTACGTAGGCGCCAGACCCTAAAGGAGCTTCTCACGGCTTCCATGGGAAACGCCAAGTCTGACCCTGCAGATAGCTCAGCCTTCGTTCCCGTGCCTTTGCAAAGGCTACCCATAAAGGAGCCATGCAATGCTGCTCCTGCTCAGCAGCTTCACTCCCGGCATCACCCCCAGCGGTGCACGCAGCAAAAAAAGCAACAGCAGCACCAACAACAGCAGCACCAACAAGCGCAGCAACAACAGCAACTGCAACAACAATGTCCACGAGAGCAACAGCAGGATAGAGACCTGCAGCACTTGTTGCAGTGGCAATGGGCGGCTTTATTCGGTCACTGGGGACTTCAGTCTCAAAGCGTCAAGCTGCAGCGAGCTCTCGTGCTGCAAGACCTTCGCAGAGATGCTGCAGCAGGCGAGCTTTTGGAGGAGCAAAACCATGAGCACTCTAGCCAGTTGCCGCAGAAGCATGATGTTGCTGTAGAAGAGGCCCTTGGGCAGTTACGTGCTGCTGGCGCTGAACGCCTTGTAGGCCTGTTGCAGCAGCTGTGGCAAGCTGTGCAGAGTGTTGCTTCCGCCTCCTCGAACTTCCGCGTGCAGCCGCTCCCAGTTCGTGAGCTTTTGGCAGCAAACACGAATAATGGTTTCGCAAGAGCCTCAGCAGCAGTTAGGGATACCAAAGTGTATCACTTCTTGCACTGGGAAACTGATGAGGGAACACTGCAGAGACTCAGGGCAGCTGTGTCTAGAGCCCAGGCACTGCTGCGCGTGCTGTCTCTTCGGGCTGGCAGTGCGTCTCAGCCACCGTCTACGCTGCTTCAGGAACTTACTGGTTTATCTCCGTCATCGGTCTGCTCACCTCAGCAAAAAGAACAGCAACAGCGGCAGACAAGCACGGACAACAGCAAAGGCAAGGGGCTTTCCTCGTGGGCAACGCCAACAGTGCTGCTAGACTACTGGGGAGACGCCTGGGAGCTGCATGATCCTGAGGAGAGTTCATGCCGCCTGTGGCAGTCCCTCTTGTCGCCTGCAGTGGTCTGGGAAGGGGCGGAGGGTCAGCAGCAACAGGAAGACCAGCGGAAGAGGGGGTCTGCTGCTCCCTCGGGGCACACTTCTAGCGCACCAGAAGCTTTTGGGAGCAGAAGCAGGAACGACTGGAAGCTGCAACGGCAACGTGCGCAGGTGTTAGAGGATGCAGAAGAAGATGTGTTTTGTTGTCGCTTGCTGCAATTGTTGCCGAGTGATGCTTCTGCAGCCCTTCGAGCTTTTCTTTTACATCTGCTTGAGAACGTGGTCAACGTTTGCAAGGATTCACAAGACACTTCACTTAGAGCGGCTGACATCCCGCAGCATGCAGCCAGCAGCGAAGCAAGAGTTCTTCGTCTCAGTCTTCTGGGGGACCTTATGCACGTTGTTGGAGCAGTATCTGCTGCTGATGAAGTTGTAAGGCAACACCGGCAGCAGCAAGAGCCACCTTTGCCTGCGTTGGCAGAGAAAGACGGGGGTACACGGACTTGTCTCCCGCTGACCTCAGCAGAGGGGCTAGCTTACCGCTTTGCCTCCATGCTATTGCAGCAGGTGTCTCCACTAGTTGCCTGTGCATTGCCTTTGCTGCGGGCGGCCCCAACTCCCGCTGCTGCTGCTGATGCAATAGCTGCTTCTGTTGCTGCACGGAGCCACAGTAAACGTAGGCCTTTTGAAGGGAACGAAATGGAGCTGCGGGCGTGCTGTGATGGAGACGCTCTGATATCAAAGCAGCTGGGTGACACCCCGCAGTTGCTGGGCATCAAGGCAGATGTTACATTTACGCTGTTACGCCTGCTGCCGGCAGCTGCAAGATCTGCGTTACATCCAGAGGCAGCAGCAAAGGAACTGGGGCCCCCCGATAATGCGGCATCATTTTATTCACCTTCACCGGGCACAGCAACACCAGTAGCAGCAGCATCGTCAGATGCTGTGACTGCGGCCACACCTGATGCTGCTAAGGCGTCTAGTAAGCCACAAAAACCAGTGGCGCTGGTCCGGGTCTCTCTTCTTTTGCGCCTGCTGAGCAGGTGGGGCTTTTTGTGTCTGCCTGCAAGAGACAGTGATTCGCGGCGACTGCTACGGTGTATCTACGATGCTGCTGCCCCTTCTGCCGGTGCGGAGCTGGCAGCTGTAGCAGCGGAGGCCAGCAACTGGCGGCTGTGCCCTGAAGGAACTGCTCCATGGAGTGCCGTGTGTCGTGTCGCATCGCTTCTGCCAGCTGCTCTGCTGCAGCAACAGCAGGGGAAAGCAGGCTCTGTGGCCCGTCAACAGGCACTGAAAGGCTTGCTAAAGGAAGTCTCAGCGGTGGGGTTAACTCGGCGTCTGGCGGTCGCTGTTGCAGCTGAGGTGCAGCGCAGCTTTAACCAGAAAAAAATGACGTCTGTCGAGGCAGCCTCGCCAGATACAGCACTGGCAAGAGTAGCAGGTGAAACGCGACCTGTAGATGATGCATGGTTGCTGGAGTCTGGAGGGAAGGGCAGAGACTACGACATTCCTGATGAGTTACTTGTCGCGAGTAAAGAGGTGCCAGATCGATTCAGCTGCAGCGTTTCGCGGAGCACCGCAGCGTACAGAGGACACGTGAACACGAGCCGGCTCGAGCAACAGTTTTTGCTGCCGCGCTGCTGTGGGGCATGTACAGACGTGCTCAAAAGACGAGGAGCGGCAGACAACATGGGTTCCGGTTCTGCAGCTGCTGCCTCGGGCAAATGCGCCTGTGTCCAGAGTGTTGACTCAACGGGTCGCCTTCGGCGAAGTCTTATAAGCCCTCCTCCCCTGTGGGAGGGCAGCAGCGAAGGTGAAAGCGACTTCGATGAGAAGCAGCAACAGCAACAGCAGCAGCAACAGATGCGGCGGGAGTGGAGACGCGGCGACGTCGATGCAGACTCTCTGGAAAGCTGGACGGAAAGGGGCTCTGACGAAGAGCTCTCCGATCGGCCGCAGCAGCAGCAGCGGGTTGTTATTGCGGTGGTGCGGCCACGACGGGCTGCTGCTGCTGCATCTCGAGGTGCTCCAGAGATGTCTAGCTCTGAGGAGAGAGAAAGCGACTCCGACGGACATCGGTCCCCAGGTGATACAGATTTCGAGCTTGTGCTGCCGGTTGAGGGGGAAGGTTGGGCAGATGGACCTTTAGAAGTGGCTGGCCCTGAGGCTGTAACTTTGTTAAGGCTGTTCCGTGGGGTGCTCGATGACACTAGCAGCAACAACAGTAACAGCAACAGCAACAGCAGCAGTAGCGAGGGCAACAGCAACGACGACAGCAACAATGAGGACGACAACAGCAACAGAGAAGGCAACAGCAATGAAGAGAGCAACAACGAGCACAGTAGCGCCAGCAGCAACGACGTCAGCAATACCAACAGTCATAGTAACGGCGACAGCAACAGCAGCAGCCGCAACAATAGTCGCCGCAGGGCTGGTAGGCGGTCACGGGGGCAGCAACAAAGCAACTCAACTAGGGAAGACACATCAACTGACGACGAGGCGACGCAGGCAGCGGCCCGATCAATTTTGCGGCAACTAGTGGTGGCTGCTGCAGCCGCTGGATGCAGGGAAGCAGCTGCAGCAGCCTCGACAAATGTCCTGCGTATAGGTATTCGCCGCGCTCTCCGTCGCCCCCGAATTCCGAGCAGCAGTAGCCGCAACAGCAGTAGCAGCAGCGGGGACAGCTACACGAGCCGTGGCAGAGTTCGAGGAATAGGTCGTCCTCACCGTGGGGTGCGCCGAGTTGGGAGAGACTCGCGAAGTCTCGCTGCCCGGTCATCGTCCCTAGCTGCAGCAGGAATAGCTTCCGGAAGCCTGTGGGAGGCAGCGTTGGCGCGGCGTGGACTGAGAGCGGCCGCAGAGCCGAGCCTCGTTTTCGATGATATGCAAAGTGCAGGAGAGACAGTCTCTGATTGGGACGCACCAGTTAGCCGCTTCGGAGACAGGGCCTTCCATTCACGCAGCAGCAGCAGCAGCAGTGCCGGTGGTTGCTGTGTTTTGTGTGGGACCTCACTTTGGAGACGCTCTATGCTTGCGCGAATGAGAGGAAACGCTGCTGCAGTGCCTACTTCTGCTGCTGCGTCCGGTCTTTCATTCTCCCTTTCTGTTAATCCGCAGGTGGCCACAGAGACTGCAGGGTCAGCAGCTTTCGAGCAGCAGCAACAACAGCAACGGTATAGATTCGCATGGGAGCCGAGATGTGGTAGACGAAATAGCGACAGCAGCAGCTGCATCAGCAGCCTGAGCGGCTGTTTCGGCAGCAACGGTGATATGTCGCTTCGTTTAGTGCGTAATTATGCGCGCGTGAATCCGGCGTCACTCAATAGTACAGGAGCGACTACTGATACTGCAGCTGCCGTAAGTGAAGCAGTTACTTCTGGTCAAGACTTTCTAAGGAGAGCATTGAGTGACAGCGAATGCTTACAGCATCATGCTGCTCGAAGGCAGCAACAGCACCAGCTGCAGCACCAGCAGCGTATGATTCGCAGACACACTGGAGGCTATCCTTCCTTCTGTAGGGGTTCTCTGCGGCAGGCAGCCAAGGCAAGACTTTGCCGCTTACTGTTGTCGGGTTACAGGAATGGCGATTCCATAGGCGGCTCTTTGGGAGCCCCGAGCCTTTGCAGTCTTCCACTGTGTGGTCGCTGCGCTGAACTGGGCTGGGCGTCCACGGGGTCTATGCGATCTATTGGATGGCCGCCCATGCCCTCCACATCTGCAACCGCGGCTGCCTCAGCCGCAGGGTCAGCAGCAGAAGCTCCTGTTAGTGCTCTCTCAGGCCCATGTTTACCTTATTCTCTGTCTTGCGTAGACAGTCAGTTTGGAGACGACGCCTTCAGCGCAGCCCCCACAGGGGGTCCTGCGAGTCTGATGGTAGTACGGTGTCCGCGATGTGGTGGCCGTCTTTGTGGGGTGAAGCCCCCCGAGGCGGAGGGGAAGTGGCGGTGTGATGGCCTAAACCCAGAGGGGCGATGTGCTGCGGGCCTTATGGAGTTTAGGTTGTGGGCTGGTGCACAGAGACATAGGTGCAAGTAAGTCCTACAGTGTCTCACGTCGGCTGGCTCCAGTATGCTCCGTCTATCCCTGGGAGTGCATTTCTCGACTCATCGTTCTGCCTGTTCGTTCTTGGGTTTCCATTCACCTTGGTACCGTTGCTGGCGGTTCCTTGTCTCTGTGCAGTTTTGCATTCGCGACCCCATTTCTGTCATTCCTCTTTCCACCATACGTTCTATTTCTTTGTGGTTTGTTATGTGATATAGGACGGATGATTTTGACTACTGCGAGGCCTGCCACATTTATAAGGCAGCTCTGAACCGCAGAAAATCTGTGTGGCGTGTAGACAGCAGCCGCACTTTGCTGCTGCCTGAAGACCCGCCAAGTGTCCGTAAGGGCGTCTTTTTCTGGCAGCAACCTTGTTCTGTGAGTTCCGGCGTTTCTTGTGCTGCGTCTAGTGCTGCTTCTGGTGAAACGCCGCCGGCAGAGGGCACGCATGTATCTGGCAACAGCAATAGCAGAGGAACAACGGCTCTTTGGAAGGCTTTGCGGGCGGACGGTTTGCGTCCCTTACCTCCTCCTGATGAGCGAGTAGAGGAACTGGTGGCAGATAAGGTGCGGGGAAGCGCGGACCGCGTGAATCCGGGCGTACTGTTGTGCCTGCCAAGTAGCCTCATGTCTCCTAAACCCCCTGATTCTAACCCGGCGGTAGTTCAGGCCGTGGAGGTACCGGCGTCTCTGCCTGCTGCCAGCAGGCAGCAGCTGTCGCGACTGGGTTGCAGCCATTTGTTTCCTCTTTATCACAAAGATGCCGAAACACTGAGAATTGAAGGCGTTAGGGCCCCCAACGAGAATTTCCTCACCCTCATTCTGGTTGCAGATGAGAACACATGGCCTCTCGTCTTGCAGGTCAGATTCCAGGACACATCCAGCTCAGGCCGCAGCAGCAGCAGCTGCGGCGTCGGCACTAGCAGCAACAGTACAAGCAGCAGCAGCAGCGCTTCATCTAGCCTCGCTGTCGAAAATCGGCAGCTGTTTGCTTCTTCTGACAAGCTTCTTCTCAGCAGCTACGTCAGGGGACACTGGAGGGGCAGCGCGAAGACCGAGGCTGCTAGGCGGCCCACGTCTCCATTCAGGGATATATTTGCTGGACGGGATGTTTCACTGGAACCAAGCAACAGCAACACCAACAGCAACAGCAGCAGCAGCTGCAACGTTGATGCCAATTGTGTCGATGAACAGAGATGGTACGTGGACATACACCGCGCTTTCGGGCCTGCCACAAGCCCCTTGCGCTTCAAGGGCACTTTGTACATGAACGGTGAAGTTGTTTACTGGAGTCTTGCTTCCCCCGTCTTAGCGGCAAACCCTCCAAGGTTTGTTGCAGTGAGTGGTGCCGCTTCTGCGGAGGGCAAAGAAAGCGAGGCTGTTTTCTTCGCGTCTCACATGCATAGGCACCTTCAGTTGCTATTCCCCGCGACACTACAGGAGCTCAACAAGTACACTCATGCACATCCTGCAGAGCTTTTGTCTGCCATACCGCCCCCTTACGCGTCCTGCAGATCCCCTGCGTTTGCAGGCGACGCAACAACAGTAGTGGCAACGGAGCAACAGCAGCAGCAAGAGCGAGAGGTTGTTAGACTATGCACTGAAGCCACGAGAACGGCCATGCAGCAGGAGCCGCTATTGCAAGTGCAGCTCCCGATTGACACGCAGCAGCGCCAGGGCCTCACTGCGGCAGTTCGATGCTTTCAGTGGGAAGCGGCGACACAGGCACAAAATCTACTGGTGCAACTGCTCCTGCAGGAGCCTCGAGCTGCCCTGCCTTTGTGGCCGCAGCTATTGCGGGCGTTTGCTGATATCCTGCGCTCAAGACCTTCCCTTAGGGAAATCGTAGCGGAGCTCTTCGTTAGAATTTTGCGCGCTGCTGACACAATAGACGAAGAGCAGCAACAACAGCCGCAGCTGCAGCTGCAGAAGGAGCTGCAGCAGCAGCAGGAAATCCGGTTTTGGGCAACGGTGCCTCGCACACTGCCAAGTGTCAAATTGGGGGTGGAGCTGCTGATACAGTTGAGAAGCCTATGTCTTCTTGGACTGATGTCAGTGGGACTGCTGGACTTGCATTTCAACTCCGAGTTTTCTGCCTATAAGGCCCTTGTGGAGGCCCAAGAGAAACGGGAGGAGACAAAGGATGCTGCAGCATCTGTTGAGGGCACGGAGGAGGGGACATGTCTCACAGCCCCTGCAGCTGCCCGCCAGCTGCTGCGTCAGGTTGCATCTGAACTACTGCACCCACTACAGCAACACTATCGCAAACCGCTGGTCATAGACAAGACCGTTAACGGGATTTCCAGCGGAGGTGTAATGCGCTGCAGCGCAGCAACCAGCCATCCCTTGGTGGCTGTCGACAACCTACGCCTCTCGAGACAAGGCTTCCTGAATCCCGCTCTTTTGCTGCAGGGACTGGAACAAGAGACATCTCATCCTTATTGCCCTGTAACGGCCCTAACAGGCAAAGTGGAGGCTTTTGTTCCCCCCACGCACAAAGATGGGGTTGAGCCGCAGCAACAACGAGTGGAGTACCATCTGGAAAGGTCGGGCAATCCCGCTGTGAGTTTGTCCGCCGGGACCAGTTCTAGCACAAATATGAATAGCAGGAGCGACGGTGGAGGTACCGCATTTTGTCTTGGCGACTCTCCGCTATTTGGGGGAGAACTGTCTCCAGGATTCTCATGGGCAAGAGGCAGCGTCATTCGCTTCTGTCGCCTCAGCGGCACGCGTCTAGGCGACACCTTAAGGTTTTACTCACAAGGGGAGCCAGCGTGTGTAGCTGCTTACAGGTCTGTTTTTGTCACCTACGTGTAGCTACAGCTGCTCTTGTCACCACTAATGTCTCTGCATATGCTTTTGCTTCTGCTGTAAACTCTGTAGTGGCTGGTGCACGTCCTTCGCTGCTGCCTGCACCGTTGTGGTGAAATTAGTTTTAGCAGGAGCGGCCTGTGCGTCCCGCGCCTTGTGTTTGCATGTTCTTGCCATTTGCTTGCTGAAATTCTTTCTGTGCGCTGTGTCTCGATGCAGCGGAGGCTCCCTTCGAGTGTGGGGCCGTCCGCTGGTGCTTCCGGGGTTTGGCTTCGAATGTTCATTTGCCTCTTTTGGGCTGAGCAGTAGGACGCCAGCGCTGCCGGACCCTTCGGCCCCGAGCGATGCCCCTGGTATGTGGCTATCTCCAGACTTGGCCAGCCCCCTGCTGCCCGCAATTTCCGGTCTCGTCCAGAGAGCTTCGTCACTTCCAGAAACAGAAACAGAAACAGGATTTGGTGCTGGTACTGGAGCTGGGGGCCCACGTTCAGATTTAGTTACTGGGGCGGCCGAGGCAACGCCGCCGCTGCTGAACAGGGAATGGGGGGGTTCAGCAGAAGTCGCAGCAGCTGCAGCAAAAGTGTCCACAAAAATTGCTGAAGAGTACTTACATTGGCAGCGGGTGCATGATCAAGCCAGCAACGAAGATAGCAACGGCAGCAGTAAGTGCAGCAACAACCGCAACGGCTTCAACAGTGACGTTCTTAGCGTTGGCAACAGCAGCGAAACTGGCAATAGGAGAGAGCCTGTGGCCACGGGCCTTTGGGGCTGGAAGTTTTGTGTCTCGGTATCGAACCGCCAGGAGCTGTTTAACGCGTACGCGTCCATCGGACCTTCCCATTGCTGTGGCCCGACTAATGTCTCCCCGCTCTTCCCGGATCGCATTGCAGCCTCAGCAGCACACAAGCATCAAAGCGATGTCTACGGTGTTCTAACCCACTCTTTCTCCCCAGTGTTAAGCGTTGCGCTTCTGCAATGGCTCATCTCCGACTTTGCGCAGCACCCGGACGTCATTGCTGCTGCCAGAAAGAATCCGCAAGTCGGTGCAGCCCTCGGGGTTGAGGCTGCAACTGTAGCAGCAGCAGAAACGGGAGAGAGCAACAACAGTCTTGCATTCGTGCCTGCAGCGGCATATGATCCTGCACTTTTCGTGGCACTTTTGGGGGCTGCGGACGTAATGGCAGCAGTCTCTCCGCTGCCTCTCCAGTCTTCCGCATTAGCAGTTGCCAGAAACTTTGCTGAGGTGGGTTGGCGCAACTGATGAAAACCTGCTGCTTCTTTTAGTGGCACTACATTTGCAGTTGTTCATTGCTGCTGCTGCTAGACGTTCCTCTGTCGCTGTTGCTGTCTCTGCTACCGTTGCCTTCTCAATAAAAGCCGATCCCCATTCAGAATGTGGTATCTTCTGTTCAGAATGCTCCTTGGCTGAATACCGACGAAGTCGATGACACAGTAATGTCTCGTTGCGGCACTGGAGCAGTAGTGGCAACTTGCGGTCCTCCGCGACCACTTTTGTGTGCTGCTCAAATGGGGTTGATTCGTCGGGTGGCTTGTTTGTGCCTCTGGCGGGCATCAGACCTGCTTAGCTCCATCGACGTTCCTCTTTTCGTTGAGATCTTCACGGGCAACTTGGGCAGAGAAAAAGTCGGCCCTTTCTGGCAGGAGGCTCTGTTTCGTCCTTTCGTCTTCCAGTGGCTTCCCGCGCCCCTCTTGTTTATTGCCCAGACAATAGCCGTGCTTCTCCTGGCGGCCCTTGGTGAGGACAGCACGTACAAGCAGCGCGGTGCCATAGCAGCTGCTGAGAAACCAGAAGCGGCGGCATCAGCAAATGAAAAAGCAGCAGGGGATCTTTTCGGAGTGCGGAATGAGGTTGAGAAGGCTCTGGCGCAGCTCGTGGAAATCCGGTGGAGACGCGTGCCCCCACCTCTTTTGTCTGGAGATATTGAGCCTGTCTCTGGTTTGATTTCGCAAGACCGTGTGGGTTCTTTCTTGACGGAACTGCTAGTGCGATTGTACGCTCTTGGGGGTCTGGAGGCTGAGACAACAGCGAGTACAGGGACTCCAACAGCAGGAGTCACTGCTCCTGCTGCTGCACTGAACCCTTTTGGGACTGAAAGTTGTTGGCATACAGGCAAAGCCCCACTTCACCGCATGCTACTGCTTCTGGGCAAAGACGCGCGACGGCTACAGCGGAAAGCCATGGCTTTCTCACAGTCCTGCTTCAGTCGCACGCAGCTGCAACGCCAGCAGCAGCAGCAAAAAGAGCAACAGCTACTCGAAGTGGAGCGATTTATTGAGGAGGGCCCTGTTCATAGGGCCGTCGATGTTGCTACATCAGAACGGGAGCACCAAACAAATCAACCTGTAGTTTCCAGCAGCCGCACTACCGCGACCAGCACAAAGAATTCGGGATCGGAAATACTTGTGGTTCCCCCCCGACTGCCTGCCGGTCACCCTCTGGAGCTTGTGCGGAGTCTTGGTGAGCTTTTTGTGGAGAGCGCTCATCCGTACAGCCGGATGACTGCTGCTGCAGATAAGCCAGATGTTCCTGGAGCAGTGCAAGAGCAGCAGCCGGAAGAAACGAAGAGCGACAGACAGTACGCAGCGGGGCAGGAGGAGATGATGGATAGACTGCTGCTGGTCCACCCCGAAGCAGCTGGTGTGTCAGTGACCTTTGGCTTGCCGCCAAGCGATTTGTCTCCTTGGCACTTGCTGTCAGTTGAAGCGCTGCCTCTCACAGAATCGAGAAAGCATCTGCTGCGCCGTATTCTGAATGCGCAGCAGGCGCTAGATAGTCTTGACGCAACAACAGCCGCTGCAGCTACCTCGCTGCGAGATGATCAACACGCTGACCCGCGGCAAGCAGCAGCTACAATTGCAGCAACAGTCACGAAACCGCAACCGGCTGTGGCAGAGGTGCGCAGGACGCTGGCAGCTGAAATAGAAAATAATATCAAGGATCTGTGCGGAGAAGAGGAGAGCTGGGCGCCAGCCTTAGAGCTCAGTAGTGCTTGGACTGCTCCCCAGTGGTACAGCGCAGATTACTCTCTTACTTGTGGAGACACCTCAGTGACGAAGCACTTCGCTATGGGTCACTTGCCAGCTGTAGCAGCTGTAACAGTTGCTGCTGCAGAGTCTGGTTCATCAGCCGAGAGTGCTCTTTTGTGCCCTAGAAGACAGCACCAGCCACAAGGGCAGCAGCAACAGCAGCAGCTTGTGTCGTGTTCTGCGGGCTGCTGCAAGGGCTTTCCTGTTGTTTCTGGCGCAGTGCTTCGAAGATTGGATTCTTCTGAACAACAGGAAAGAGTGCAGCAGTTGTTTCTGCTGAGCCAGCAACAGGTGGAGCCTGCCGAGGAAAATGAGGGAGCACAGCGCAGCAGCAGCAGCGTCAGTAGCGTAGGATCTTCCCCATCTAGTGGGTCCATGAGTCTCTTGGATAGAGCGACGGCACAACTATTGCGCATGTTGCGCGGCAGCAAGTCCAGCAGCAGCGGCAGTCCTGCAGCGGACGAGGATCAGCCGTCCTGCCCCGTGCAGCTCCCACAGCGAGCTTGCCATGGCAGCGTGGGTGATGCGCGTCGCCGCTCCTGCGTAGCTGCAGCTGCAGCGGACGCCGCAGCGGCATCTGCAGCTGCAGCAGCGGCAGCGGGCGCCACAGCAACTTTAGCAGCATCTGGCAGCAATGGAACCAGGAGCACAAGCAGCACGGTTTCTTCTCCAGCAACAGATGCAAAGACGGAGGACGTCATCCATCTCCTCTCAGGTGTCCTTATGCCGAGAGACGCATTCGCTCTGGAGGGCATATGGGCTGTAGATCTCCGCGTGACCTGGCAAGAAGATGCGGCAACGGGATGGCCCCTGGACGGTGCAACAGGCAAAGCTTTGTCACTCAGAGAGGCTTCCACTGCTCATCGCCGCAGTAGCAACGGCAAAAACAGAGACACCAGCAACAACGCCAAGACTGACAGAGTGAATGCCTTAGCAGTATGCGGCCCGGAAGTTGGACTGGTGCCGGTGGTTTACGGGTTCCCTTCGACAGATAGAAGCAACATCTACAGGGGCAGCAGCAGCAGCAGCAGCACGGGATCAGCACCGCAACCTTTGAAGCGCCTGGGACAGCTGGAAAGCTGCCCGCTGATACCTCCGCCAGCCGACCGCTTCTTCATGGTCTCCTGCAAGACAGAGTTGGTGCGCGATATTCAGCAGCCGATGGTGCTGCAGCAACAGACGAAGTGTGAATTGCTGCCTGTTCGAGATCGGCACACTCGGTCTGAGGACGAAACAGGTGATGAGGATGATTCCCCACTAGTGGAAGACGTTGGCGCAGTTGAGCGCTTACTGTTGCGGGCATACAGTGCAGCTGATATTGTACCTCTAGGCTGTGCACCTTGGCCTGAGGAGGACCGCATGCATCATCTGACTGTGCAGCCGATACTCCCCTCAGTCCACCTAGGGGAAACCTTTGCTCGTCACCAAGTGCTTAGACTACAGGAGCTTGGGTGTTCCTGCGGTCAGCAGCAGCAACAGCTTGAAGGGGAAATGCAGACCCAGAAAAGAGACCTTAGCCAGGCAGTGGCGTCGCTGCTGGAACGCATGGGGAACTCCAGCAGCATGAGAACGGCCGTTTCAGATGTGATCACTGCCGTACCAGCCGCGGCAACGGAGACATCGTCGCGTCACGCGCAACGTCGCGCCGGTGCCAGCCTATCCCAGTGCAGCGACAGTGCCAGCGGCAGCTTATGTTGGCACCGGTTTGTTCCTAGCGGAATGTTAGAGTTGCCTGAAGAGTCGAAGAAACTCACAGGCTCATCTGGCGAATCGAAGAGGTCGTCTGTGGATACATCAATTTTGGGGGACGTCCAAATGCTGTTTGCTCAGCCCTCTACAGAGCAGCAGCAAGGGTCTTACACATTAAGTGGACTGTTTGGAGTAGATGGAGATGCAACTGGTGAAGGAAGAGTCCCCAAGGAGACGGCTAAGTGCTGCTCTGCTCTACTCTCTCTCAACATCGAAGTTTCCCTTAGCCAGCGAAGACTAATCAACCTTAGGCAGGCCCACAGTGACTTCGCGGCAGCCAGGCAACAGGTTCGCAATCTCCTCCCAAGTGCTTTCTTTGTGTAGCTGCATCATCTACTGTTGTGGTATTTATTTCTGGCTGCTCGTCTGTATGTTCTGTTCCTGGGTACTGTCTTCTTCCAAATGAGTCTTCAAGTTTGTCAGCGTCTCCTTTTCTGCTCCGCTGTTCTATATATGCTTATGCTCACCTACTATTTGGATGTTTCCCTTGGGACCCTGATGACTAGTGGGGAGCGTGCCCTCAAGCCTTTTGATGCTGCGGTGCCTCCAGATGAAAGAGCTTATTGCTCCAGTCGTTAGGTCTGCAAATCCTCCAAACCCAGAGGATCCAGTGGCAATACGCCGCATGCATTTGCTACTCCAGCAAATGCGTCGATCTCGTCGTCGAATGCAACAGTTGCAGCAGCTGGGTCCCGAAGACCGCATCCGCTGTATTATCAAACTCCAGCAAGAGCAGCAAAAGCGGCCGAGCGAGCAACAACAAGAAAAAATTGAAGTAATGCATACACTCGGTGACGTGCGAAGGCTGCTTGGTGCAGGAGGAGGCCTTGCCTTAATACCTGGCATTCGCTTTGGTGAGTAGCACTTTCTAGTATTGTTTTGGAAAGTTTTTTCATCTGATCTTGCACCCGCTGCGCATTTGCTTTCTATCTACCGTCGCTGTATTTACTTGTCCACATTGAGCCCTCCATGTTACCTCTGTTCCTGCGGATACTACTGCAGGACCAGCTGTTTGTAAAGTGGAGATACTTCGGGCAGCGCAGCCTTACCCACAGCCACTCAACCCGGAGCTCTGGGGAGCGAGGGGGTTTTTCGCAGCTAACTGCGCAGCCCTTCGTTTTAGGTTGCAGCGAAGTCCCTATAGGGCACATGCCAACTGGGTCGCGGTGAACAGGCTACTCCCAGACGCATTCTTCCCTCTTCAGCGAGACAAGCAGCAGTCGCAGCAGCAACAAGTGCAGCGCAGTGGAAACGGTGGAGTACAAGGTGACCCACTTGGGCAGCAGATAGCGCAGGAACTGGGGAACAGCATCAGGGCCAGGTGCGATAGCAACGGAGGCAAGAAGAGAAATTGCGAGGAAAAGTCGTACATCTTTGCAGGCTACAAGCTACAGGTGGAACAAGTGCTTAGCACCTCAGCATCTTTCCTGTGCCAGCCCACCCTCATAGACATGGAACTAGGAGGTGTTTCTTCTGTCGCTGCTACAGCAGTCAAGGCAGCGGCGGTGGAGCATGTTGAAGCTGCAGCAGTTCAAGGCTTAGCATCGACAGATGCAGGTGATAGCCGAACGGTCGAGGTGGAAGTGCCTTCTTCGCGGCTGGTGGAACTCTTCTGTCGCCCGGGATCCTCGGCAGGCGCCTTACTGCTATCTCGCGCAGAAAACACAGACAGAGAAGCCGCAGTCGGACCTCCAGGGGCAAGCAGCAGCATTTGGCAAGCAGCAACAGCCTTATCCCTGGTGTTTGATGAGGTGTGGCCGGACGGTCTCCTCTTAGCGCTGTTGGCAGACTCGCAGGCCGCATCCACTGAGGGTGCTTCTTCGTCGCAACTTCTTTTTGCTAAACAGTTCTCGCCATTGCCACTCCCTGGAATACCTGCAGAAGCGCCTCCATCAGCATCAGCAGCAGTAACAGCAGCAACAACAACGCAAGCCACACCGGCCATATGGCACTTCAAATTGCGCTTGGACAACAGCAACGGTCTCATGGTCCCCCCAATGAATATATGGGAATGGGGAGTGGCGTGGTGGCCGTCAGTTCCATCGCAGCGGCTCTTGGAATCCGTAAGTCGCATGCGATTATTTTATGGACGCCGAGCACCTGCAGCACGAGGGCTGCCACTTTCAAGCACAGGGGCAGCAACAACGGGCGCAACAGACCAGGAATGGTTCTTTCTTGATTCCCTTACAAGCGTGGATTTGGCTCCCCCTGGACAAGGAGACAGAGGACACACCCAGCAGCAGCCAGTAAGCCCTCGCTATTGCGGGTCCCCGAAGATTGGCTTTGATGTTTCCTCTTTGCTTACAGACTATCGCGAGATGCGCCAGCGCTGCTGCATGTGTCTTGCGCCTTATAGCTTGGTGCCATTTCGGATATGTCCTGAGTTTGCAGGCCTCATCTTCTGGCTTGTTGCGCGAGGCGTCTGCGGATGCACTTGACAGCTCGGTAGAGGATGATGGCGATTCTGTAGGATCTGCTCCTTCTGAGGGGACTGCCCCAGGTGCCTCTGTTGCCTTCCCACAAGGTCTTGATGGCTTCAGTAGTGCTGCACGGCGAGGCGAGAGCGATCCTCTTGTCAGCGCGCTTAGCTTGTGCTGGCAGGCATATGTGATGTGCGCCCTCTCCCCAGCTGCTGCGACGGCCTCTGCTGCCGTTGAAACTACCGCAGCACGCAGAAAATCTCACGAGGCAGGCGATCCAACTTTTGCTGTTCTGTCTGCTGCATCAAGTGGAGTTACCACCCACAGCAGACGGCCAGTGTCGTTCCCTTGGTGGCCCCTGGTGCCGTTGCCTGCGTGTATTCCTCCTCTGGCCTATGCAGTTATGTTTGAAGTCCTAGGCGTCTTCTTCCGTAGTGCGCTGAAGGCAGCAAGTCGTGCAGCTGCAGCAGCAGCTGGTGCATGTGGGAATGATAGAGGGGCAGGTACTGCAGCAGGTGCAGCCACATTTCAGTTGCTGTGGCCTCCTCACCCCAGGGAAGTACACAGGGCTTTGCTCTGGCGCCTTGAGCTCCTTCACTGTCTCAATGCAAGTGTCAGTTTCTGCTTGCCTCTCATAAGCCGTCCTCGCCTCCCACGTCTTTGCTGCTCTTCTCCTCTTTGCGCAAGAGACCTGCCGCTGCCAGCGGCAGCAAACAGCTCAGATGTTTCAGCCGCAAGTGGATTGCTGCGCGTAAAGGCGGCACGCTGCGTCTTCGGTCCCACTATTGCGGATCTCTCGAGGCCCTTTGACTCTGCGTGCACATGGGGTGTGATGCGCAGGATTGGAGGAAAATACAGCAGGAATAGCAGCAAAAGTAACACTGCTGTATTGGGTCCCCCAGTTTCAGTGATGGAAGGACTGGTGAGTCGAATGAGAGACTTACTGCTGCCTTCTCGCCGTGCATTGGCTTTCAGTGCGTCTTCTTTGTGGCGCGCTCGGCTGCTGGAGCGCTTGAGAGGAGGCGATTCCTTTAGTTCCGAGGAGCGGCTTGGCTTTTCTCCTGCAGTGTCTGAGCAACTCGCCTGGGGTGCCGTTACAGCCCCAAGAGATGTCCTGCTGCAGAGGCACTGGGCAGCTGTCGCGGCCCTTCTCGCCATCAGAGGCGCCTACCCGGAAGCTCCTGGCCCGCAAGATCAAGAGGCGTACTGTCCTCGTGTGGGGGCAGGTAGCTTGTCTCTCGGCCGAACGATACCAGGAGGGACAGCAGCAGCTGCTACTATCGCAGCAGGGGGAGGCAGCAGTGCCTCTGACGAAGGGGATGTATCGCTGCTGCCAGAGAGTGAATTTGCAGCATCTCTGGTAAACCAACTGTCACAGCAGCTTCTGCGCATTCCCGCATTCGCATTACTTGCCCTTGAGCGCTGTTTTTCAGTCGAGCTGAGGGGCGAGGGCGCCCAGGACTTGGGTGGTCCCTATGCGGAGGTGCTTAGTGCCGTCTGCGACGACATTATTGCGAGTCGTCTCTTTGTTCCATCTAGCAACGCCAGAGCTGGCGTAGGCGAGGGCAGGGACTTCACTGTTCCTAACCCATTGCTGCGGGATCTCCTGGTTCCCGCTGCTGCAGCCGCTGTTGTGTCTGACGGTGCTGCGTCGACAACTTTGCCCTCCCAGAAACCGGGATTTGTTTCCTCCTGGACGGATGACGCAGCTCTAGGTGTGTTTGGTTCCATGACTCTTGGCCATGAGCCTGCGCCATTGCCGTCCCTTCTTTCTGATGCCCCGCCATTACTCGTCTCGTGTCCACGCTTTGACTGCGTGCCGGAAGCCGATGCAGCAAATCCCTTGGCACTGCTGCATTCACAGATTATGGAACAGCAGAGGGACTTTGTGCGGCTGGCGGGGTGTTGGCAAGATGAGTCAGAGGAAGACGAGGAAAGTTTGCTTCTGCGGTTTTGGGGTGTAGGAGGACTCACAGTATACGGACAGATAGTGGCCCGCGCACTTCAGGCTGTGGGTGTTCTTATGGGATGCGCTGTCATATCTATGAGCCCTCTTAATCTTTCTCTCACTCCAGCCATCTGGACATTACTGCTAGGCCAGCAGCCGTCAGCGGCGTTGCTGTTGCAGCAAGACTTGCTAGCAGCAAAGCATCTTCGCAGGCTCCAGGCGCCCATCGCTGCAGCTGCTTCTGCAGCAAGTGCAGTGGAGATGGCACCTACCTCTGCTTCAGTCTTTTGCGGTAGGGAGACAGTATCGGCTGCTGCGGCTCTTGGAGATGTTGCTGCAGTAGAAACAGCAGCATCTATTGCCGCTGCAGAAACAGCAGCAAAAGTAGCTGTTGCAGCAGGAGAAGATGAAGAGGAGGCTCGGGAAGAGGCAGCTGCTGCAGTGCAGGTGCTTTTGCAACGTGGCGCCTGCATAGACGACTCTGTCGGAAGGCCACTGCCTCTTGCTCCCTTGTGGGATCGTCTTCGTCTGCGTCCCCAAGACCTCCCCGCGATTTTGAACATTGAACAATGTGCAAAGGTGTGACAGGGAGTCCAGGAATTGGTTGCTTTTGTCTTCGCGGCAGAGCTGCTGGATGATCTATAGGAAGCTATAGGAGGTGGCATGGTTGCTATTGCTGCCAGCGGTCACTGCAGTGCTGTCCGCGCAGTTGTTGAGTTTTTCGATTGTGCATATGTGCTTGTCAAATGTTGCTTTTAGATCTCTGAGGGCTTTGAAGCAACCTGTTTCGTGGCATGGGGACTGCAGCAACTTGTTCCCCGACCTCTCCTAAGAGCACTGTTGCGCCCTGACGACTTCAGGCTGATTGTCTGCGGCGATCCCGACATTGATGTAGAGCTTCTGAAGGTGGGCCTCGCATCGTTCTCTCTCAGATGGTGCTGGTGTGCTACTGCTGTTGCCTTTGGCATTTGATACAGTTGATTCATCTTCTGTTGCTAATGCGGTGTTAGTGCACTATGGCACATAGTACAGACTCATGTCGAATAATCCAGAATAGTTCGTCCTAGGTGTGTTGAGTATTACACGTTGCAGCGCAACTGCAAGGTTGTATGGGACCGCTGCAACGACCGCGAGAAGCAGCTGGTAGGATGGGTTTGGGACGCTTTGCGAGGCTTCAGCGCAGCTGAGCGGCGCCTCTTCCTGAGATTTGTGTCTGGGAGATCTCGTGTGCCCCAGGGCTGGACCCTTGGTGGTAGCGTGGGGTCAGAGGCATTCCCTGCCCGCAAATTTGAGCTCCACATTATGAGGTGAGCTGCAAGGGCCTAAGAGCTTCTCCACTTTAGAAATTGTGGAGACGTGAGACGACGCATTGGTGCTTCGCAAGAGGATGACAAGGGAATTGTCCAGTTTCTCAAGCAGCTACCACGGTCGGCTGTTTCTAGTTGCTGTAGTTTGCAGCATGCTGCTGCTGCTGCTGATACAGTTTTAAAATGGCGCTGAAAGCGAGAAGCAGCTGTCCGTACGATTTCCTTGGTTCTGGTCGCTTTGTGGTTTTGCTGCAGAGACGAAGAGGCGCTGGAGGCTGTCGACACATCTTTCTCGGGCCCGCGGCAAGTGGCAGGCCAGCGAGTAGACGATCGGCTGCCGTCGGCTAGCACATGTTTCTTCATGATGAAGCTGCCCAAGTATTCTTCTTTTGCGGTTCTGCAGACCAAGCTGCGCACAGCTATCACTTCATGCTTCGAAATCGATTTAGATGCCATGCACCATAACGCCAATCAGCAGCACCATGGTGGATAGGCAGCTGCATCTGCAGTTGCTGCTGCAGCAGTCAATACAGCTGCTGCCGCTCAAAAGCGTTCCTCAGAAGCTACTGGCGAACACAAATGCCGCCCTGCCATGTCTGATTTGCAAGGAAAACGAGAGTGCAATATTTGAATGGGGGAGTAGACGGCTATAACGATGACGGTATAACATAATTCATCATATGCCCTGATTGGTGAAATCGGGCAGCTGGTGCCTTGGGTGGACATTCCACACAGCAGTGAATCCTTTTCTCCGCCACATAAGAATTTGTCGAATCTTTTGCTTCTCTCAAGTCTTCAAGGGCTGCCTCTCTTTAGGAGCAGAAGCATCTGCTGGTGCGGCTATGTGGCGTACATTGTACAATGTAGCAGTCCCGCAGGTGTCCTGTGGCTGCATTTTCATGAGCAGCGCGAAAAATGGGGAGAGAGAGATCTTGCAAAGAGATGAAAGGGTAGAAGCGAGGCTGGCGTATTAGATTGTGTTGTTGCGGGGTCATTCAGACCTCTTTAAGTACCTGGCCTTAAGGTAAAGGAGGTACCGTCGTGGCAAGGTGTCACGCGAGTTTCTACTTTGACTCTCTTGTCATTTGAGTGGCACCTATACGTAGCCGATGTTTCCATTATATTAGCCATCTGCCCAGCAGTGGATGGCTAATCATGACTGTACTAGTTGTACGGGGAGTAATCATTTTAAGTTGTATGGCATTTTCGCTCTCCAGCCTTAGCTGGTAGGACTAGCTTACATTATATGTTTAGGCTCTGTCACCTAGTCCCTACAAATCAGTACACAAAGCACACATGCAAAAGTTTCGAAGGGTTTGCTTAAAACTAGCTGTAGTTCAGACGAGGACTACTTTTCCTCCGTTATGGCGAGGAACGCGGTCTGATGAAGCAGGACAAGAAAAAAAAAGTTCCTCCATCAACCTGAGAATCTATGGCTTTGGAGAGTTTACTCAGAGAAACGAAAGGTGGAGTAGAGGGGTCAACAACAATGCAGCAGCTAAGTAGCTGTGACCAGCCTAACCCAGCGGAATTTTTCTCCGCCACGCGTAAATGGAAGATTGGAGAATTGCCGCTGACATCTTTCACAACAAGTGGAAGAATTCAGGAGGCCTTCAAAGATTAGTACATGGCAAGCAAATGCAACGCTTCAACAGCTTGCCACCCAGAGGTCCACAGCAGCGAGTGGCAGTGGGAGTCAGCCATATCAACGTAGCATCGGGGGTCTAGAAGACCGGAAAGGTCTGGAGAATAAAAGAAATTGAGGGGCATATATTGAGAGGCAAGACCGCGGGCTAAGTAATAATAGTGCCACGGGAATTTCCGGCAAAACTCGCTATGGGAAGTCACCGGCAAATTCTAGGGGGAACCGAGCCAGAAGTTGTTCCCATCTAGCTTGGTAGATTCGTTCTGCGCACATGAATGAAGGCGGCAAGTGAATGATGACTACAGAAGTGATGTACCAAGCTTATTCTGCGAGCAGCGTTACGACGACAGTGAGAAGCAGAAACCTGGGAATCAAACACAGGAGCCGATGTCGTAGGCCCTGATGTGTAGACCTATGGAAGAAACCCAATCCCGAGGAATTCGCACAAACTGACGAGCGGCCTAACGTGTTTGCGAGGTTCCACGACTCCAAAGTACCGTTACCTGCAGACCGTGCCGTTCGAGACTTGCAGGATTATGGACACCAGAGAAAACAACGCACGCATCAATGCATGAAGACCTTCAGGAATGGATTTTTGATGGTGAAGAATCCCATATTCAAGAGGTGAGTAGTAGGTATGCTCCCCGTCGCAAGTAGGCGTCTACCTTTGCCAGATGAATTTGTTCCTGTTTCGTTATCCTACGCGGCCACGAAGTAACGAGTAGTTCCCGAGCTAACAAAAACAAAGGGAAACCCACAAGCGATATGTTACAGCTTTTCAATGTCCCAAACTAGACTCAGCATTGAACGCAACCGCATAATCCAGAGAAGGAAAATTTCTGCTTTTCTCCCAACAAGTTGGCTCTCAGGAAGTACTAAGAGACCTTGGCACACGATGACCAGCCGATGAACTTTCCAGTGGGCAAGGGATCTTGTCGAATTCTACGGAATATTTCATGAGCACCTGACTTCCTGCGGGATTTGAAAGGCTGTGCACCGTGCCGTTCGGTACACCTCGCGCTTATACGCGCCTCGAAACAACTCTAGTGACACTGAAATTGAGTAAATACGAATGTTGCACGCATAGACGAAAATGGATAAGCACCATAGTGCGCACATGGTGGAGAGAATGCCCCAGAGCGACCCCAGCCTATTGTCGGCATACACGCAACGAGCATCTTCCACATTTGTGATCTAGGTTTGTCGTTGACAATAGCCTTCTGGAACGCGACAGAGCACTCAACGAAATTATTGAAATGATTGTTATCTGAAGCCCCTATCTTTCATATGTGCACCTTGGTGCTGATTCATTTACGTCTGTGCGTGCAGCATTGGGCGCCAGCCTATTGTAAGTATACGCGCAACGAACATCTTCCACATTTGTGATCTAGACTTCGTCGTCGACAATAGCCTTTTCGAACGCGACAGAGCACTCAAGAAAGTTATTGAAGTGATTGTTACCTGAAGCCTCTATGTTTCATTGACTAGCCGCGAGAATTGCATGGCCGAAATTCCGCTATAAACGTGACTGACTTCAGCCTACATTTTTCTTTGTCGCCAGTTCCTACCCGCCGGAATGCCTTGCTAGTTTCAGGACCTCCTAGCTTTCAACATTAAAATCTGGATTTGTCATGAGACTTCGAAGTTCAATGCTCATTTTTACCACTGTGAAGCCAATGCTTCAGCGCACACTACGGATTGTATTTGAAACGGCGTCTGCCCAGTTCCTCGAGGGAAACTGCAACAAATTTTGGAAAAAAAATTGGACAAAGCTTCAACCATTCAAGCAGTGAAGTATGTTTAAGTTTCATATGCTGCATGGAGCCTATTGGGGCTAGAGCAGGCCAAGGTCAGTAGTCCATGTTGAAATCATCGCAGCGTGCGCGAAGCCCAGGTGCATAAACGGCGCTCAGTCTGAGCCAACCTAGTCAATAAATTTGTCAAATACACAATATGTAAGAAGTTTGAGCGCCTTGAGCTGCTCGCAGCAATAGCGAGCAAGTTGCGTCAACTGCCACATGACTAAAGTGACTATACCCTTGGAATGCATATCGAGCTAAGCCACCTATACAACCGTATCCGTTCATTAGAAACATAACTCATTGGTTCTTTGCAAAAACTTGGTTTACCAGCTAAATATCGCCGCGGTTTGATTGAGTTTGCTTGCCCAAGCTGTGCACGCGGCCTCACACAGCCCCGACCGTTACTGCTAGAGCCTTGTTGGTACTACACTCGGCGCCGCTTTCTTTATTAACTGGCTAGAAGACTTTTCTTTCCATTTATATCAGCGTATTGCTAGATAATCTTGCTTTAGTCATCAAGTCCCAAACTCACTGTAGTGTAGGGCACTACACCAGGACAGCCGGGAAGAATGACAGCAGGCTGTCTTTCTCCCTCTCACTTCCAACAGGCGTGCAGACTGTCGCCATAGCTAGCTGTTTATGTAAGCAGAGCTAGTGATCTAAGGAGTGACTAGCTGCTTACTTCCTGTTATCAGTGCAGGACGACCCAAGTTCATCCATCCGGCCTCCTGCTCTGCGGCCGCTTCGTTATAGCGAGCCACAAACTGCAGCAATGTCAGCCTCAGGGACCACTGCCCCTCTTACAGATGAGGAAAGGGAAGAGCTCAGGCAACGACTGCAGCAGCGAAGGCAGGAATTACAACGACAGCAGCAACAAGTGCGGCAGCTTCAAGGGAAGGCCTCAGACGCAGTCAGGGAGAGCGTCTTGGCTTATGGGGGCCCTAACGCAGCCTCTGCAGGAGAGGAGGCGGATGTGTCCCAAGTACGCATTACCGCAAATACAAGCAGCCGCACCTAAGTGACATTAGCTTGCAGACATGTGCGTGCCCCCTACGGTTGTTCGCAAGGGCTTTACTACCGCTGTTGAAACTTGGTTGTCTGGTGCTCTGCGCCTCCAGAATTTCATGCAGATTGCTGTGCTTCGGCCTCTCTGGGTGAACTCCTGGTTTGTAGGTTTCAATGTGTCTGGCTGCGCTTGTGTGTAGTGGTGAATGCAGTTCTGTCGAGCGTCTGTTTGCTGTTTGTAGAGTGTGGCATCTCTGCTGAACGAAGTCATTGCTGCGGTTAATGTAGAGCCGACACCATCTCGCCATGCGGATGCTGCTAGGACCGGGGGAGCGTTGGAGGGCCAGGCGGCCTCCGCTAAATCAGCTCCTGCCGTCTCTCCAAAACCCTTTACCAGACCTGGCACTGCTCTGGAGTAAGCTTGCTGCACTGCTTTATCGCGCTCTATCCAATATCGCCTTATTACCATACTATCTGGGGCTTGCGACTAAACCGGCATTTCAGGCTGGGTTTCAGGCTGCATCGTGGCAGGAGGAGACAACTGGGCATGGCCCCCTGGCCGTGTCCCTCGTTGGTAATATTCCCTCGGCTTGTTGCTTTTGTGTGGTGCTGGGGATGCAGTCACCGCGGGTTCGCATTTAAAGTGGCGAAGCTGGATGGTACAGAAACCGCAATTCAGCCAAAGGTAGGACCAGCCGCTGTCGCCTCTTAGAGTGCAGCGAACTGCAATGAGGAGCACTTTGCGCTGAGTGATGCGTAGTGCTTTTCATATTTTGCCATCGGAGTGCTGTAGGGTATCGTGGAGCAGAGAAGCTCAGACTTGACGATGGGCAGTGTAGGCTAGCATTACTGTGGGGAGTTCGCCGTTGCTTACAATCGCTGGCCGGTCTTAATGTGCTGTGTGGCTCATCAGTCCGTAGAAACATTTGACCGCGCAGTTCAGGCCTCCATAGAAAGCACTCCGGAGGTCCCTGAAGGAAGCCAAGATGAAGACTCAGAAAAAGGGCTAGCTGTATGTCGTACATGCCTGTTTGGACGAGAATAGTCTGCTTTGCGTCAGCGTAGGGCTTTGTGTCACGCAGTCTTTGTTATTGCCTTTTTGGTTACGTTGGCGCTTCTTTACCTCAGGCGGCTAGGACACTTACGAAGGCCCTTACTATTAAAGGCGCCAGTCCTTTATTACCGGCTGCTGAAGTTGGAAAGACGCCGACAGCCGCAGAAAACCTCGCAGAGCCAGCTCCCAAGATCTTTCGTAGGTGCAGCCCTTTACGGTTACCCATGACGCCTTATTCGGCCTTCCATTAGGTTCAAATACCAGTGGAAGGCTACATTTGCATTTTGATCTTGAGAGGTCCCACAGGGGCACTGCATCTGCTGTTCGGGAGATGACGAAAGATCCTTGCGTTCTTAATGGTGCACCTGGCGAGTTTAATTTGGTTAGGGTTCCTTACTATATTTCTGAAGGCTGGATGCTGCAGATCAGTTATCTGAGGCTGATGGTAAACGCGTGATGGCAACGCCCGAGTTCAAAGAGTTTTTCAGTTCCTCCACTAAGCTTGTGAGTCGCCATGCTACAATTTCTTTTCCCACTCCTGTTCTCTGGATGTCTGTCGCTGAAAAGAGTCTCCACAGTGTGTGGACATTGCGCATTGTGAGCGATCACTCGCCTCACGAGGAAAGATTTTCTAGTGTCCAGCGAATTTGTGTGGCCTCTGCAGATTGAAAGGATGCTAGGAGAGGCCGAGGTCTTTAACCCATTTGCTGACTACTCCGGGACAGAAGCAGGCGTTCAAGAAGGGTAAGATAACTGCCGCAGCGCTCAGTCACTCTGCGCCGTACTAATGAGTAGGAGAGCTAGACAGAACGGGAATAGTCTTGGGAACTAAAACCGTACTGATTTGGTTCTTTAATGGATCATAAACCCCAAATGTAGCGCGTTGTGAGCACAATGTACATCAAATGGTCCAACATCGTGTGGACTGTTCCACCATCTGTAGAGGCCAGTGACGAGACAGAAAAGCTATCGGGACAAAATGACTGACTGTTGCAGAGTAGTGTGAGACACCAGAACCACTAGGAACTGTTTATTTGCTCCAGTTGAGGTCGAAATTAATGGCGCAATTGCTTTTGTTCAGCTCAGTGGAGGTAGTAACATTCCTTGATCTCTACAAAGATACACGGTACTCCCCTCACCGCGCAGTCACGGACTTGCGGGCATCACCAACATTTCCTGAGCTGTTTCTTGCGGCGTACGGATCCCCCAGTTCCAAATACGCAACCGAGCAGGACGCCGAGGGCTGCGTGTTGGTTTGGAGTTTGGCAATGAAGCAGCGCCCGGAATATGCCTTTACCTGTCAGGTAGGTGAAAAAAACTTGTCCACACTGTGCGGATGTCTCACGTCCATAAAGGCCTCGCATATGGGGGAATCCGCAGGTGGAGCGCTTTTTTCTTTTTGCTTGCTAGTAAGAATCCAGGGCTGGCTTGTGGTTAGTTGCCTACTTGCTGCTTTTCTGCTCAGTCAGCCGTCTGCAGTGCCCTCTTCAACAAATTCCAGCCTTATGTTATCGTTGGCGGCACTTACAGCGGAAGCATAGTCACGTGGGACACGCGAGTGCAAGTAAGGGGATTTGAATTTTCCTGCTCTGCCGGTCTGCTGTCCTGGTTGGTCCGCTACGGAGGCTGAGCTCTGAAGAGGCATGGGTACCCTGGCGAATCATATCGCTTTTGCTTCTCCTGGTACTCGTTTTTGCTTGTGTTGCCATGTTGCAGTCTAAACCCGTTCAGAGGACGCCGTTGTCATCTAAGGGTCACACCAGTCCGGTGAGATGCGGGTGGTGCACTCAGCGTGGCACCTCTTGTGGGTTGACTTAGACTGATAGGCAGGGATGTGGAGCTGCTGATTCGCACGTCTTTTTGCAGGTCTATGCTTTAGAGATGGTGGGCACGAAAAACGCTCATAATTTGGTGTCTGTGGACACAGACGGTCGACTGTGTCAATGGTCTTTACAGATGATGGGGCAGCCGGCAGTGCGTCTTCTAGTCTCCTTGCATCCCAAAGGTTCCTTTGCGATTGTGCATACTATAGCCTTCTCTGGCAACTGATGCATGCTTGCCTTGCATGCGCTTTCAATGCGGCGAGCGTGTTGCGCTGTCTGAAACAGGAAACGCTTGATTTGAAGCGTGGCAGCCGTGACGTCTGCGTGGAATGTGTCTCCTTTGCGGAGGCAGAAGTAAACGACTTGTGTCTAGGCTCTGAGGATGGCTGTCTCATGACGGCCAACATCCACGGAAAGTAAGCGGTGGTGGTACTGCCAATTCTACGGCTTTCCCGTTGGCCATTTTAGTCCGAATCACCTCAACAACTCCTACTGTATCAATGCTGGTACTGTTCGTCATTCTTGCTTCGATTTACCAAGCTTTGCATTATGTTGCTTTGTTCCCGGTGTTCCATCGTCTCTGTTCAGCAAGGCGGGCGTGATGGATGTGTATGAGGCTCATGGTGGTGCGCTTACATCCCTTCACTTCCACCCTGGCATGACAGAAGGCTCGAGAGACTATTCACATTTGCTCTTGTCGTCATCAGTGGATTGGTCCATCAAGCTCTGGAGCAGCAAAGTGAGGAGAGAGAATTTATCACGCCACAACCTGTCATAACCTGCGGTTCAGAATGGCCTTTTGCATAATTGTTGTACGCTGCGTTCTGCCAACTCCTGCAGAACCTGGCAGAGCCCCTAGGGTGTTTCGAGGGCAGCGATGCTTATGTATACGATGTAAAATGGTGAGTTGATTATCTTGCAGTTCACTGATCTCCTAAGCTCCAGAAGTCATCAATATTTCCTGTATCCTTTGGTAGCTTCTCGCAGGACTAAGACTTGTGCCCTTGCGTGTCTCAGAGTTCAGAACTTAGATTTTAGGGTTCAATGTTAACCATTTTTCCCTTCATGCAGCCTCATGTGATTTTCTTGAAGCCTCTGCATGTCTCCTTAAGGGTGTGCATCTCTCCGACTTGATAGCCAAGGACCTTCTATGTGTACCTTTGCTTCTATCCGCGCCTGTTCTAGGCACCCGACCAGTCCGGCTGTTTTTGCCAGCACGAACGGCAACGGCACCTTGGAGTTGTGGAACCTCGCAAACGATTGGGCGGTTCGTCAGTTTGTGTCGGTTCTTTCTCGGGTTTGGGCATCTCACACAGTGCTACACGCCAGGGCGTACAAGATCGAATCATGGGTTTGATCTCTAGGTTCCTCCACACAGCTAAACAAAGTGAAAGACTTGAGAGGAACCACGGCTATACGGTGTTGCATCAATTGCCTTTGCAGACGCCAGCCTTTACGAGCCCGAAACCTGATGTCCCCCTGGGGGCTCACTTAGCCAAGAACAAGGTGGCTTGGTCTGCAGATGGAAGGCGCCTTGCCACCGGCGATGCAATGGGAAACATAGAAATGTGGAATGTATCACCCCAGGTTAGGAATAGCAGTTGCTGCAGTTTTAACAACTTGAAGTTAAAGTACGCTGGTTATGTGCCAGCTCCAGTTTGGTAGGGACCGAGATATTTCTTTTCACAGAGTGAGGTCAGTGACGCAAAGGCCTTTGAGATTTACACAGTGATTTGGCTTCTTGATTTATATGCAGGTATACCAACCGCGTGCTGAGGACAGTGAGAAGTTTGACAGGCACATAGAAGGGGCCAAACCGTGAGCTTCCAGTTGGATTCAAATTAGCTTCTTTGATGGCAAGAAATCTTCTTTCTAAGGAACATTTCTGTCGTGAAGAAATTAAACGTGTTTTCTTGGTGCCAGCTGTTTTGTTGCTTGGGCATTTTGTAGTAGTTTTCGGGCAGCTCATGTTTGGGTTACTTCGCGTGCTGCCTTGTGGTATTGACTGAAGGGTTCTCGAAGAGGACGTCTCTGGGGAGTCTCCTGGGCAGCTTGCTTTTGCTGACTAGGCTGAGCACAATCAACTTTTCTTCAGCGGCGCTGACTACCTCATTTGTCTAGCTAATTTTCTCAAATCCAGTGTTCGTTTGCTTGTATGCATATTTTTATTTCTTGTTTCTTGAAGACCGCTCATTTCTCTTTCATAGGGGCAGGTAATGGCGTCGTCAGATTTGTTTCCTCAAGGATATACTTTGTCACTGCTGCCTTACGGGCAACCGCATATGCCGGCTAAGCGGGCATGCCTACGTATGATGGTAGCCTATGTACTGGACGAACCACCGATCTCGCAGCCACGAAATCGCAGTAAACTGTTGTCTGGCCACAATGAGCACGGGCATGCCTGCAGAGGGAGGTTGGCTGTTTTGCTTCGCTGTTACGTGTTGTGGGCAATAGTGACGGGGTGATCTAAGTTACTGAAGAGCAGTGTTCATTTCAGCGACAGGCAATTTCAGGCAGATGTCGACCTGGTTTTCGTGAATTTGAGCGTATCACGCGCGCCATTTTACAGTTCGAAATCGTTTGTGCCTGAATAGGACGTTACACAACCGAAGTAGGCTGCGACGCCGGAATAATGGACGGATACGCAATATCCCGTGAACGGCAACCTAATGCGAAAATGCCCTTGTTTATTTTGAAAAGAACAAAAGGAATATTCGACTTCTTCAGCGAGCATACCTGCCGTGTTTTTTGCCATTTCGCATAAACGCTGGAACTCCTCGCGCCTTGTACGTAGAGGTTACACTTAGGCACAATTGAACAGCCAAAATACTTCTCAGTGTAAAACAAAGGCAGTCGCGCAAGGCAAATGTGAGCTGCCGCCAACGGTAAAGGTTCTTCTTCCCCACTGCAGGGATAACATAGATGCCCGGGGCAACTTTGTCGGGATGGGTATTGTCTCGGGACTGCTCGAGTCATCGGAGCATGCACGTACTAACGCTTCCAAAGCTTCCTGCGCGTTTCTTGAACCCTTCTATTTGAGGGCCCTCTTAAACGATTGTTTCAGTGGAGGAATTGCTACTGCCAACGGCTTAAGTAAAGAAGAAGCGCAGCGTGTGACCCTCATTACTTTCCTCGCGTCGCGCGTACTTCCAGACCCTTGACACTGGGGTTGGCCTGGCCAACGCCAGTGTCAAGGGTCTGTAGATTTGTTAGGGAAAGCCCCAACAAATTTACAGTTTTCCCTGACTTGTACATGCATTGTATGCATCAATGCACAGAACGATATAACGCCTTGAGTGGGTTCTTCCATGCTGTCTCGTGTAGCAAAGCCAATATTATAGGCCCTTTCCCCGATTAGAGGCGAAGCCACCCGTCCACACAGCGTGCAATCAACACAGCTGAAAGCCCCTGAGGCCTGCGCCTGTAAGCTAACCACAACGTCGCTTGAAAACTTCTGGATTACACCATAATGGCGACATACTACTCAAGTGCCCCTTGATGACTGAAGGAACCTCGGGACTTATTCTCCTCTAACCCCGGGCCAGGGAGCCGCGAGAGAAGCAAACCGTGTACCATTAAAAAGTCTTCTGGGTGGGCTCTGAAGAGGTTTGTCTTGTTCGCCAGGCAAGAATTCTGGAGAATTGGGGCTCGGGAGGTTTGCGCCAGGGGTCAAACTACAAACCAGCCCCAGGTGAGTCACACGCAGTCATACCTCTAAGGTAGGCGTCATGACCGCCATCGCAGCCTCGCTAGACGCCGAACTCGAAACGTCAATTTCCAGTAGCTGCGCATCCATGTGAAATGTTTATACTTCTCCCAATGCTGCCTTCATCATTCGGAGAGGTATAACCGGCTGGCATTGATGCCCAGAGGAGCGGCGCAGCCCCTGCTCCCTATGTTGAAGTCATCTCGCTACGGTTTTTGCTTGTCCCTCTTTTGTACCGTTCTAGGGTACCCTTAGCTTCAGCGCTAGCTGCGTTTACCTGTACCAGTTAACTAATTCTCTGCAAGTACTACCGTGCCAACTGTTGCAGTGTATACAGACATGTAGCGTTGCCTACCTTCGGCCTTGCGTCACATCTAAAGTAACAGGGTTTTTGAAACTATTCTGTACTACTGAAGACCCTCGGGCAACAGCGCTCGTCTAGAGGGGACATATTAGGTGAGACCGGAAACAAGCGTCCAGCGTCTCTCACTGTATATGCTACACTACGTAACCCTAAAGCAATCAAGCCACAGTATGACAAAAAAAGATCGGATATCTCCCGGAAATAGTATATAGAAACACGACGATATCAACTGAAGCCTCAGAATCCCCTCAACAAGGCGCCGCTTCCAAAGTCGAATCCGACACCTATGAGAACCCCTACAGGATGCATTACCAATGCTGCTTTAGAGGATGACAACAATGCAAACGATGGCGTCCAAAAATTAGTCCGTCATAATCGCTGCTATTTAATCAACTACTTCGCACGCTAGGGCTACAAGGGGACCCCTGCCTGTCTCTTGAATACAGTCACGCAGTCATCCATGCATGCCCCCGCTTGTCTGCCGAGACTGCTGCAAGGAGTCCCCTGCCGCAGGATGTCTTGTGGGGCGTTGAAATATCATTTTAGTCAAGGTGATTAGAGGATATAAACAGAAACCGACTGGGTGGTCAAGGAGCTGCTTGCTTGGCATGCGGCTGCAGTTGCGACAGAGGAGCGGTAGCACCAGCGGCTGGTATTGCAGCTGTTGCTGCCCCCTTAGTAACATTTGCCTTCTGGGCAGTAGAGCTTGCCTTTGGTGGCACATAAACTTCCATGCCGTTTCTTCTTGGGTTGTAAATAGGTTGCTCTAGAGCTTGATGGCTGAGGGGCCCCTCGCAGAGCTTTGTGGTGTCCAGGGACTACAACATCAAGGACCCAACAGCCCCAGATTTTCTAGGCAGCTTCACTGTGCCGACGGCGCCTTGTTCTCCTTGCAGGACAGCACCGATTCTTGTTCTCTCATTGGAAAGTGTCCGGGACCCGTGCTGCTCCCGCCTCCCCTACTGCTGCGCGCTGCTGCCGCTCTTTTCACCGCAAGCAGCAGGCACCCTCCTACTGCTGCTTCTGTTGGTCGCGAGCAGAAGCACCGCACTAGAACTTTTGTACCAGCGTCTGCCGACTTGGCAGAGGCAGCGTGGTAGAGGCTACTCTTAGCCGCTAGGGCTTCAGTAGTCTGCCGCAACTTAACGTCAGCCAGGCCCCGCCCTGGCAGCATCGGGGCCACCCTGGCATCATCTGGGATACCAGTCAGATGTGTGCAGCTGCTTGGCAGGCTTTTCAGGGCCTCCGGGCATCCACCGAAACAGCGGCTCGTGACACTGCAGCAGCAGAATTGGCCGCAACAGAAAACGGCGGAGAAACAAGATGAACTCGGATAGCAACGACCCGCCAAATCCCCCTCTTGAGCAGCGCCATCCGCAGGAGCAATACCAACACCGCAGCGGCCCACGTTCCCTTGCTACTGATAATGCTCAGGAAGACCCACGGCGCCAGCCACAGCACTGGCAAGAGACAAGGCAACAGATGCAGTATCCGCCTTACCCCACTGCCAGCATCCCGTACCAGCAGCAAGATATGCACCTACAGCCTGGAGCGATACATCACCAGCCTCAGTTGCAGCCAATGCAGTGGCAGCAGCAGGAGGCGCAGCAGCCACTGCGGTGGCAGCAGCACGTGCCACAAACACGTCAGCAGCAGCAGGCGCAGCAGCGGCCTCAGCTGCCAACTCAGCAGCAGCAGATACAGCAACCTCTGCAGCAGCCAGTGCAGCAGCCACAGCGGCCTTTGCAACAGGTTGGACCACAGCAGCAGGTGCTATACCAGCCGCAAGGACACCTAACATCTCAGCCCCAGCCACTTTCGCAGCAGCAAAAGCAACCGGAGCTGCAACGACATATCCAGCCCCAGAAGCAGCAACAGTCATCGTTGGGGCAGGGTGGTAGGAGCGAGATGCAGTATTCAATGCCACAACAAAACGCGCCGAGAAGTGCGTCCAGTGCATTGGGTCACCCGGCCGAAATCTCCGCATCACGATTGAATGGCTATCCTGCTGCTTCTACTGCTGCACCCACTAATGCCAACTATCAGGCCAGCGCATGGAGACTTCCCCAAAGCACAGGGCAGCACATGAGCTCCAGCTTTGTTGCAGGGGCTACTGCAACAAGTGGAAGACCCTTTTTGCAGCAACCGGTGGCACCGCAGCAGCACCAGCCGGAACAGCAGCTGGGGCAACCGCAGCAGCCTGTTCAGCAGCGGCCTTCCTTTTATGCGTCTCAGGAACCCCCGTCAGAGACGATGCAGCAACCTTCGGCGCTTTGCGAGCCAGTGCAGTACACACAAGAACAATGTGCATTCCCAACTGAGCCGCAACAGTCGCACGTGCAGCAACGGTACCAACACCAAGAAGAGGCGTTGTCACAGCGCCAGTCAATGCCACAGCAGAAGCTGCTGCAGTCGCAGCAGTACTTACAGCCGCAGCAACAGCAGCAAATAGTGGCGGAGCCAGCTGCTCCCCAGCAGCCGGAGCCGCTTCCCGGGTCTGCTCGCCCGTTTCCCTCACAGATATCCGAAAACGCAGCGCAGCAGCAATACGACGGGTCACACGGGAGTAGGCCTCAACCCCCACAACTGGAGAGGCGTTTGCCCTCTCTTATGGGGGTGGGCTTGGGATCGTTTCCCTCAAGTGCGGAGTCCAATGGGGTAAAGAACTCTCCGGAGAAAGTTGAAAACACTCAGAATCCACAGCCACAACAGCAGCAGCTGCAGCAACAGCAGCAGCAGGATACGTTTCCAGAAGACATGCCGCCACTGCAACCACTTGCACGCCCCATCAACAACAGAATAGACCCAGCCCACATACCTCGCCCAGAATGGAATGGTGCATCACACAGTATCCGTGCACAAATTGTTGCTGCTGCTCCTCTTGCTGCTTTTCTTGCTGTCTTTTCGTTCATGTGCCACTCGAGCTCTTAGAGCAGATGAGGCAGTTCTCTCTTCAAATGGCTTACAGGTCACGCCTGCTGCTCTCATCCCTCAGTCTTGTTTGCTCGTAGTTCCGGCCTGTCGGCTTGCTGCATTAGAGTTGTTTGTTATTCTTCAAATGACATGGGAAACTCCTTTCTCGTGTTCTGATGAGTGTGCGTGCTTCCAGAACAAATAACAAATGTCTGCGGCAAGCGAATAGAGACAGACAAGTCAGGAGCGTCTCCTCCTTCTCCAGCCGGGTTCTATACAGCCGTCGACAAGGGCTGCTGCAGTTGCAGATTCATGCGCTCTACCATCAACCAGGTATGAAGAAGGCTGGTGTTTGTGTTTGTGTTGCTGGTGGCGGTGCTGCTGATGATGCTGCTGGATTTCGATTTCTTCTCTCCGTGCACTATGTGGGTGTGTTATTAGTGGCTTCCTTTCTATGCGGTCGCTGGAGCTGCTGAAAACTGTGGGGTGCCGACTGAAACACAAAGAGCAGCCCTGTGCCCTGGGTTACGTTGTTGGCTCCACAGCTGCTTCCGTCGTTGCCTCTGCAGGTTCCGGCATTTAGCCACAGCTTAGAGCTTTCCCGGTTGCCATTTGCCCTTGTCGTAACTCCTTTTGCTGCACAGCCTCCCACTGAAGAGGCAGTGCCGTTGGTAGATTTGAGGATTAGCAGATGCCAAGCGGAGCCTTCATACTATGGCCAAGGAGTAGTAGCAGCTCCAGCAGAGCAAGATAGAGCTGGCTTGCAGGCACAAACAGATTTTTTTGGGGGCTACTTTGAGGTAGAAGACTCAGAATCGGACGAGGACATCAACAAAGGAGGCAGGAGCAGCAGGAACAGCACTGCTGCGGCATCTAGTGAGAACCGAAGCAGCAGCAGCGCAAGAAGGGGAGCAAACAACGAAGGGATAGTTCGCTGCAGTAATTGCATGGCGTACATAAGCCCTTTTATGTCTTGGGCAAGCAACAGCACTCACTGCGTCTGCAATCTCTGTGGTTCCTCTTTCGAGCTACCCCCGTTTTACCTAACTTTGCTCGACCAGTACCGCAGTGGTTTGCGCGGGGGTGGTAGCTTGGGGGGCACAGCAGTTGAGGCGGACAGGTACTCAAAATATCGCAGAGTAGAGCTGTGGAAGGGCTCCGTCGATTTTGTTGCCCCCAAGGCATTTGCCGTTGCCTCCAAACTTGCTCAGCTGCAGCGCGCAAGGAAAGCACAGCTGCTGAAGCTGGTGCACATAGAAAGTGAAGCCACAAGGCAGCAGCAGCTTCGACAACAGCAGCAGAACCTAACAGAACAGCATGGACTACAACAGCAATTCAACGAACTGGGCCAGCACCAGCAAGTGCAGCGTAGCAGCTACGGCAGCGCGCAGGCTGCATCGTCACTCAAAGAGGGTTCTGAGAGCCCGTCCTTTGACGTCGCCTCCAGATGCAGCAACAACAGCAGCAGCATGCGTCCATGTATAGTTTTCGTTGTTGATGCAACAGCGCCAAGTTTTTCTTCGGGCCTTTCTCAAGCAGTTGCAGCGGGTCTGGGACAAGTGTTGCAGGATGTATACCTACAAGTGGATTTGTGTCTGATTCTTGTAACGGATAGACTATATTTCATTCCCAACTACGCGCAAGCCCTGTCGCCGACGCAGCAAGAGCAGCAGCAGGAACTGCAGCTGCTGATCGTGGACGATGTGTTGGACCCCTTCCTGCCGATCCCTGTAGAGCATTGTTTCTTCCGACCTCAAGATAGAGATAGAGTATGGGACACCCAGTTCTCCGCTTATTGCTGCACTCCCCTAGACGGGATATTAGATAGCGAGTTAAATAGAAGAAGCAGGAGAGCTTTGCTGGGGAGCTTTCTGCCTAAACTGTTTTCCAAGCTAGATGCAGATGAGCATCCGCATATTCGCATCTCGAGCACCTTTAATTTTTGTAGAGTTAATAGCTGGAATAGTACACTTTCCGTCACGATAATGCGGGGTGGTGTGTGTCGGGTTTTGCAGCTGCTGTGGGCAGTCTCGCAGCTCCCTCTGGCAATCAACAACTGCCTAAATATCTCTCAAACCTCAGCAGCAAATGCCGCGTTAAAGGTGATCTAATATAATGTGCTAGCAGCATATAGTGTGGCAACGGATTCCCTTGTTTTTGGAGGCGTGCTGCAGGTTTCGGTGTTTTAGAGTGGCAGCGGCAGCAGTTCATATCGCTGCTGGTATAGAATTAGTGCACTGTTAGGTGCAGCTATGTGTACCCGCTGATGTACAACAGCCGCACTTGTTCCCGGCATCGTGCCTCCGCGCTGGGTTGGACCGCTTCTTTTCTTGCGGTTTCTTCGATGTCGTCAGTAAGACCTAAGACATCCTCTGTATGAGTATGCAGCACTGTGTCCCTGTGTGCTCTTTTCAGGTGGCGGTCGATTTAATAGCTGAGAGGTCTGCCGGGGGAATGGTGGAGATGTTTTACTGCACGTTGCCAGACATTGGTGAGGCCCGTTGCTGGTTGCTGGTATTCGTTCAGTGGCTTCTAATATTTAGGGCATCAGATTTGCAGCTCGTGAGCTGGCAGTCCGGACTCGCTCCTTTCGTTTGCTAGTGTGTGCACACCTCACAGGGGTCGGTGGGCTGAAGCATTCTACTGGAGCATCAAACGGGCCAGCGAAAGCCACCGAAATTCACCAAGTGTGTTTTTATAGGGGCATTCAAGCGGGCGAAGAAAGAGGACAACGATAATTTGAAACGAAAAGATAACTGCAGAGCTGTGGAAAAGAGACACGTAGATAGACGTAGATAGACGCACAGAGGCTCAGAAGGAAAAACACGTAGACTACGCAAGAAGGCTTGTCAGTGTCCTTCAGCATTATTTTGCGACAGGTGCACGCTAGTATTCTTTGCTGGAAGTAAAGGAGGAGAAAGTGGAATGAGAGGGTTAACAGTCAGACGTAATAGTGTGGATGGGAGCAGCTAAGGGTTAATCCACTGAGAGTAGGCATCTGCATTTTGCTCTGTCGCAGCAAGATTTTTACAATTCCATCATCACAAGATGTTTCTCAGCATGCGCATGCATTGACGTTTTCGCATGCCCACCGCCCAATCTAGCGCTAGAGCTCCAGTCTCTCGGCTTTCCTGCACAGCAGACCGGTGGCGACATTCATTTTGTGCCTGAATTCTGCGCCTCAAGGTGACACTAACTGGCAGCCGCTCACACTGAAAGTCGGATAAAATAGTAAAGATGCTCACGGCGTGCGTTTGGCGTTTGTTGTGGGGGATTTTAGAGTATTCTGTTTGGTCTATTCCTATGTTTTTTGCAGAGACAAGGAATGGGTGGCCGCGGAGATTAAGCGTCTCTTCACCTCTTGCTTTTATTTTGACATTGAATTTAAGTTGCGTCTTTCCAAGGTCTGTTTCACTTGTGGTTGATGCCGCGTCCTACACACGCCCTATATGCAAGCAAGCGTGCTACATAATGTTAAGAGTTCTTTATGCTCTCTCCTTTTATCGAAGTCAAACTGTATGTGGCAGTGGCAGCAGGCGTTGCCCGCGCATTTGTTGCATACGAAAACGCAAACACCCGACTGGAGAACTGCTACTGTTGCACCTGCTATTATTGCGGCAAAAGATTTACTAGGGTTAGAGAGCAGGGTTATTGCTGCAGAGCCCCTTAGGCCCTGCTGCTAATTGGGTGCAAGCCCCGCCCTTGAACGCTCATGCTGGAAGTGCAGTGATAGGGAGTCGCCTGTGCTATTTTCGATGCTCCTGATTGCGTTGCAGGGCTTGGCCGTAGAGAAGATCTTGGTTTCATTTTCTGGAGCCAGGTCACTCGTGGACCAGGGCACTTTCCGGCTGCCTCGCCTGAGTGCTCAGTCGAGCCTACTTTTTCAGCTTAAGCACACCGAACAGTGTGTCTTCAACATTCAGGGGTGGTTTCCTGGTAGATATTAGAACTGTGAAGTGCTTTTTGGGTGGAAGGGTAGGAGGAATCTCGATGTAGAGCTTATCTTGTAGGGTTTGTTTTCAAACCTAGACTGCATGGCATGATTTTGTAGTGTGTGTGAGGCAGGCTGGAGACGCAGAAAAACGTGTATGCTCAAAGTGTTTGCGCGTACACTCCCATGCATCCCTCTAGAAAAGTACCTAATCGGCGTCTGCTGAGGGTTCACTCACTATCGCTGCCGACAACATTTTCTCTTGCTTCTCTATTCCGTTATGCAGAGGTGAGGGCCTTGCATTTGACACTGCTTATCAAAGCACTGCAGTAGAGCTCTGCCAATGTGTCGCATTACTTTCCGAGGGCGTCTCTGCTTCGTTTGTTTGCCACAGTATCTGTACATATCTTCATTCGTGTGTGTAAAATTCTGCCCATATCAGGTAGATGCCACAGCGTTCCTTATGGCAAGGACGTCGGCCATAATGGAACTTCATCAGGAGCCCAACTGGAGAGAGAAAGCTATAAAAAACCTTGTGGAGATACTCAGCGCCTACCGCATAAACGTAAGACACCTCTAAATAGCCTATATATGGCCTGTTGCCTCTGCTTCGCTGTCTCAAAAGCATGTTCAGTTGTTCCGTTGAGGAATTCCGCGGTATTGCAGATGCTTGGGCTACGGGGAGCTCTTGAGCGGCTTGTTTACAAAGTTGTATCTTCATTTAAAATTAGCTTGGGCACTGAAGACGTCTTCAATTCCACTTTTGTCGCCTTACCCTTTTTGTGGACGCAGTGCGCCAGCGCTTCCTCTGAGGGTCAACTTATCTTGCCTGATTCTCTCAAGCTTCTCCCAGTGTACTTGCAGGCGTTATTTAAGCACGCTGTAAGGCAGCCTCAAAACTTTCTCCCTGCGTAGTCGTTTTCCATTTTGTCGATCTTAAACTAGTAACTTAAGGGAAACTCTGCTTTGGCTGACCGATTAGTAGTTGCTCTCACAATAGGGGTGGCGCATGCTGGCATGTTTGCACAAATATTGCAAACCTGGTCATAGCCACAGCAGCTATCCCCCTATATGTTAAGTACGAGAGTAATTGACTGCAAAAGCTGCGCATTGCATTTACCCGCAGGCTTTCCGCCAGTCGACAGTGGACCCTCAGGTCCGTCTGTTCCAGTTGCTGCAGTTCCTGCGGATGTCGATTTCGGAGTTCTCCACCCACCTCTATCCACGGCTGTGTCTTCTACACAAGTCTTACGTACAGCCGCCTACAGCCAAAGAGCGCAAAGCTCTTGAACGGGTAAATTAAGTGCCGTGAACCACTTTTCTATCCCAGCAGCTGAGGTGGAGCTCTGAGTAGCGTGTTCATTCGCGTGTGTACTCCGTAAATACACTCTCTGGGCATTCCGGTAGCGTAGCGACGAAGTTGGCCCCTTGCTTGCAGTAACCTATGCGTCTTCTGTGCAGCTGGGGGACTATTCGGGTGTCGGCGACTTCGTCTGGATGCCCCTTTCGTTACCGGCTAGCGGAACGAACATTTTGAGTGACGGGGTATATTTATGTGAAGCTGGGTCATATATGTTGCTGTACATAGGCCAACATGTACGGCGAGAATATATAATTGACGTAAGTACAATTATGTGATTCTATAACATTAGTAAGCAGGGAGAAACGCCTGGCTTAATGTGTTTTTGCCGGAAATATGAAATTTCCTATTGCACAACTGTAGGAGTAACTGCACGCAATCACGGAAACGTGATGCCTTTCGTAAAGGTACATTCTACATAAAAGCACGGTTGCACAAGAGTGTGCAGCTGAAGTGTAGATAGACAGGCGCCTATAAATGCACTTTGTTAGATTTGAGCAGCTTTTTCCCCTTTTGCTCTCCATGTGTGCAGCTCTTCGGCTTTGACGCGAAGTTGGACGAGCGCTCAACGGCGGAACTACGTCTGCAGAATGTCGAAGGAACTGCTGGGGGTGCGATGCCCATCTCTCCTGCATTGTCATGAATCCGTGAATATTGGCATTTATGTGAATGGCTTCTCCTCATATGCCATTTGCTTCTATCTGCATACTTTTGCGCAGAACGTGATGGACTAGTAAATTGGGGGTACGCTAGCATGCATTCTTCTCCGTAGAGCGCTAGTTGTTCAGTGCTCTTTCTGATCTCTGCAGCAAAAGTTCTTCGCGTCATTGAACAAATTCGTTTCGAGAAGTTTGATGCGCCTTTTATCCCCCTGCGCATTGTCGCACCAAGGTGAGGGTGAGATAGTTTACCCAAACAAAAGGCCAGTTCGCTCAACGTCTTAACTGATCGGTTTGCGTGATTGTATTTAAGTGCTGTAAATGCGTCACTAAAGTTGCTTGAACCTCTGGCAGACATTACGCGGTGGGGCATATATGTAGCGTTGCAGAATAATTTCCCACCATATTACGATACATTTTATCGATATTGGGCGTTTGGTTCTGAAGCTTGGGAGGAACGCCAAGGGGGACGATTTGTAACCTCATCATTTTCTTTGAAGCAATTTGGGCACACAGGAATGGCTGCTTGTGGCTATGTGCTTTGAGCCACAGGTCTTCAGACGAAACTCGTCTGTTGACGCACCTGATTGAAGACCCGTTGAGCGGAGATGGGAGCTACGTAGATTTCTTGTGCGACCTCCACAAGCGAGTGCATGCGAGGATGGAGGACAGCTGACGTGCCAGCGCGCTGCATTTAAGCTGGTTGTGGATGATAAGAATATGCTTGTGAATATATGTTACTCCGTACAGAAGGCGTCTGTACGTGTGCACACGTGCTCGTGTACCAAAATAGTGAGGCACTTTTACAGGTCGCGGTACAGGGCGATCTACTCTTGCCAGGCCGTGCCCAATACTTGCGCTTAGGTTTCATCTTTGTAGGTAGACCTTTAATTTATCCTCGCGTCTTTTTGGGCCTAGCTGGCTCTTGCGAATAGCTGTCGGGCTTTTCTGCAGCTGGTGCACCTGCACTTTCAGTTGCCTAGCTCCTCTCTAACTCGCCGCTGGCAGGACAAAGTAGCTCTAAATTAGAGAAACAACGCTGCTTTGGGTCCGCGGCTTTTCTTGCGACCGTGTTCCGTAGGTAAGACGGATGCTTAATGCTTACGATGCCTTGTTTCTCACAAAATTTGGTGCCGGCCTTCACGGTGCATGACGATAGCGCATGGCCGTGAAGTCTGATGTGAGACTCACATAAACCAGGAGTCAACGCATTCGTTTTGGCATGCTGCGGAGCTGCAGCCCTCTGCTCTACAAGCGTCGTGGCGGTATGCTTGATAGAATGGCTTGTCTTGCAGACGCCGATTTAGGGCAGATAACTGCGCGGAACGACGAGTACACCGTTTGCTCTGCAGAAGGAGGCGCTCTGCGGAATGCATGGGTGTTGATTCCGTTTGGTGCCATGCATCCAGTGATGCATCCTTCCCTCGTTAGTTGCTATCCCAACGTCGGAAGTTGCAATAAACTGCCTGAAAATGCACAGCAGTTGAGGGCTTTCGGCTAGCTGCCCGTAACTACTTTCACTATCTCTATGGGATCACCTTACGTCTACATGTGGTGCGTATTAATCTTTCACACATGCAATGCAGAACAGTTACCCTCTGCAAAAGTGAAGTCACGACGTGCACTTCCCCGTATCATGCGTAACGTGTGACTCATGCACTCCAATGCAAGTTCACTCAATCCACTAAGCATGTGTTCTAATACTGCATCTGTCAAACAGTAGTCTCACACATACCTCGAGCAAGTCCTTCAGATACATCAAATCTGTCACTCCGCATATTTCTCTGCACGAGTGCATTGCCCACTGAGCTATCCCGACGTCAACTGTGCGAATTCCTGAAGCCCACAAGCCGCCAAAACAACGAGCTTCCCTTGTCTTTCGTTACACGCAATGAGCTGGCTACGATATTCCCTTGCGGAGTTATCGCCAATGGCTTCTTCTTCTGAGGTGCCTGGACGTGGCCACGTGTGTTGTGTTGTAGCTTTAGGCACTCTGGGCTGTCGCAACAGCTGCAGAGCCTTTGCATCACCAGCAGCTTTATTTGTACCATATTCGCTGTCTCATGTATCGAGCGTTTTTTAAGCTCCTCAGAGTCACCTCACCCAGTCGAGCACTCAGCATCGCGCCCACAGTGCCACCGCATCTGCTGTCATTCCGAACAACGAAATCTTGCAAAGGAATATTTGCCTCTCCAGCAATTACACGAATCAAGGACATCGTAGTTGCACTGGAGGCATAACTTTGGTTTGCATTCTCCTTTATAACAACGCCCTGAAGAAAGGCACCAACAGGCTGAGCAGGAAGCTTCATAGATTGGATGGAGATTTAGAAAGCCTCGGAAGTAGAAAAGGTTGTTCGTGCTTGCTAAACATCCACTTCGGAAACCAACTGGCTGCAGATAGCTGTTTAAAACTGGCGAAGCAGAGGCGCACATAAAGAGTGCAAAAAAAGTGTAAATGGCAGCAGCACGATGAGCGACAAAATATATATGAAAGCTACAGGCACTCTCGGAACTTTCCTTGTGAAGTGAAGGCTTGTGCTGAGCTTGGTGCTTTTCACTGTAGTTTGGGTGCACCGCATGGGCCATATCGGAGCTGACGATGAAGGACTTCGCAAGGATTTCATGTAGGGCGTCTTCGCAACCAATGGCTTTGAGAGACCTCCGCATCCATGTCTGCCCACAAACGCGTCAGCCTGTCAACAATATCCCCTGTGCTTTTACCCCAGAGCCACAATTTGTTATACTTGCTCTTTCACATATTTGCGATCTGCATAGAGATACGTACCAAACTCTTGTATGCAGTCAATATTGCGGGTGGGAAGATTCAACCGATACAAGCATGAAAGCCCAGATAATGCCCCACTCGCCTTATGCAACTACAACGCACAAAAGGAAGTGTACAGCTTTGGGCCTTCAAAGTGGCAGTTGTAGAAATATGAGGTCACAGCCCTATGCATGAAAGTGTTTGCCTGTCAAAACCTGCTCTGCACCCCCCACTCCTTAAAGACAAAAGCGCTGAAATACGAAGCACCACAGCGTCGCTAGGCTCAGAAAAGCATGAAGGCAGCCAGACCTTGGTTGTTTATATGTGCAGCTTTGCATGCGGGCGATAGCGCAAAACAGTAAGGGCTCTGACAGGATCTAAGCAAGTAGTGCTGCCCACATTGCCATCGCGCTATCGCACCCGCTCACCTCTAGAAGACTTGAGTTTGCGCCTGCAAGAGATTCGGACCCAACTTCTTCATGGTCAAAGGCTACAGCCATCAAAATGTCTGTTTCTCCACAGTCTTGCTCTCCCCGGCGCTGGCGCTGGCCCGCCTCCACTAGGGCCTTAAAGGCGGCAAAAGTTGAAGCTAAATTGTCCAATCGGGGGCTTTCAATAAATTCCGAATGAATGCCTGACAACCGGCCAGGCGTCGCGTCCATTAGACATAAGTCCCAATCCAAAAGTGTCGCACCCGGCATGCCAATTTCCCTGGGACAGGCAACAGGAATGAACATGGACGGACAGCCCAATTTACGCATGGAGCTCAGCGCCTAGAGACCGCCAAGATAAGTCCCACCCCACGGAAAATTGACAGTACAAAGTATGGAAGTGATTAAATGGGACGAGAACAGAACTTGAGCAACAGCAGGCTCAAAGCACAGTAAACGAAAACTAACAGGCAGACCACAATAGCCGGTCATGTTCACAAACAGCAAGCAGCCTGAAAACTACTCTTACTGCCTGACTAGACGCTCCAACGCAGGCGGAAGTCGTTGAACTTCACTTTCGCCTTCCTGAATTGAGCTGCCGTTGCCCTGGTTCAGCTGCTCAGCTATGACGGAGCACAAGACAGGCTGCAGATGCTGTTCCTGAAGAAACACAGCCTCCCCTGACTGTTTTTGTCAGTAGAAAGGGTAACTACTGTTATATTTATGAAGCTAAACCTCTGTGCAGCAACTATTCATCTTGGAGTGAGCCAAAAGTATGCACAATGACTATTTTGTGCGGCAACCGTGAGTTCATAAGGTTATCTGTGGCTTTGTGGACTTAGGTGGGCTCCACACGTCCAGCGTAATTATCAAGGAACAGAAACCACCGTCTCACGGTCAGTGGATACTGATTCTAGAGCTATGCATTTTAGAGTGCATACTGCATTCCTGAAAATCCACTGCCTTCTCCGCGCAGCGGGCAGAACCCGTCCACCCAACCAGAATAATGCTCCAATGGAAACAAACCCCCTGGCAGCACCAACGGCAGAAAAAAATCCTGCTCACTTTGTTGATCTTTACGGCCCCAATCTCTTCGGGTGTCTTCAAGTGAATTGCGAGGCTCGGCACGTAAAACAGAGGCTTTGGTATGTGCACGAGCCTCTCCTCAACTTTGTAACCTGCGTAATTAGCTCCAGGCATGAATTGCATTACTTTTTACCGTGGTTTCTAGTCTCATTTAAACTACCACTTTGTCCCTTACACAATTCTGACAAAGAATACTTACCCATGTGAAGAACCACCTTTCCAGCTACGCCGAGTCCCCGGTCAAACCAGGTGTGCCAGAGGCCTCCACCGTAGCACTCTACGCTGCCCTGCACAAAGGTTGCACAGAGCATCTGTCCTCCTCACTTATCTGAATCCGCAGCACCCGTTCATGGGGCCGGTGGTTCCACGCAGTGGAAGCAAAACTGATTTGCTGTATGCGTGGATGTAGGACCCACGCGGTGCGCGCCTAACCATTTGGTAGCCCTCCTTCTCAGCAAATGCGCGAGGACGCAGCCGAAGACAGGGTGAGTCCGAGTGTGTTGCTGTCACGCAGAACCCCCCTGGAGCTTCCTTTTGGAAATTCCTTCCTGAATGCAACAGCGCATCTGGGGCAGGCATCTAACCTTTTACCCTGTATTGTGATCAATGCAGTTACACAGGCCAGTAATCAGTACTTTGGTTTCCCTAGTAACAGGCAAAGAGCATTTCACCGCACAGTGACACAAAGAGGGGAAACAAACATACACCTACCAACGATAAATGCGGCGATGCAAGAGCCGTTTCTCGTCACAAAGTATCTTCCTCCCTGCGTCATCTTCCAGCTCGCCCTTGTTCACAATGCAAACATAATTCCTCATTATACAGTATGCGTTGTTCATCTATCGTGTCTACGTGCACTGCTGCATCACCCGTGTTTTTTGTACACTACTGCTGCTTGCTATTTAGCAGTCCTCAGCGAATCGATTCAGGAGTCGTACACATTCCCTCTACCAACAGCGAAACGAGCATTAGCTGACAGCGCCGTTGCAGGCAGAAGTTGAACGTGCGTGGGGTTTACCGCTCGTGCAACTCCTCGAATCCACAGCTGGCGATGAAGTCCCTGACTGCCTGCACGGAGTGGTATGGGGAGCCTGTCCTGTTGACAAAGTTGATAAAGTTCCTGGCCAGCGGCGTTGCCTCCTCGAGCGCCATTCTAAAAAGGCGCAAACAGCATCACTAGGGACACCGGTGTCTCCCCCAATATATTAGCTGGGTCCAGGATCGCACAAATGGCCTAGAACCCTGGGCGAATGATAGCATATCCATGGTCGCACACTTCGATGCCTTGAGACTGAATCTGAGGGACTGGCATCTGTCGGTTTGGGTGAAAGTACAACTATACCTTCCAAAGTGAATGTGAGGGACTGGTAAGAGCCTGATTTCCTTGATGAAAATGTCGTTACGGTGCGCTTCTTTCTCAACTGGAAGGACGGACTATAAATTTCAAAGTGTTTCTGTTGCGGTCGTTCACCAGCAATAACGATCGCGTTCTTTCCCCCGTTGTGCTGGATTAACGCATTTGGGGCTCTTGATCCACAAAGGTAGCAGGAAGTTTCCTCACGGGAAGTTCAAAAGAAAAGATAAAATCGCAATGCACTTCAAATGGAAAAACAAATGAGTATAAATTTGCTAACTTCACAGGGGAAGGAATTTTTGAGCTCGTCGAGCTAAAACCAATTCCGCGCCTGGCTCCAACACGAGTGGTTCGTTCGAAAGCTTATATTCTAGAGCATTCACTACACGACTTCAATGCATCAGCCTTTTCTTGCTGCCATAAACTTCTGGACAAATTTAAGATATTTTGCACATGAACAATTGACTTCAGAGACTCAGAAATGAGACCGAGCCCGCGGGCTGGTGGTGTAGGGGTATCACATCCGCTTCGCATGCGGGGGGTCTCGGGTTCGATTCCCGACCAGTCCACTCCCTCAACAATGGTTATTTACAGTATGTGTCCTCCTCATCTTTAACTGTCTCCTTTAAATCGTCGTGTCTCCGCGGGGGCTGGTGGTGTAGGGGTATCACATCCGCTTCGCATGCGGGGGGTCTCGGGTTCGATTCCCGACCAGTCCAGGCCGTTCCTTTTTCTGTTTTATTTCGTGTCTCCTCTTTAGCTGCCCCCTTAGAGAAGAATCTTTGCCTTGGGGCCTCCTCCGTGTTTGCCTGATCTCGGCGTCTGCTATAGTGCGCAATACCTAGAGGAAATCAGCGTGCAAAGAGCTCATTTTCCGGCCTACGAGGCACAACCTGCTGTTCAAGTAGACCCGGGTTTCGGGAGACTTCAAGCCTTCGTGGCAAGTCGAAAAAAATGGAACCAACCAAGGGCAAACGACCTCAGCAACACAGTACAGTAGGTAACTTAGCTGACAGATTTTAGGGCGACGCACACGCGTTCGGATCGATGCGCTGCTGGAGAAGGCTGTTGGGCCATTGACTCTGAGATATATTATTGGGCATCCAATTGTCGTTGGACCACGTAAGCTGCCTAGAAGTAGCTCTAGAAGTGTCGTGCGTTCACCTTAAATGGTGCTATCCACACATGCATTGTCAAGGTGGTCGCTCGGGCTAACGCTATGCGTCTATACACGTTGTAAAGGCTAGGCCGACGGTGAGGAACTAAAGCTGCAGCCCCATCTCGAAACGGAAGTCTGCATGTTCCTTTCTTGGTGAGGTGGCTTCTTCTTTCGAATGAAAAAGTGGTACGAAGTGCTTGTGCCCTGGAGCTCCTAGGATTTGGAGGTTTTAGAGTGTACCAAGGCTTCAAACTGAGAGTCTTTCTTTAGCAGTGAGGAAGAGCTTATCCTTTCCGTTCCTCTGGCCTCAAAATCTGTAGACTTCTTGCTCTCTTTCTCCTTCCTGTCGTCGTTTTCGTCGGGTGCTTCAAGCCCTGTGTTTCCTTCTCCCTCCTCATTTGCTTTCTTCCCTACGTTCGCATATGCTCCTTCCTTTTCCCATCTCATATGCCTACCTCGTTTCTTCTATCACTTTTTGCCATCCCGTAGTCCACTTTCTCAACCACATCCTCCTCCTCTGTGGCGCGCAGCACTGCAATACTGCCCAGGAATAGTCTTCAAGGTGGTAATATTTAGTGCTGTGCAGATAAACCGTAATTACAGTTGCTTAACCTAAAGAAAGCTGGCTAATGCTGCAGAAAAAGCTTCCGATACGGCGCAGATCGGCCACGTGTGGGGCTCACTGCCTTACGCGCGGCCAGCTGTGGCCAGCGGTGGTAAGGACGGTGAGAGACATAGGCTCTCTCCTTGGAGAAGGTGGCAGGAATCACCACAGCAAAAATTGTCTAACGCTTTACTCGGCAGCTTAGTAGTTCATAGAAATGTGCGCACCTACGTAGAGAGTTGGTAACCCCAAGTAGAGGGTCAAACTTGGCCTCGCTCACTGCAACTGGCGTCTTGCTGCGTTTACCTAGTCCTGTCCCATCTGCCCTTCCCCGTCTGAGTTCCTGCCTTTTACTGTCTTGCCCTCTGCATTTTGCCTTTTCTCTTCCCTCTTCCATAGTTTCCATACTGCGTGGCTTGCGATGACCCAGTGCAATCAACTCGCGCAAATCGTCAAAGCAAGTAGATGGTGAGCCGTGCCTCAATGTTACGCCAGCAGGATTCACACTTCTCGTATATGTTCTTAACCTTTATATCCCATCCACCTCCATTTCCCAAGGACGCACACTGGCTACAGCCTTCAATACCCAATGATCGGCGGCGTGATTTGCTAAATATTTAGATAAGTTTATTCTTGCGTCTATGAGCCACCTAGACTCCTTCCTGAGCTTCCCCACAAGCACTGAAGCAATCTTCTGCGGGCATCTAGAAATGCTTTTCAAATACCGTAGGAGGAATGCCGGCGAACAGAAGTCCCACACAGCATACCCGAACAATTCAAAACAGGCAGAATGGCGGCTGTAGATATTGGGCTCTAACGCTCGTAGATAACAGCACTAGTCACCCAACCACTCGTTAGCTAAACGCCAGCACTGTAAAGCCGCAATCCACTGCACTACGAAACACTTCGTGATCTATCGGCAGCGTCCTGTGATTCAAGGAAACCCAACTCTGTAGGGCTAAATAGAGGGTTTCCTAAGTTTTTGACTTTTGGATCCTATGCAAGCGCTGCATTTGCGCTTACAACGTAGCAACGAGCCAGCACAATGCTACAAAAACGTCGGCCAGAGGTGAAATGAGGCGAAAAAGGAAGAACTGAGACAAGCTTCCTGCGACGTTCGTCTTCTTTTTGCGACGCGGCAACGGACAACTTTTGAACCCCGGGAATGTTTACAGTCATGGGAGCCTTCATCCACGCCTCCAAAGAAGGCTTCCTGAAAAGTTCTACTGGGCTGTATAAATTGAACAGAATTGTCGTGCGTCTTCTGCATTTACATTTCATGCAGAAAGAAACGTACATTCGTGCACAGAACCGTCAATCTCGCGCAGGCGGGTCCTGTCTTACAAGAAACTGTTGTGTCCCAAACAGCTCAGGGCACTTGGCTCATCGACTACGCACAAGTACGCCTTCCTGTGTCCTTTTAAGGACCCTCTGCCGCGGCTGCACGAAGCCACAATCGCTGCGTACAGCCGTAGCATCTACTGAAGCCAGGCGGCAACAGCATGCCCAATTCACGCTTCAGCTCCCTATCATCATCAATGCATGTGCTATCGACAAATGAGAGGCTGAGAGGCTCCTGGGTTTGCGACAAAAATTTCCTCTCCTTCGCAAAAGCAGGCCCCACAGCGGAACGAAACTCTGCACGCATGTTCGGGTTCCTCTACTACCCAGCTCGTGAGCTTGTTTGTGGCGTCCTAGTCCACGCGAGATATCGTTCTTTCGGCCCCAACATAAAATAAGTTTTCTGCATACTCAGCAAGTTATTCACGCGAAGAAAGCTGTCCAAAATCCTCAGCCCCCGAAGCGTGTAACTGGCCCCTCTGAGCTTGCACTTTTCCAACAAAACAAACCTGAAATATACGCTGCTCTTATGTACCAGCTAGCCACTCCCGGGCCTTGCTCAACGCGTCGCTGCCAGCCTGAGATAGTTGTTGCCAGCCCTGTTGCGCATGCATGCGCAGCGCCTCCACTCGCGCAGCGCTCTGGTCTTCCCAACCCTGAAGCCGCATCCAGCATACACCCAATGAAAACAGTCATCTTTCCACGTGAAATGCTAAATGTGTTTATCATGGATAGGCAGGCAATTGTGTAACAGCATTGCAGAGGGCCTCGACATGCGCCAAATATCCCCATAGGCGAGCTGGGTAAAAGTGAAAAAGAAACACAGAGCCACGCCTGCAAGCAGACATCACTGGCGCTCCATGGAAGAAGTACCGATCACACTCGAAACACACAAAAAGAGTCTAATTGCTCACTCGTCTGCCGGTGTTGCTCCTCCCAAACACTTCATCCGAGCCAATAGCCCTCCGTGAAGGATCGACGGGCACAGGGGCCACGGGAGGCGAGCTGGAGAGACAACAAGGTGCAAGGCGCTACAACGTCGTCTCACGACAACAGATGCATTTAAAGGCAGCTAAAACTGGATGAATCTAAAGACAGGATAATTTCGTTTCCTCTACCCACACACCCACTCTGGTGAGCATGCAACCTCTGGCGCTGAAACTTGTAAGCAGCACTGTAGCCAACAATGAGAAGCGTAATGTGTTCAAAATGCGAGTACGGGCCATCTCCTACCTGTCTTCTTGATTGAAATACTGAGCAGAAGAGATACTCTTCGCACCGGAGAACCGCGTGCTATTGCTGCCACGGCCAGCAGAAGTAGCGCTGCCGCTGGAACCATAGCCAGCCGCCCCAGCAGCTCCTGATCCCAGAGACGTGCAGCCGCTGCTTCCGAAGGTCGGGTTCGTCGCCGCCCTATGAATATTGCTGCTACCGTTGTTGCCGCTGACGCTAACTAGCCCCGTTGCCTGCTGCTGCGCTGGTGGCTGCGAAGAACTGCCCGAGACATGGGATGAGCCTGCAACAAGCACAGCACGCAGAAGCCCAGAGCAAACGCAATGGAAAATTCTCTTACCGCTGCCGCTCCACTTATTTTCAAGAACCCCTCTAAAACACAAAACCATCATAGATCACAGACGCCCTAGCTTAGTTGCACCACGTAGGTGCTCTCCTCTGACAATACGCAAGGAAAAATGGAGAACTGGTACTCCAAGACTCGAGCTCCCACTATTCATGTATATGAATGCATCAGACTCTATGGGCTCACCCTGTGCTGCTGCCCTCTGTTTTGCCGCCAAGAGAGCCGCCTCCTTCTCGAAGTCGAAGTCCATTTCGAGCTTGCGGCTCCTGACTCCTCTGCCGGAGACAGCAGGCTTCGCAACTCCTCCCCAGGATGATTCCACAATATGCCCGCGGGCAGGTCCTGCAGGGGCCGCGGGCACTGCCACCGGAACAGGGGCGTTCACCGAATTTGCTGCTAGAGCAGTGGTTGGAGTAGAGAGAGGCTGGTCATGAAGCTGCACGCGTTCGTCGTTGCTACGCAGCCCACCATACGTCTGCTGCTGCTGCTGCTGAGGAAGCTGCTGATGTTGGTTGTGCTGTGCTGCCGTCCCAGTCGTTTGAGCTGCAGGATCACTCTGTGATCCTACAACCCACCCAATGCCCTGCATTTCCGTGCTTACTAGGCGCTGAACAGTAAACACACCAAGTTTTATACCCAGACACAGCACCCGTTCAGCGCCAGAACCACACGCCGCCGACTTCACTTTCTTAGTGGCGCTGGAGTCATTAAAAGCAAACAGAGCTATGCCATCTACAGACAAACGCGTGCACAGTGCATGTCAGAGACCTATGGCTGCAAATTGAAGTAGAAAACGAGAGGCATACGTCTAGCATCTGTCGGTGTTTCGCCGCAAGTTTGCCATGGTAGTCCAACGGTTGGCTCAGGTCCGCCCTTCAGAGGCCAATAAACACATGCAGATGTGACCGCCCAAGATGTACCTTCGAGTACAGTAGGCGGAAAAGTAGTTCATGCTTGTTTGGGTCCACAAAGAGAAGCTACATTGCAGCCAGCACAACAACCACGATTCTGTTGGACAATGGAGCTGCTTAAGCGACTTCTATTTCCTCTGCCTCCCCGTCCCAACTCTAGCCCCAAAACACGCATAGTACGACAACTATGAAACCTTAAGAGCCAACTCTACTATTGGTTGCTCCTGTTAGCAAATGAGTAAAGCTTAAGTGCCTGTCGGGGCTCACCCGTGCTCCCTGAGAAACTCGTGTGCCCGACGGTTACCCCCTACAGTACACCACACAACAGCTTTGTCGCATCCCCTGCACTATCCACTGCCAAGGTATTCTGCGCGTCCAGTCCAAACGAGTTGCCCATTCACTCTGTACTGTCTACTCCACAGGAATACGACTGCTCCGTCTCCCCATCCTACGAGGTCATGAAACTGAGAAACCTTACTCACCCAACTCCATCCGAAACAGCTGCTCCGGGTAAATCTTGTCCATTTCCGTGGATCTTCATGTAATCAAAAAAAATGAGACAGCAACGACAAATACGCAGCACAGAAAACAATATCAGTGGGCGCAGCTGGATCACCCCTGGCGCTGGAGTGCACGTCGACGCCGTTCCCCAGGTCCACATACAAGAATCAACATCCGAAGCTATAGTCTAGGCTTGCAGGCTCGATCAGGAAGTGAACCGAGTGTACTGGGGACTCACCGCACGAAAGACAGATGAGTGCCCAGCCGCCGGTGTTTGCCGGAGCATGAGAGGCATACAAATACTGCATGCGTTAGAGATATCCATGTGGGATTCCTGCTGCTGCAGTCAAAGCATCTGAACAGCCAAAGCAGTGACAAAAAACGTAAAGCGCCGGCGAACTCTATGCTACAAATTCCCTGATCCTCCCCAGCTTACAGCCCAGCGCAACGACAGCGTGTCAAGAAATATGACGGCCACTTCGGCTGTTTTCCATGGAACGCGACAAATATCACATTTCACGAAATAGAGACTGAAATACGATGCGGCAAAACAGAAAACCCACAGTTCAGCGTCATTCCCGCAGTAAATGCTGATCTGTTGTCTGAGCGGAGAAGCGTCTGCATATTTTTGACCCCCGCAGAAAAGCGTACGAAAAAGCATCTAAACAGAGATATATGTGTGTATGTATGTGTGATAAAACATGCACTCCTGTTGCCCTCGCTCCAATTTGCATGACGTCGCCTACATGCGGTTTTCCTTCCTTAGGCGTCTGAATATTTCGTCTCTGTCTGCTTCAGAGACGTAACGGCGATCATCTACAGGCAGATGCTGATAGAGGAGAGCTAGCTGTTTTCTTGCTGCTGCAGGATCCGCGCCACTCAGTGCTGGAGCAGCAACAGCAATTGCTGCCGTAGGGCTGTTGCCATCCATTTTCCCTGCTTCCCCTCCTCCTCTACAAACCTAAGGGGGTAACGGCTCAACGAGAAATAGAAAAAATGGCAGGATTTGCGGAAACTCAGTAGTAGCAGCAGCACAGGAAATAGCAAGGGCAGCAATGCAGCTCAGCAGCAACCAGCTCACAGTCCTGCGCGAGAGGCTACTGCTCTACCTGTTCAGTGGGGGCCATAAATTCAAGCAAAGAACAGCAGAGATTTTCTCAACATATGGAGCACGTTTAAGTCGCTACTAGCTGGCGTCTGCCGTTAGGCTTCGTATCTGGTGTTCCAGATACGAAGCCTAACCGCAGACTCTCCTTTCGCATGGTAGTATCATTCAAGCATGCTACAGGAACAGGTATATTGTACTGGTAGTTCGTTGCTGCCTTTATTTTCCTCAGTGGAGATTTCAGTTTAAGCATCAAAGTGGACACACTGGGCTCCTTATCTCATGAGGACTTGCCCTTCGAAGGCCGACAACAGGGACAAAATAACAGGAACAAGTGGTATCACCACCAGACGAGCTTTCTTTTTCCCTACTGTTCTTAAAATACATCTCCTGAAGGCCAGTCAAATTTATCAAGATGCGAAACTACGTCGAAACCTTTGCAATCAGCTAAGCCGGGGCCAAGCAAAAGAAATGCTACATTCTTTGTCGTGTACATTCATGTAGGCGTGCCTTCTTTTTTGCGCTTCGCTGCAACACAAACTCCACAGTAACATGCAAGTAAGCAGAGAACATACTCCATAAAGGTGGCTTTCGGATAGCAAGCTCTGCAGTGGGTCCTGAATGAGGATTTCGTGTAACCTGCGCCCTATATCGCGCCACTCGTGGCATTCTACCTTCACAGAGACAGCAGCTAGGACTCGTTCACTAGCTCCCTTTGCCTTCAAAGAAGTAACAGCAATAATATAGAGGCTGAATCATGCTGCACCTCCTCCAGATGCTGCTGCACAGCAAGATGTCCTCATGTCTGTGAATTTGGAATAAATGCGGGCAAGACATTGACGCATACAGTGAGTGCATCGCGGCGGAATAAACATGCCTTTTCACAATGCCCTTCTCTAAAAGGCAGAAAGCACCGTTTTCAAAGAAAGCACGTAGGCATTCGCTACAAAATTTTTCGTGGTACTCTGCGCAGTCCCGCTTTTTCACAGAAATCCCTCAGCGCCTTTACAAGAAGCTTCAATGAAGGAACTTGCAAAAGCTACGTGCCTAGAAATATTGCGTAATCAATCTACTACAGCAGGAAACAATGCCTCTTCAAGTGAAACCACTTTTTCCCAATGTGAGAAATTGCCTCGCACTCACTTGTTTTCAACAGGGGGGCAAATAGATCCATTGTAACAGCATCTTTAAACTCAACATGTGGGAAGTCAGAGTCAGCGAAGTCATTTTGCTGCTCTCTTTGAGTACTCTTAGCACCAGAGGCACATTTTCAAGACTTACGTGACGTCTCCGGGCACAGGTTCCCAAGTATACGTTCTACATCTCAACAAAACCAAATGCCAGTGGCTGAAATCCTTTCCTCTATAAGAGCTTATCTGCACGACAATGAACACGCTGATAAACTGCACAACTAGCCTTGAATGCATCAAAGTTCACTGCAGCGTGATAGTCAGGGTCAGGTCGGCCGTATCCTTACACCAGAAGTGCCTGTACTGCACTTCCCCATTTTCACATCGCAGTGCGCAGGGAAACTCCCGCCACCTCTAGCACCTGTCCGCATACATGCATATGTCTTTTCTCTTTTCCCTTCTGTCCTTCCCTATCACCTGCTAGAGGCTCTCTGTTAAGTTGATGCCGGCTGCGCTGCACCGGGTGGTGAACTTCAGAAGCATTGCCGTTTAGTTTCTCCATGGCGTCGCACGCGAAGTCCCCTGCGGGGGAGACAGAAACGTCTCAGTGAGTCTTTGACGCTTGCGCAGCAGTTGCTTATCTGGCAACTTTGGTCATGGTTGCGGTGGCTTCTGTAGTTGCTGCTCGAGCCCTTCTGGTTTGTGCTGTTACCATTGATGTCGCGCTTGTTGTAACTGCCATCACTGATCCGCTTGTAGCTGCTTTTGTTGTTTGTGCTGCTGAGGTTGTTGCCATTCCTTGTGCTACCGCTGTGGTTGCTCTACAGTCTCTGCCGCCAGGGTGCCGACCTTCTTCTTTATTTCAAATCTTTTGGGATAGTGTATGCTCATTTGTTGAACCAAGCAGTTGATCCGCACATAGTCAGCTTGGATGCTTTCCTGTGGTTCATTTTACTGTGCCACAAGTCGCCATTCTCCGAGTTCTCTTGCAGCTCTCCTTTGCGCGCACTTCGTAGTTTGCAAGCTGTTTACCTTGAACTTTACCAGCTTTGCCATATTATGTTTTGCAAGCTGTTTACCATGAACTTTACCGGCTTTGCCATATTATGTTGTGCCCTCTTTCTTAGGCTTCTTTAGTGAGTGCTTTACCCCTTGACTGTTCCATATATTTGTATCATTACAGCACATTCTCGCCCATACATTTTAGTTTGGCGTACAATTAAACTCCATTTTTGCCAATATAATTCGATTAAGCGTCCGTGTACCGCCCTGTGCCTGTAGGTTAGTGAGGTTTTGTGCTGAGTGATGCAAATGCGAATGCTTCTCCCTAGGAACCAAAAATATGTAAATGCGCATAGTCATCCAGTTTAGTCCCCTTCGCGTGGCATTACCAGGGATGGACGTCATGCTGTCTGTTTGTGTAGGTACTAACAGAAAAAAATGAAATGCTAAAAAAAGGGAAAAGGACAGAACCACCTCCAGAGACCATGCGTCCAGTAGAGTGGGAGGTGGACAAGCGGTTTCAAATTGGACGTGCAGGCCGGGGATCTGAACTCTGTATAGAAGCCGTATTTAGGGTTGCCATCACGCAGGGCAGCCAGTGAGGTGAGGAGCCGGTTCACAGGTGGCCCACTCTTTAGATGCATCTCGTCACTTCACAAGCTTCTGCACATCTTCTCCATTACCCCTCGTTATCCAGTGATCCAGTAGCAAGATCGTCCAGCATATGGTTGGTTTGTGCTCGCCTTGCGGACTGGCATCTGCTCTGTGCCTAAGAAGTTACCAAATTGCGGTCTCTATGACAGCCCGCGAGTGAACATGAGAAGCGGTGTGTTGGCATGCAAAACATCACGGCATGGCTAGCAGCCAGGGGACATAACGCAACAAGGAGCTTTGCTGGTGGGTTCTTTCACCGTTAATGAAAAGCGATAACTGGGCCTAAATCCAGTGCATTCATTGGAGGCCGGCAAGTACTTGTTGATGAGCTGTACTTTGTCACTGGCAGCTTGCCCAGCGTCACGCCGAGCGGAACCTGCTTGTTGCTTCTGCTGATCACTCGGCACGCACAGTGTGACTTTGAGCCCAAGCTCAGGGCTTTTGAAGAAGCTTTATCAGGGGTAACATGACTGCCAAGCTACCAGTAATTTTAAACTTGGCTGCCACGAGCGGGCTCCATCGTAAAATGAGCACGAAGGGGCCGAGCTTGGTGGAAGTGTGATTTGTTGTGCTATATGCTAGAGCGGAAGGAGGCAGTAAGCACTCCCATTCCCGTTTGTCTGTGGCAAGCATCTGCCCCAGACCCAGAGTGTGAATGAAAAGCTTGGTCTGGCTATCATGCTGATGAAATGGTGCGCTTCAGGCGGTTGCAAAGTTGCTGCAATAGGTCTAATGAAAGAGAGGATATTTGTCAACAATGAGTACCTCGGTAAAAGCGTGGTAACGAGTAAGGCAGCCAGCTAGATGCTCGACGTTGTTTGCCACTGCTGCAGTTTCTTTCGCCAGAGTAAAATGGGTCATTTTACTCCGGAGTCGTTAATGGAGACTACGCCAACATGGACCATGTGGGGATAATATGCTGCCGAATAAGGCTAAACAGTTTTAAGTTTAGTGCTTCCGTAACCCAGCATGCTACGCAACACTCAAGGGAGTGTAGGCATGCACCCGTGGACAATAGCAAAGGTTAATCTAGGCAGGAAACGTCTTCTCTTGCCACGGGCTGCCCCAAGCCACGTGATTGTGCCGAGCACAAAGCACGTGTACGTGAGATATAGGAAAATGCTGCACGTGCACGCGCCACAGGCTGTGAATGCAAAAGCGTAAAAAAAACGACTCCAAACGAAAGGCAATCCGCGATTACGCATTTCCAGTTGAGAAATCTCCGTTGTTGGCTGTGTCTAGGCCGTTAAGAGCTTGTGGGATACTAGATATACGAACAGGCTCTAGCACAAAGATGCGAAGAAGAGAGTCGTTTGTTTTGGGTGAATTGGGTTGCAGCGCTGATATGCATTGCGGATCTGGTGTTGGTACATCCGAATCAGAGAAGACATTGAATGCAGAAAGCGTTGAAATTAGAGTGCCCTCGGCACAACTCTGCTCATAAAAATAATTTTCTTTTGTCGCTGATGAAGAGTATTACGTACTGCAGAGCTGGAGACGCCTATGAGCGATTTGGAAAGCTTTGTACTAGCGAGGATGGTTTTGGTCCTGTAGAGATGATTAGACGTCGCATAATGCTTCAGTGGGTTTATCGCTTCACCCAGTGGAAAAATGGACCTTTTTGAGTGGGACCAATGATGAGCGACGTCATTAAAGTTGATCCTGTGAGCATTTGGAAATAACTTACCTAATCAGAAAATGTGTGTGCTTGAGTTTCGTTGTTCTACACCTCCAGCGGTAAGTGCACAATCTGTACCGAGTCTGCCACATTATTATGATAGGTGAGATCCTGTTGGGACGTCTGAAGGATTGATAAAAGCCCAAAAGGGAGAAGAGATTTGCTCGCAGTTCCTGACTCGGCGGTGTGCAAAGGTTTCCCGCCTGCTTCAACATCGCTGCGAGAAGGAACTTTCCTGGAGAGCACACACTGGCCTTGGATCAAAAATGCTTTCTTTCACGTATAGCCGACTCAATCTCCACATTGTATGCGCTTAATTTATTCTGTTTTGTCTCGCAAGATGCGCCGTCATCTTCGTATTCTCAAATAGGGCGCAGGGCTACCTAGCCAGTCTCATCGGATTTGGTTACTCTCAACACGAACCGAAAAAAATCATTATTTATTTTTTATATGTATGGGTGAAGACGAAGGTTTAAAGATTTGGCGGACTCAGTGGAAGCATGCTTTCAGCAATGGCGCTGGGGTTGGCAGCTGCCCCTCGTCGTCAGGAACTCGCAGCAGAGGTAACCCACACAGTAAAGTAGGCAGAAACTCCAAACAACGGGTGCGACGGATCTGCTGATACACGCCCACTGCGTACTTGCGTTTCCACCTGTTGGATAGATTGCTGACGGCACTAGGATCAGCGCAGAGCACCACAAAGCTTTATGGCACTGCCAAAAATTCTCTATACGTGCATCCTTGTGTAGACCGGAATGATTCGCTGCCGTGCTTTCATGGAGATCATGGCATTTCACAGGGTCACGGTCACCTAAATGCGTGCGCATATATTGGGGCGAAAGGCGTTGTTGGCTTCAATATTGCGAGACCGGGTGACTGTGAACCGGAGCGTCAAGAAGAGAGTAACAATTATGGCCTCGTAACGTGCGCGTTTTTCGGCGAGTAGGTGGCACATACTCAAGCGCATGCGGACGTGCGCTGCGACACTGCGGAAAAAGCCTTTGGCTACGAGAGGCGTCGGCATGGCTGCGAAGAAACCTCAGAAGTGCGACGCACAGGCCCTCCGCGTCAGACTCTCTCGTTGACGCATATCTTAGTGGCGATGCGAGTAAATCGCGGTCATGCTTGGGCGTTGCTAGTTCTTGTTGCCCCGAGACGTGCGTGTGGAGTTGGGCGCGAGCCGCTGTTGGGGACGATGTTGCGAGGCAGGGTGACGGTGGCAGGATGTCGAGAAGAGCGTGACAAAGAGCACAGAGCGCACGTGACATTGCATTGATGCATGGGTGGTGTGCAGGATGTAGGGGTGGGATATTGAAGTAAATGGGGTGTTGACAGCGGCGCCGGGAAGCAGACGTTGAGATCTGAGTTTCACTGGATTGGCAGGGAGGAAACACTGGAATGGAGGGGGAACGAACGCACAGTATATCTAAGGTGTCTGCTTACGTATTGTAAGCCCAAAGACGTCGAACTTGATGGCGGCGTCGCAAGCGTGCCAGGATTTAGGGAGGAACGTCTTCGATAGGGACTGTAAGCGAAAGCTTCTCAGTGCAAGCAAATCGGAAGAATGAGAAAGCTCACGAAATGCATGGAGAGGGAGCTACCCACATACACGTCTGCCTTCAGTAGCGTAAGATATGCTCCGTAACTAACATAACGCAGCTTTTCACATTAGAAAAATACTTGCCAGACTGCGTGCCGGTAATGAGCAGTGGGTAACCTTAACGTGTTCACGCAGCATGACTGTGTTGCAGAGTAGCCGTCGCTGCCCATCAGGCAATCCATACGACCACGCGCCCGTAAGTCCGAAGGCCCCACCCAGACTGAGGAATTATCTAGAACGTGTGGTACCCTTGTTAAGAAGATGTGAGATGTAGCATGCATCGAGGAAAGAACGGAACCGGTTTGACTGGAGCTCAAACTGGATGACTACATAGCGCATGCTGACTTTCATACTTACCAGAGCAGGACTTAATGGGTACAGAAACTTGCCCCTCCTTGGTTTCTTACTCATTTTGGCCCACGCCAGCAAGGAGCCTTCGGTGCGTTCGACTTTACATGCAGAACTAGCTTCGGCGAGGGCAGATGAGGTCAAATGAACTGTGCAGTGGCTGGAACAAATCCCATGTTTACATTTGCTTGCTGAAGGCGTCACAATGCGACTAACATTGGCTGGAAGAGGCCGTATATGTATCGTTCCTTCCTGAGGACAATACAACGTCACTACTGTTGGCGTTCAGCCCGTGACCCCTTTCGCCATGCTGCTCTGATGTGGTCCACTTTTCTTCCTGTTGTTTCCGTAGCCAGGCATCGTAGGCCATCGTGACCTTAACGCGACCCTCTATTTTGATAGACTCACTTCAATTAATTCAAATTTTGCTTCCGTTATTTCCATAGAGCCACTTCATAGACTGTAGCACTTCAAGTGCTGGCTTTATCGTGGTTGGCAGAACTACTGCATGCGGCTGTTACAGACACAGCGATTACAATTCACTCTCTACAAGATACACAACGACTTCAAAGGACTGAGGGGGCGTTTTGTTACTTTGCTTGATGCAATGTGCAGGATCTGAGTACAGGTAACTGACTGACTGCTCGTGTGGATTGTGCCAGCAATTATCTTGTGTGCTACTCTTTTTAGCAGCAAGGTGCAATAAATAAATATTGGCACTTGTGGGGTGATGAAGGATTTCCTGGGGCTAAGTAACGGAATGGTTTCTCGTTGAAGGCACTAGCCCTTCCCAGCCTCTTACTAGAAGCCTCATCCCACGCTGCCTGCTCATGCAACCTCGATAGTAACGCAGGATGGAAAAAGCTACATTCCTACCTTTCATGTGTTGCAAATCAGGCAAGAAGTCTCATGATAGCTCTTTGCTGAATCTACAGAGATTGTGCTGCAGGACAGGAGCGCAGCAGGCTGAGCAGCCCTTCTGACGTGAGTTGGGCGCTGCATCATTGAAATGGGAACGCATTGTGCCTTTAGTGCCTGAAGTTCCATCCTTTACAAAAATATTTGCCGCCTTCATGGCGCCTATGGCTCCTTGAGGCCACAGATTGATTCGTTTTGCTGGTCAGGCACCACCCTTGGTGGTATTTTTCGCACTTCAAGATTAAGTTGGGAAGAGTGTATCCCTTTAGAAGCTACCGTGATTGTGTTGTTGCAACACATAGAAAAATCTCCGGTAGATAATACTTGGGTCCACCGAAAGACGCCTGCACAACATTCCAGACGCCCACGGAGGCGGGCGACAGACATAGTTGCAATATATGTGCTCAGCTGCCAAGATTCCACGTAAAAGGCTTTCCCCTGTCTAAATAAACAACTTCACATCGAGCTCAACTGATATTGAAGAGATAGAAGCTCGGTGAGGGCCTGAGTGGTTCCTGGCGGACATGGAGAACGGAAAAGACTCGGACGTCTCACTAGTGGGAGTAGAGGAGGAGACGAATCCACAAGAAGATGCAGGGACTAAAGAAGGTGCTGAATCGTCGATTGCTCCAATGAAGAGCGAGTCGCCGCAGTGCACCGAGCAGGATGCAAATACCAACGGTGGGTCAAAGGTCAAAAGGCCAGCTCAGTGGAGCACAGTAAAACACAGCACGCGGACCTGCATTCAAGCCACAGGAGTATCTTTCGTATGTGCTTTTGTATCTGTCTTCTCAGATCCAGCCTGTCCAGCCCTCTCCGATCTTGTTGATGCCAGCGTGAGACTGATCCTCTCCTAAGCCCCTTCAGCGGCAGCAACACCGGCCGAAATGGTACCAGGAATAGTCACCCAAGGCAAAGGACGTAGCAGTTTTTCTGTTTATTCCGTGTTCCGGCTGATAATTCGGCTCTCCTCAATCGCACCACCGAAAGAAAGAGAGCTCAAAAGCATCCTACTCGTTTATCCTTCATTTTTGTCTCCAGTTTTTCCTCATTATTTGTGTTTGCGCCTTATCTGCCGAATAGCTTCTTGCACACTTGAAGGAAATGGGTTTCAGCGAGGCGCGAGCTGGGCGGGCGTTGCTTGCGACCCGGGGGGGTCCCGCCACTTTGGAGACGGCTTTGTCTTGGATTGAAGAGCACGAGGGTGACTCTGACATCGATGATCCACTGACTCCAGAAGAGCTCGCTACCCACAAACCGGCAAAAAAGACACCTCTGTCGGAGGAGGAGGCGCAGCGAATGGCGTACGAACTCCAGAAGAAACTCAGAGAAGTAAGGGCTTTTCTTTTTTTTCGTGTCCATGCCGCGTCACAGCTTACATTGCGTCCGGCACATACGCGGGGACAGAACCAGATGCCTTGCGTGGTTTTCTGCGACAGGCTACTTGCTCGTATGTGGGGGCATCTGCCAGTGACTGTGAAATCCCGGCGTGTGTCTGTAATTGGTGCTATTGCTGGGCTCAGGAGCGGCTGAAGCGGGAGAAGCAAGAGGCTATTGAAAAGGAACGGTTAAGACTACAGCAGTCCCGGGCCATACTGGAGCAGCAGTCCAAGCTGGAAGAAGAGGCCAGGAAACGAGCCCTTTGCCAGCTGCAGAGAGAGAAAGAGGTTAGAAATACTACATGCAATCCACGGGACAATGACGAAATCTTCACATGTATCTGAACGACCACAACCAACTGACCAAAGTCAATCAAGTCCTCGCCACTACGCCCTTTCTAAGTGGAGTTTGCCGTCCTGAGCTCCAGTGGTGTGTGCTTAGAAATGACCCACGATGGTGTTGGTCCTCCCTGCAGCCTTTTTGAGCCAGCAGGGACAAGCATAAATGCAGGTTCTTTTGCTGTTGAGTGCTCAGGAGGCCAAGAAAGAGCGCGAACGCCAAAGAGAACTTCTACGTCAAGACTACAGAGACAGATTTGGCTGCGAGGTCTGCTCAGGGGTTTTCGTTGCTTTTGCAAGCGCTAAGGCCGACTGCACGCACTCTGGTTGTAATGGGTTTTTTACTGCCGTAGAGAGATGCAGATGTTTCGTCGAAGAGGGGAAGTGCTACGATTAATCGATGATCGCCATAGAGAATAAGAGTCGGCAGCAGCCTATTAAGAGAGGTCGCAAAGTTGTTCAAGTGCTGCGCACAGATGCCTGATGATCCTTCCCAGGCCGACGTTGAGGAGCGGGTGTCGAAAATGAGCGGCAAGGATAAAGTAGCTTTCTTTAGCAATGCTCTGTTCAAAAGGTATAGGAAAGACGAGCCACAGAAGCTTCTGGTCTGTTTGACAACATTGCGCCTCTACGTTATGAACGCGAAAGAGCACCCTACAGATGTCAAGTACCATCGCATCAGGTAAGGAACAGCTTAGACTCCAGGGGAGTAGGTGGATTCAGAGTATAATCCATGTAGTGTCTAGATGCTAGATGTTGCAAAGTCTTTTAGTGGTGCTGGCCGGACAAGAGGTGTTGCATCGCATCACGATGGGGCAACACGTTTCTTATTCTCCTTTCAGAAAAGAGAACGCGGCGTTCAAGTCCCGCGTCATGGTGTGTGAAGGATCGCTGGAACTTCTTGAGGCGTGTGGCTTCAAAGATAGGGGTAAGAGGCTACCACCCGGGCGCACACGTACGGCGTTGACTCGTAGAGCATTGTTTCCTCACAGTGTACAAAGTTTAATCCAGGGCGGGAAAGGGCATGTATCCTGTACAGTTTGCTGCTCCTGCAGAGCAGCACACTGTACAGAATACGAACTGTTGCTTCAGGCTGTTTCTTCTTGCTCCCTCCGTGTACTTTCGCACAGAATTGCTTTAGTGCCATGCAAGATGTCACGTTCGCTTGTTTCGTTATTGTAGGCGAGACGTTGGCCATTGAAGGGCAACCAGATGGTTTCATTCTGGCCCAGGCAGTAAAGTTCCTAGATTTGCTGATTGGACAGTTGAGAGGATGAGGTATTCGCAGCTTGCGATGACCTGCGACAACTTGCTGCGGCGGTGCGAAAGGAAGATCCGACTCTTAGGTAGAGCGTATCCAGAAGCTACGCTCTTGTTCTCTGGCTCCCCATTTTCAACTGATCCAGATGTGCACGTGAACTTGATATCTGGCTTTTGGTCTTGCGTGAACAGAGGCTTGCGGACACGGGAGCAAGCTTAATGACAGCTTCAAGCTGAAGTTTACGAGATATGCGAACCCTCTCTGTTTGAAGCCTCCAATCCTTCGGACTCCGTGCGCCCGTAATCGCTGGGGCATTAGCGTTGCAAACATAATGAGTCACCGGAAGCTGCCGGACTTGCTGTTCTCTGCTTACTGAGTCTGTGGCAAATCTATGCGAGTTATTTGCTGGTGTTCTCGATTTGCTGATAAGCAGCTCGCCGTTGCACGCGACTTTGAGGAGGGGTGAAGAACGAAACGTAAGGTTGTGCTGCTCCTTTCGAAACAGCTTCATTCTGAACTGGTGCTGAGCAGCGAAAGATTTTGTCCCGAGCTGCGTCAATGTAGGTCTTCATCATCAATGTAGGCGTTCATCATGTGCTGCCCAAGGGCAATGTTTACTTGAGGTGTTCTAGGGGGCATATTGAGGCAAAGTCAGCCCAACAGCACGTAGCTAGGTGCACAAGGCCTGAAACAATCGAGACCTGTTGACGGATCGAGGCTGTGGGGTACTGTAGCTTCCAAGCAGTAGTGCCTAGGACCGTCTGTAATCCGCTAGAGTGATAAGGGGAAACTAAACCAGATATGGCCTCTCCTTCGTGTTCTAAGCACCCCTGGCATAAGGAAGGCCAGCAAAACTAATGGGAAAAGCATGCCCCTTTCAAATCAGTTGATGTCTGCTTTGTGGGTGACAGCTCGCCAGGTATCCCCTGAAGAAGGGTGTCTGAGTCAACGCCTCCCGCAGCCAGAGGCGTACCTGGTGGGGGACGCTTCAGTTGCCTCCCATTTTGGCATCGTTCATCACCCCTGGGCGTTGAACTGAGCAAGGAAAGTGCTCGAACGTCGCGCTAAAGGGTGCTGTTATGTTCCTCATTGCGTACTTGACTTACAATATGGGGAGCAGCTGGGCCCCGCATTCCCCTCGTCACTCACTCTCACCACAGGCCTTCCTTCCTCTCTCTACTGTCGCCTGGCTGGACTCTGCTTGCAGCGACCAACGCAGGACTATATTCTTCACTCGAACTTGGTTCGCTTCCGCAGAAGCGCTACTTGTGCTTTATCGAGTGGTGTCTGTAGGCCTGGAAAGCCGTCACATGAAGCCTAGCGCCATAGTGCAATGGCGTCAAAAGGAATAGACGTAGCCAAATGCGTTGCAAGGGGTAGAAACGACACCCAGTGGTCTATGAGGCGCCTGTGTATGGTGGCGCAGCGCACTGCTCACGGGTGAAACGATCCTGTTCTATTCATCATGACGACCCTCAAGACTCCCTGTTTTGCGATACGGCCTTCTATATGATATGCTGGGCAGATTATTAGTATAGCTAGGGTCTGCTTGTAAAATAGGGTACAAACTGCGCATTGCAGTGCGTCAACGCGCTGATCATTAGACATGCAGCAGCAGCAGCAGCAGCAGCATGAACCGCAGCAGCGGCAGTACCAGAGGCGGCAGCGGTCGATAAACAGCGGCGCCGCTTGCCGTCTCTGAGTACTTCTGAACGGAAAGTTACCAGGAAAAAACACAACTGGACCTTAGAACTGCCGCAGAGGGTGGCGACAGGCGCTGGAGCAGCAGCAGGAAGAGCCGCCACAGCAGGAAGTCGGCGCTCACTGTTGGTAGCATATCTGACTTAGGGCAATTTTTGCCCGTCACCATTTGTGTCTGTCTTCATCTCCTCAGCAGCATCTCCCTTTTCTTTTCCGTGCCTGTTGCTGATTCTGCTGTTCGTGTTTAGTCTGTGAGTAAGTTGCTCTCGAGGCTGAGCCTTGCTGTGCTGCTCAGCTTGTGTCTCTCCCCACCACCTCGCCCGCAGCAGCAATGAGCTTAAAGAATCTCACGCGCAGCGCCGCGGTGGCTTGGTGCCCCTCAGGCGCTTGGGGTCTCTCGGCGCAGGAAGGCACCAGCAGCAGCAGCAGCAATACTAGCAGCACAGGAGGGGATGGGGGGAGCCGGGAGCTGCTGGCGCTGGGTACCATGGGTGTTGATCCTCGGCTGGAGTTTGCCTCCTTCGATTTGTCATCTCCCAGCGCCTCTCTTCCAGTTGTTGCTTCTGTGGGAGCTCCCTCTCCCTTCCAGTGCATAGCCACCGCCATAACTGCCGACTTAGGCTCAGTGAATGCCTGCCTCGTCGCGGGTGGCATGTCTGAAGGAGATGTCACTCTCTGGAATGCCGGCGACATACTCAAGTGCGGCATTTTTTGCCCCTACCGTCGTCGCTAGTGCCGCTGCTGCTGCGTTTGCTGTGAAAATGATGTGCTGTGCCTAGGTTTTTCTTCGTTTCGGCATGTTTGTTTTTGGAATACATTTGGATCTGCCAGTTTTGGTTTTTGTTTGTCTCTCTTATTGACTCTGCCGGGGTCGTTGCCGGTTTTGTTTCTGTACACTTTTCATTGTTGTTATTTCTGCGTCTGTATGTGTGGTTCTTCCCCTATCTTTGCGTGGATTTCCTTGTCTTTCCTCCTCCGTCTTATGGTGAATCAAGTACTGACTTAATTGTGGACTTCAGCAAGCTGGACAGGATCAAACGGTCCAAATAAAGTGTATCTGCGCAGATCAGTGATGCCGCGTTGCTTTTGCGTGTCCTGTCTTCATCCCTACCTGGTTTTTGTGCCTGTACCTGTGCCTTCGCCTTTCTGTAGTCAGGGCGTGGCCTCTGGTGATAGTGGGACCTCGGGTTTGCTGCAGACGGTGGAGGTCCAGCGGGGACAGCGCGTGCAGGCGTTGCAGTTCAATTCGCTGCGGCCCTCGTTGCTAGCTGCTGGCACGAGCAGCGGCGGCCTTTCCATAGTCGATGTTGAGATTGCTACGGAAGCAGTTGCACACAAACCCGGAGCGGATGGAGCAGGTAAATGCAACTCGACTGGAGTTCACTAACTATATAGCGAACCGGCAGACTAGGTAAAGGCTGTGTTGAACAATCAGCTACCGAACTATCAACGGAATTTAACTATTCAAGCGGCCAACGCGCCATCTAGTGAAGTTGCGTGGGAGCTAGCAAATCGTGTAGCTGAGCACTGGATTTTCGAGCCTGTTGGCTTGCTAGGAAACTCTGTAGCCTGCTACATATTTGTGGAGGTAGGGAGAAATATGGGGACTTTGGATGCGAAGGGGGTTACACGTGAATCAGTACACAGGGAGAGACGACATATACGAGCAGAGACAACACAAACGCACATACAATCAGGAACACAATTACGCATACAGATGGAAAGGGACTGTGTGCGTTTGGATGTGGTAGCCACTGCATTAACTCCGCCCTATTGGACTCACGTAGTATGCCATCGGCGTTTGTTTCTTTTTGCAAGCGTAGGGTTCATTCACTTCGCAGTGAACAGTCTCATTGTGCGTGGCCTATTGTTTAATCCAGCAGGTGATGACTGCGAGTGCACCTGTCTTAGCTGGAACGCTTCGGTGGCACATATCATCGCTACCGGCACTGGCACGGGGCAGACTGTTGTCTGGGATCTGAAGCAGAGGAAGCACGCTATCAGGTGATGCCTACCATTACTACTGTAGTTGCTGCTGCTGAGTTGGCTACGTCGGCTATTGTTGGCACGACTTCTGTTGCTGTTATGGCAGTTGCTTTTCTTGTTGTTGGTTCTGTTGCTTCTATGAACTTGTCAAAGCATTGACAGGGACACAGCTGTACTGTCCGGCTCACCGATGGCGTGAAGCCCTGTACCTTCCGTGTCTTCGCAGCTTCTGCGACCCGCAACACCGCCATTCGCGTCCAAGTTCAGTTTTGTGGCTGCCAAATCAGCCAACACAGCTTTTACTAGTTTACGACGATGATAGAAAACCTTCGCCGCAGGTAGGATTGAGGGTGCATCTCGTCCAGCTCCCTCATATTGTCGTCGCATAGTTTTCGCGGTTGTCTGCGTTTAGCTGTCAGCCTGTGCTTGACTTTTCCTGCTCATTCTTCTGCCTTCCCTTTTGTAGATTGTATTTTGGGAGGATTGTCTGCACTACTAAATAAGCAAACGGGGCATTGCATCAGCTGCCCGCCTCCCCTTGTAGTTTCTTTGCTTGTGTATTTCCAGCTTTGGGACCTACGCAACGCAACATTCCCTTTGAAAGAAGCCATTCCACAACCTCCTTACGGCCATACTCGTGGAATTGTATCTGCCTCACTGTGCCCGGCGGATAGCCGCATGGTGGTTCGTCGCTTCTGTTGCTGCTGTTACTGCTGCTGCAGCTAGTTGTGGCTTTGATGCAGGCTGTTGTTGGCTGTTCTATGAGGAAAGCCAACAACAGACCGAGATTGCAGTAGTTGCAGCTTTCCTGGATACTGCTACGAGCCTGGCTGCAGATGTTGTGGTGCGTTTTGTGGCATTCGCATCATCCATGCTCCTGCCGATGCTGCCTGTGTTGCTGCAGCTAACATGCGGGCGCGACAGCCGGTTGGTTTGTTGGTGGTTGCCGGAAGAATCAGTCCAGCAACAGCAGCAGACTCACAGCAGTGGCATTGAGGTGTACGTGCAGCAACAGGCAGTCGAGCCGTATATGCAGGTTTTGTGGTCGCCAACAGCGCCAGGTGTATATGCAGCAGCGACACCCATGCAGGTTTCTGTGTGCTCGTTGCTAGCTTCCAATTGTGCTGGGGGGTCTCCATCAGCAGCAGCAGACCGTTTCTATCCACCAGAAGACTCTAGAATCATGGGGCCCTCTAGCAGCAATTTTATACCGTCTTGGTTCAAGGTCGGGACCATCCCCCTGAATGGAAACACATTGCTACACTAAGGAGAGGAATCGTGCAGAGTATTGCTTATGATATCGCTTCCACTTTATTTTAGCGAGCTCAT